CCACACAGCACACGAGCACACACACACTACACACACACACGACACACACAACACACACACATCACACACACACACACACACACGCGCACACACACAACGCGCACACACAACGCCACACACACACACACACACACACACATACACACACACCACCCACACCCCTTCCTATTACACAACAGATAATTTACTATGTACTTAAAATATAGAAAAATATGATATGTGTTTTTTAACAATTAAGATACAGTACCTAGTATACAAAGTCAATTAAATTGTGTTTAAAGAAGTACAAACACACACACAGTACATTCACTCAGATACAGTACAAAAATACAATTATAAAGATTTTTATTCGTTGTTATGCTACTTCAAATACGATCCTTTTAAAATCTGATGGTTATCTGCTCACACACACACACACACACACATACACACACACACACACACACAACACACACACCACACACACACACACACACACACACTACACACACACACACACACACACACACACACACACAACCACACACACACACACACACACACACACACACACACCCTCTGACATGTGCAATAGTGCAGCAACACAGTGACCACAGGAGGATCTGAGGGTGGCCTCATTACCGCTCAGACAAAGTGATGAAACTCAATATCAATGCAGCGAGAATCTGCAAAAACAATTAAAAAGAAAGGCTAAAATATTGCGTCTGTTATTAAGTCGGGTTTAACATCACTTCGTATGTTTTAGTTTTTTCCATCTCAGCTCTTGCTACGAATTATTTCATTTCTAACTTTGAGGATTTTTTTATTTTCTTACTTTGGTTGCTGAGTTCTTGATGAACTTTCCTAAAGTTCAGTATGAGACTAAGATAAGGGGAAAACCTTAAATACTTAACTTAACATGCTATGGAAATCTTAACAGCTGACTCTTTGTTTCACTTATTCTAATTAGGAAGCATATCTACAGTTAGACACATTTCTGTGGGCTGGATATCATGCTTTCATCAGATGTCTAACCATATGGCAAAATACCAACATATTACAAAATATATATATATATATATATATATATATATATATATATATATATATATATATATATATATATATATATATATATATATATATATATATATAAAGAAAATGATTTACTAACTAAATATATAGATAAAAAATGTATTTGTAAATGTATTACAAATAAAATTAAAATAAATTAATTGCGTTTTCCGTGACCCCTTAAAAATCTATAAAAGTCTTGAATTTACATTTTTTTATTTTAAGCTACTAAAGTATAATAGGTTTTGCACTATACATATATAAACCCCTTGAGATGCACCATCGCGTTTTCAAGGGGGGTCCCTAATCTAACCCTAATATATTTGTATTGCTGTAAAATGTTGTTGTTGTTTTGTTTTAAAAAATAAATTGGGTTTCTGTGATTTCATAAAAATCTTAAAAAGTCTTTAATTCAAATGTCTGAAATTAATGCTTAATAAAATACTGAATACAAAATCTAAGGAAATATCCTCAGGACAGGACTTTGGTAGATTTGCCCAACTCCTTTTATTCCAAGGAGAGATACGATTATTTTTAAGGTAAATCTTAAACTCAGATGCTTGATGTAACTTCCTGTTTCCTCGGTGGCGTTCCTGCATGTATTTCTGCTCTCCTCGGGGCTGTAAACCCGGCAGAATGATTTATGAGCTTCAACGAGCTGCTGTTGCCGATCAGTTATCACGACCTCAGAGCAGACATCCAGTCATCTGTAATTAAGATAAGAGATGAATTAAAAATTGATCCGTCTGACTCACCTGATGCACATAACGCCTCGTCAGCGGACAGATATTTCAGACTAACAGGAAGTTGAGTTCCTCTTCCAGGTTTATCCACTTGATCCAGAGCTGCTCTTAGAGAAGTTTCAGTGTTAGCTATACAACAATTAGCTTTAACGTTATAAACAGTCTTTAAACACTTCCTGTCTTCTTCTGCTGTTCCCTTTAGTGTTTACTTCCTGTCTTCTTCTGCTGTTCCCTTTAGTGTTTACTTCCTGTCTTCTTCTGCTGTTCCCTTAAGTGTTGATTTCCTGTATGTCTTCTTATGGTTGTTATCCTTAGTGTTTACTTTATTAGATTCTTAGTAATGTTGCATGAAGTTGCATTTTACAGATTTTAGGAGTTTCTTTCTTAACCTGTTAAGCCCGAGAGACCCCGGTACCGGGGCACTGCCGCAACATCTTGCAGGAAACAGTGTCTGAGGGCATGTTCATTTAATAAAACTATGAATGTTTTATATCCATGTAACGGGAAGAAACTCTGACGGTGACGCTAGGTAGCTAAAAATGCTAACATTTTTACCTTGGCTCTAGTCTATCCAAAGTGGTCTTCAATGGCATTAAAACGATAAAAACGCTGCTGAAGTTAATCCATAGGTTAATCTAATGTGTCTGTGTCCGTTTGAAATGATTTCTGATAATCCATAAGTATTAAAACTGCTTTTCCGTTTCCAGATGTCAAAGCTAGAGATAGGTTCACTCTGATTGAAAATTACATGCGCAAAGCCCCCACCTTTTCTCTTCACAACATGTGTGTGGGGGACTCCCCCTTCGATTCTATTGGCTCTAACGGTCAGAAAGAGGTGTCAACCATCAAAATCGAGCAAGGGGGGCCAGAGATATGGAAAATCCACCCAAATGACCCCAGAAGTGGTTTCTTTTTGCTAAATCTCTCTAAAAAGGTCAAATGTCACTTGTTTTGCATCAATCTTGATACAGGGTACTTATTATATGTTGTACTTTGGATTCCTAAAGCTTTTAGTCTACCTTACCATCATCCAAGGGTGGTTTTCACTATAAGTAAAAAAGAATTTTTGGACGGACACTATAATTGACAGTTTTTTACTATGTAAAATCTGAATTTTCTTTAAAATAAAAAACATCTATATTGATTCTGACTTTTCTACATCCAACTCACAGGTTTATCATTACTTTGAGAAAAAAGATTATGAATGTACCCCTTTTAGAAGGGAAGATATGGTCATTTGTTCTGGGAATGTCATTTTTGAGCCTGAGACCTGAAAAACAGGCTCAGGGCTTAACAGGTTAAGTCTTTATTCATATATTGGATGATTTCACCTTTTTGTGACTAAAACTGTTAGATTTATGCATACATATGAAGGAAAATACACTATTCCCCTCTAAAATGTAGTATATTAGAAGTATAAAGTAGCATTAAATGGAAATGCGCTGTGTTATTTCCAGATGAACAGCCGGTTAATGTTGAATATCTCTTCTCTTGCAGGGTTTATTTGCTGGGTTTACCTTCAGAGCTGCTCTTAAAGAAGCTCCAGTATTAGCTACATCAATTAGCTTTAGTTTTCCAAAGTTATCAGCAGTCTTTCCTGCAGTAACAGTAGATCCTCGGCCCGCTGAGAGTTCCCCCGCTGCTCCACTTTGACGGGGGTTAATTTTGTATACAGTCTTAAGTTATATCCCCTCACTTTAAATTTGACTTTCCTTTACTCCCCTGCCACTGATTGATAATCCGGGTTTGTCCGTGTGTGAGAGATCCCTTACTATAATCTCTGTCCTTTGATCATTAAGAGTTGAAAGGATATATGGGAAAGAGGCTGATAAAGTGATTTCTGTGACAGTGGGTCGATGCAGGAGCGCCGCTTTAAGTCGTCTTGTTTGTCTTAGAAGCGCTCTGCTCTTAATAGTGATGTCCCTCGTGACTGATGCAATATCTCCAGAGCAGCTGTAACAATGAGCGCACACTGTAAACGTTCCTGGGGAAAAAAAATCAATTAAATGGCCCCTCAAAATGTTTGTGTGATGAAAATGCAGATATGTGGCGCTGCAATGCACGGCCAGGATTTCAACAAATTGCAGAAGTTTTTTCGCCCCGTCTGATGGTTTTTATTTTGGAGTTTGCATTCTCTCTGTGGCAAAGTTTAAACGTCTGTGGCTCCAACTTCTTATGAAAAGTCACTTCAGTCGGTGCCCGTACTGAGGAGAGGGGATCCAATTGGGTTTCCACACAGAAGTCTTAAGATGAGTGGATGAAAGCTGTGGGAGAAAAAGTTTGTGCAGCAAAGCAGCGATTTTCCCCCTCTTTTAGAGTTTTGAAGGGCTGTGCGAGTAAGTGTGTGTGTGTGTGTGTGTGTGTGTGTGTGTGTGTGTGTGTGTGTGTGTGTGTGTGTGTGTGTGTGTGTGTGTGTGTGTGTGTGTGTGTGTGTGTGTGTGTGTGTGTGTGTGTGTGTGTGTGTGTGTGTGTGTGCGTGTGTGTGCCTCCCCCCTTGTCAAGGAGCTCCCCTGAGCTTCCCTCTCTGTGCTTTGGCACTAGAAGTCACCTCCTTTGGTGTTCGGCAGGCAGGTACACAACAGGAGCAGCTCTCTCTCTCTGAGCTGTTGAACTTTTCGGGAGGGGAAGAAAGGGAAGGGGAAGATTAAAAACAGCTCTGTGATGTGGAGTGCCGAGCTGCCTCCTGAGAATTCCTGGCATAATAATTTAAATGATCAAATGATACAGAGGAGACTTGTTAGCTGAGAAACAGCCTCCTAGTTGGCCCCATGGGCCCGGTGCTGCCGCGCATGCATTGCAAAACAGCTCCTCTGTTGTGCTAAAGAATCTTTTTTCCTTCCTTTTCAGGAGCACACTTTCTCTACACTTTGCCAAGGTGTATACTTGGGATTTAAGACAGCGACACATATTTATGGCACTCTTTTTGTCCTCTTTTGCCATTCATCGGCACGTGAGCAGACTCATTAGAGGTGATTCTGAACATGTGAAGGCTCGTGTCATTAGGTCCAGCCTGTGAACATTTCAAAGGAGTGAAGAAAGTCTCAGAGTCAGAAGCGGAGTCTCGGAGAGGAATAGAGTGTCCTCTGCAGAAAGCTCTTTTACACACAGTAAAAACAGCCATTTTGCTTCTCTCTTTTGTTGAAAGTAGCATGTGGATGTTAGGAGTTGTTTTACTAAGATGTGTGTGTGTGTGTGTGTTCACAGATCCAGCTCCGGTGCTGGAGGCCTCACACACCCTGGAGGAAAGGCTGCAGCACCTGCACAGCAAGGCCCCCGACAGCGAGGCCCTGGTGAGAGAAATCAGCGGGCACTGGAAGAGACACCTGGAGTGCCTTCAACAGACAGGTGAGGGCCAATCATCTGCACAATATCATTTCAAATCATCAATATTAGGACTAAATCATCATCACATTCAAACTAAAGTAACCAGCCTGTTTTGAAAATGTAAGAAGTAGAAAGTTCAGGTGTTTGTGTTCAAAATGTAAGAAGTAAAAGTAAAAAGTCGTCAGAAAAATAAATAGTGGAGTGAAGTACTGATACCAGAAAAATGTACTTAAGTACAGTAACTACTTCCCACCTCTGATGACGTGTGTTCCTCCTCTCAGAGTCCTCAGAGTCATCAGGGACCCTCGAGGCCCCAGGATCCTCTCCTGCCTCCCTGATGACGCCCAACAGCACGCCGGGCCCCGGGGCCTCCGAGTCCCCGCAGCAGAACCACCAGGACCGAGGGTGAGAACCACAGAAACCCTGCTGAAATATAAGAGATGAAGTGAAGTAACAGAAAGTAATCAGGTTACTTATATTGTGATACTCAGGTTAGGTTACTGATTACATTTGTACAGGTAACTAGTCATAGTCTAGTCTAAGTAACCCTCCCATCACTGCATCTTGATATTTGTCCATGTTGATGTTACACATGGAGCTGCTTTGATGCAAGTCACATTTCAGACTTGATCTGGCCATTAAAGTATTACCGTAATCCATTACTCCCCAAACCTGAGAGTAACTGATCAAATATAAGAGAAAATGTACTTTTAGTGGGTGATGAAGTGTTTACAGTTAGGACTGTAACAGACTTTTCCTAAGTATGTATCTCTGGAACGGAAGGTCGTAGAGACTCGGGACAAAATCAGTGTGTTCAGCACACCTGAATTAGGTCAGACAGCACCAACTCCCAAGCATGTCCGACCTTCCCTTCTGGAGTTAGAGGCAAAAATGTGGTCCGCCATGGAAAAACATTACAGTTAGGTTACTGTAGGACTGTCCTAAGTCTGTATCTCAGGAACAGAAAGTAATCAGGTTACATTTCTTATATTGTGATACTCAGATTATGTTACCGATTACATGTTTTACATTCAACCCCATTTTTTACAAGTAGCCCCTCCCCACCCTGCATGTAATCCATTACTCCCCAAACCTGAGAGTAACTGAGTGTTTCCTCTCAGGGACGAAGAGGAGAGCGCTAACGTTGGATTGTCTGACCGACTATCAGAGGCCAAGGAGAAGATCAAAGTTCTGCATTCATGTGAGTAAAGTTACATTTTAAAATTAGATTTCAATTTAACCTGAGCCGTGGTGTGTTTAATTACTGCTTTGATGTCATGACTTTAAACTCAAATCAACACTTTTTTACCTGAGTAAGAACCAGAGGTTGGAAAAGTACTCAGATCTTGTACTTGAGTAAAAGTAGAAGTACTCAGATCTTGTTCTTGAGTAAAAGCAAAAGTACTCAGATCCTGTACTTTAGTAAAAGTAGAAGTACTCAGATCTTGTACTTGAGTAAAAGTAGAAGTACTCAGATCTTGTACTTTAGTAAAAGTAGAAGTACTCAGATCTTGTACTTGAGTAAAAGTAGAAGTACTCAGATATTGTACTTGAGTAAAAGTAGAAGTACTCAGATATTGTACTTGAGTAAAACAGAAGTACTCAGATATTGCACTTGAGTAGAAGTACTCAGATCTTGTACTTGAGTTAAAGTAGAAGTACTCAGGTCTTGTACTTGAGTAAAAGTAGAAGTACTCAGATCGTCTACTTGAGTAAAAGTAGAAGTACTCAGGTCTTGTACTTGAGTAAAAGTAGAAGTACTCAGGTCTTGTACTTGAGTAAAAGTAGAAGTACTCAGATCTTGTACTTGAGTAAAAGTAGAAGTACTCAGATCTTGTACTTGAGTCAAAGTAGAAGTACCAGAGTATAGGAATACTCTGTTACAGTAAAAGTCCTGCATTCAAAATGTTCCTCAAGTAAAAGTAGAAAAGTATTATCATCAAAATATAGTGAAAGTAGCGACAGTAAAAGTAGTCATTGTGCAGATTGGTCCATTTCAGAATAATATATATGATATGTTTTATAATGATTGATCATGAAAGTGTTCTCAAAGCTGGTAAAGGTGCAGCTAGTTTGAATGACTTTGTATACTGCAGGGTAGCTTGTGAATTTACTCCAGGTGGAACTAAAGTCTGATTTAACACTTGATTATATTTCACATCATTCATCCAGATCTGTGAAGTAACTAAAGATATTAAATACATGTAGTGGAGTAGAAGTACACCATTTACCTCTGAACTGTAGTGGAGTAGAAGAACAAAGTCTTAAGCATAACATTGAAAGTATTTTAAAAGTGTACTTAAGTACAGTACTTGAGTACATATACATAGTTACTTCCCACCTCTGGTAATAACAAGAAAGCTCTGTTTTTTTAAATGTATATACACAATGGATCTTAACGCAGGTTTAGGAAGTCATACATTGACATTAGTTTAACAAATGCTGTATAATCCAAATGGTGCTTTTTGTTTTGAGGTCACGCAGATTCTACAAAATTGAGCGTAAAACTGTGAATTTTAATACATGCAAGTGTCATAAAAGTATTGCATCTTGCAGATAGCTCAGAGCTGATTATTACAAGTATTTAGTGTTTTTAATTGTAATATTTCCCCCTCTCTCTCAGCTCTGAACACTGCACAGACAGAGCTGCTGGACCTGCGGTGTAAATACAACCAGGAGAGGACCAACAAGTGAGTCAGATTACACACTTTATAGTTACCACATAATCATCAAAACATTTCTACTACTGTACAAACTACACATCTTAAGTAACTAAGTACATTTACTCAAGTATTGTACCTAAGAACAACGCGTACTGTGGAGGATATCATAAGGCATTGAGGCAATACAATGTAAAAAACACAATATTTATGATTGATGAAAGTAGTAAATCAGTCAGCTTTGACCCGAACAAGACAGAATCAGAATTGTATAGGTATATTTACACATGCAAGGAATTGGCTTTGGTAAACTGTATATGGTGCATGCACAAACACAGAAAGAAGAATACGTAGCAACAACATAATATTAAAGACAATATTTACATTAGTACATATTCGACAATACAGCGTATTTCCATTTAATGCTACTTAATAATTTCATTTACTACATTTCAGAGGGAAAGGGTGTATTTTACTGTAACTTTATGCATCAATATAACAGTCACAAAAAGGTGAAAACATCCAATATATTTACAAATAGTTAAGAAATAAATTCCTAAAAAATCTGTAAAATGTAACTTGATGCAAAATATAAACTGAGTACAGTAAAATATATTAAAATATGACATACTATATTTAAAGCGGATAATTGTGCAGGTTGTGAGGGAGGTGGTGTGGAGCGGCATGTTGTGCAGGATTTATAATATTAACTTGGGTAAGGGTGTTTTTCGCAATGTATTGTGTTTTTAGCACTTCTTAACACGTGGCTTGTGTGGTCATTTCATCTTTTATTATGTTTTAATGCTTTGTCAAGTACTTTGTGACTATGTCTGGGAAACGCGCTTTATAAATACATTACTTACGTACTTACTTACTTAATGTAACTGTAGGGGAATACAGTTCTTTGTATCCTGATTATCCCATTACTCCCTGAGCCTCCATTACGTTTCCATCCTCTCTGCGGTTCATCGTCACATTTCAAGAACCACTTAATTTCCTTTGCCTTCATTGCCTCACGTTCACATCCAGCAGAGGAATTCGGTTTGTAGAAAGAGTGACTCAGGCGCTGACGTCCGGTCGATTTCAGAGGTCTGTGTTTGCCGTGACAGCCCTCCAGAAGAATTGCTCCATTTAAAGATTGCTTCAGAAAACACTCTACCTTGTTCGGGTCTTTGAGCGCCGTGTATCCAGCGCGGGGCTGAAATGAATCTGAGGCTGTATGAAGGATGTCGATAGGCATTCAAAGTAAACACTCCTTTGTTTGGGTTTGTGCTCCGGAGCACCGGCAGCCGCTGCTAATGGATTTTCTCCCAGGCTTAATCCATGGCACAATTGAACTGATGTTTTCAGACCCACCGCCATCCATTCTGTTGGATTGGACACATTTTTCAGTTACAGTGTGAGAGAGAGAGCATCTCTGTTATGTGGTGTGTCGGACAGGGTGTGTGTGTGTGTGTGTGTGTGTGTGTGTGTGTGTGTGTGTGTGTGTGTGTGTGTGTGTGTGTGTGTGTGTGTGTGTGTGTGTGTGTGTGTGTGTGTGTGGTGTGTGTGTGTGTGTGTGTGTGTGTGTGTGTGTGTGTGTGTGTGTGTGTGTGTGTGTGTGTGTGTGTGACCCCGGAGCTGCAGTTATCCCCCCCTGACCCCCCCAGCCTCTATTACTCTCACTGACTGTTTCCTCACCGTTGATAAGAAAGACCATTTGTCTGCTGGGGCTTGAGAAGCAGAGCAGGTAATCAATACAAAACATTTTCCGTAGCGCATAAGTTCATTAGACGAAGAGCTGACAACTGTTAGTGTCTGCTGACAGCGGGGGGGGGGGGGGGGGGGGGGGGGGGGGGGGGCATCAGTCCTCTATCCTTATTGATGGAGGAAGGGGCTCGACCGGGACTCTCGGAAAACAAGGGGCTCCAACACTGATCATCAGAAACATCAACAATGAGATCATGACTGGATCCAAACATCACTGAGGTCTTTCTGGGGATACATGTTGGATGATAATAAGAACCACAACAAGAAGAACCAGAACAAGAAGAACCAGAACAAGAAGAACCAGAGCAAGAAGAATCAGAACAAGGGGAACCAGAACAAGAAGAACCAGAACAAGAAGAACCAGAACAAGGGGAACCAGAACAAGGGGAACCAGAACAAGAAGAACCAGAACAAGGGGAACCAGAACAAGGGGAACCAGAACAAGAAGAACCAGAACAAGAAGAACCAGAACAAGGGGAACCAGAACAAGGGGAACCAGAACAAGAAGAATCAGTAAAATAACCAGAACCAGAAGAAGAACTATAAGAGGAACAAGAAGCAGAAACAGAACAAGAAGAACCAGAACCAGACAACCAGAAGAAGGAGAACCAGTAGAAGAAGAACCATAGAAATAAAAATAACCAGAACCAGACGAAGAACCAGAAGAAGACCCAGAACAAGAAGAACCAGAACAAGAAGAACCAGAAAACGAGAAGAAGAAGAACCAGTAGAATAACCAGAACCAGAAGAAGCAGAACCAGATCAAGAAGAAGAACCTGAACAAGAAGAATAACCAGAACAAGAAGAAGAACCAGAACAAGAAGAAGAACCAGAAGAAAGACAAGGAAGAAGAACCAGAACAAGGGGAACCAGAACAAGAAGAACCAGAACAAGGGGAACCAGAACAAGAAGAAGAACCAGAACAAGGGGAACCAGAACAAGAAGAAGAACTAGAACAAGGGGAACCAGAACAAGAAGAACAGACCAGAAAACCAGAGGAGGAACAAGAAGCAGAACCACAACAAGAAGAACCAGAACAAGAAGTCAGAAGAAAGGGAATATCCGAGCAGCGTGTGAAGGCACCGTTGGCCTTGACATACGTCCTTGTGTTTGTTGTGTTAACAATACTGCTATAATGTACATTTGGTCGAACAAGGTAATCATTTCTAGCCTATTTGTACCTTCAGTTGTGCAAAAAGATGTGGTTATATGCTACTTTATATGCTACTTTCTGAAAAATGATTTAGTTGTAAAATGATCAGTTGTGTTGACAGTACCAGAACATGTCATTATCGTTATTGTCTTTAAAAAAAAACGTTTTCTGCAACCCCTACTTTTTAGGGGTAATTACATAGCCTGATGTGAGACAATGAGTTCAAACATGAAAGAGAAAAGAGTTTCAGCTGCATGTGGTTCCTCTAATGTGGATTAAAACAAGTCTAATATGTTCTTTGAAGACATTTCTCTTTTGGTTAAAAAGGACTTGCGTGTCCCAGGAAGAGGATGAAACCTATGTGCATATTTAAATCAATCACAGCTTCCTCGTTAATTCATCCCCATCTACCTTTTGAAAATCAGGTCCCACGTGTGCAAAATGAAACTGTTGAACTTCAAACAAACCTCATGAATAATCCCGCTGAGCGGCTGTTTAAATTAGATCTCTGATTGTTAGATGTATGGAGGCGAGTTCTGAGGATAGAAATCATAGACGTATCAGCAGTATCTAGAGATGATATTTACACACATATATTACTCATTACGATTGGAGTATGTTATACTCATACTCATGAGTTATCAATTATATTATAGTTTAAATTACATTTTTCGCTATGGAAATTTTAAAAAGTCCTCTCTTGCTGATGTTCAGGTGTATATCAGTATGTAGCGTCTCTACTTTAAAGAGTCCTCTCCTGCTCATGTTCAGATGTATATCAGTATGTAGCGTCTCTACTTTAAAGAGTCCTCTCCTGCTGATGTTCAGGTGTATATCAGTATGTAGCGTCTCTACTTTAAAGAGTCCTCTCCTGCTCATGTTCAGATGTATATCAGTATGTAGCGTCTCTACTTTAAAGAGTCCTCTCCTGCTCATGTTCAGATGTATATCAGTATGTAGTGTCTCTACTTTAAAGAGTGCTCTCCTGCTAATGTTCAGGTGTATATCAGTATGTTGTGTCTCTACTTTAAAGAGTCCTCTCCTGCTGATGTTCAGGTGTATATCAGTATGTAGTGTCTCTACTTTAAAGAGTCCTCTCCTGCTGATGTTCAGGTGTATATCAGTATGTAGTGTCTCTACTTTAAAGAGTCCTCTCCTGCTGATGTTCAGGTGTATATCAGTATGTAGTGTCTCTACTTTAAAGAGTCCTCTCCTGCTGATGTTCAGGTGTATATCAGTATGTAGTGTCTCTACTTTAAAGAGTCCTCTCCTGCTGATGTTCAGGTGTATATCAGTATGTAGTGGCTCTACTTAAAGAGTCCTCTCCTGCTGATGTTCAGTTGTATATCAGTATGTAGCGTCTCTACTTTAAAGAGTCCTCTCCTGCTCATGTTCAGATGTATATCAGTATGTAGCGTCTCTACTTTAAAGAGTCCTCTCCTGCTCATGTTCAGATGTATATCAGTATGTAGTGTCTCTACTTTAAAGAGTGCTCTCCTGCTAATGTTCAGGTGTATATCAGTATGTTGTGTCTCTACTTTAAAGAGTCCTCTCCTGCTGATGTTCAGGTGTATATCAGTATGTAGTGTCTCTACTTTAAAGAGTCCTCTCCTGCTGATGTTCAGGTGTATATCAGTATGTAGTGTCTCTACTTTAAAGAGTCCTCTCCTGCTGATGTTCAGGTGTATATCAGTATGTAGTGTCTCTACTTTAAAGAGTCCTCTCCTGCTGATGTTCAGGTGTATATCAGTATGTAGTGTCTCTACTTTAAAGAGTCCTCTCCTGCTGATGTTCAGGTGTATATCAGTATGTAGTGGCTCTACTTTAAAGAGTCCTCTCCTGCTGATGTTCAGTTGTATATCAGTATGTAGTGTCTCTACTTTAAAGAGTTATCTCCTGCTGATGTTCAGGTGTATATCAGTATGTAGTGTCTCTACTTTAAAGAGTCCTCTCCTGCTGATGTTCAGGTGTATATCAGTATGTAGTATCTCTACTTTAAAGAGTCCTCTCCTGCTGATGTTCAGGTGTATATCAGTATGTAGTGTCTCTACTTTAAAGAGTCCTCTCCTGCTGATGTTCAGGTGTATATCAGTATGTAGTGTCTCTACTTTAAAGAGTCCTCTCCTGCTGATGTTCAGGTGTATATCAGTATGTAGTGTCTCTACTTTAAAGAGTCCTCTCCTGCTGATGTTCAGGTGTATATCAGTATGTAGTGTCTCTACTTTAAAGAGTCCTCTCCTGCTGATGTTCAGGTGTATATCAGTATGTAGTGTCTCTACTTTAAAGAGTCCTCTCCTGCTGATGTTCAGGTGTATATCAGTATGTAGTGTCTCTACTTTAAAGAGTCCTCTCCTGCTGATGTTCAGGTGTATATCAGTATGTAGTGTCTCTACTAAAAAAGTCTCTATAGATTAGCCTATTTATAGATGCATTTTCTTTGATGCAAGTTCATCAACCCTTCTTAAGCTATAAAAGTGGCCTTAGGTTTACTGAGAAACTAAATAATGATGTGGGGAATTCATCCTGCTGTCACTAGTCCGACATTAGGAAGATATGAGAGCCAAATATCCCCAAATAAAGCCCATAAAAACTGGCCCTGATAGCATTTATTGAAGTAATCTACAGCCAACTCCTGTCTTATTTACCTGAATATGACAAGTTATGTTGTAGGGGACATTTACTACAGTTACTTGCTTTCTAGAATGCAATGGTCTGCACCAAACCCCTGAAAAGTGACACATATATTTACTGCAGATCTAAATATGACGCATCAGTGTTGACGTGCTATTTCCCCACATAGAGTGACCTATTTCCCGACACCTGGCATGTTTTATTTGATGCAAGTTCATCAGTTCTTATTAAGCTGCAACTAGGGAAGCCAAAACGTATTAAGAACTGAAACTAATATGCTAGGTGATGGATTTGGTCCACGTGCCTTTAGTTTTAGACTTGTAGACTTTTCTGAAAGATGATACGGAAGTAAAAAAACACCATTGCATGAAATAAAAAATGTTTTTTATATATACTATATTGCTTTTCAATGCAGATATTCATGCCTACAGAAGAGGGTTAGGGCCACATTTTGTTTTAAATATTTTTTTTATTCTGTGATTAATCTGGGAATTCTGTCTTCTTTCACAAAATACTGATTAAATCTAAGAATTCAAATGTTTAATTTTCTAAATTAAAGTGGACCTATCATGGTATATTTAAATTATATATTGTAGGGCCATACCTATATAAGGTATATTTATACGTTTCTGTTTTCAAAATACCAAACAGATCATGCATTTTAGCCATGCCTCATTTCACTCAATTTGCACTTTTTTTTTAGCTGTGCTCTGCAAGGGCTGATTCTGTGAGAACAGCACCACCTACAGGCCTGGCATATGTACTACAGCGTCTCCAGTGCTTTCGAACGGCAATGGCCGTGGCTGTCTCCTCCTGATTGGTGGAGTTGGCCCAATAGCCGTAGCGCCACCGTCCTGACGTCAGGACAGTGTTCAAATCTGGATCAGTTTTTATCAGATCCGTTGCAGCCCCTTTTTTAGAGATTTGGGTATGGAGGAAAATAGAGAGGGTTGTGTTTTCTGACACTTGGTGAGTTCCCTGGAACACCGGGGACACATATTCATGTATAAAAGATGTACAAAAGTGCATTTTGCATGATAGGTCCCCTTTAAGATTTTTTTCTCAGAATTCCCACAATCTTATCTCAAAATTAAGATTTTTTCTCGATATTCTGCCATTTTATTTCTCAAATTTCCCAAAACGTATTAAGAACCGAAACGAATATGCTAGGTGATGGATTTGGTCCACATGCCTTTTGTTTTAGACTTGTACACTTTTCTGAAAGATGATATGGAAGTAAAAAACACCATTGCATGAAATAAATAATGTATTTTTTGACATCTTAAAGACGGGAGTATCTCAGAATCAGAATCAGAATCAGGTTTATCACCAGGTAGGGTTGACACGTACGAGGAATTTGACTTGATGTCATGGTGCAAGTAAAACAAAGATTAAAAACACATAGAAATGGAATGGAATAAAATATGGAATAAAAATCAGCAGTAATAAAAAAAGAGAACAGATGTTGTTGAACATTGTGTGCATCAGTTTTCATTAAGCTGCAACTAGGGAAGCCAAAACACATTATGAACTTAAACGAATATGTAACGAGATTCGATCCTTAGTTTGACACACGTGCACTTTTCTGAAAGATGAAATGGAAGTACAAAAAACGGTAACACTTTATATTACGGTACACATATTCACCATCAAGTAGTTGTTCATTAACATGCAAATTAGCAGTATATTGGCTCTTTATTAGTCATTATAAAACACTTATTAATGCCTTATTAATGTATATTCTACAAGTAATTGGCCATTAGTTGAGAGTTTTTCCTCAATAACCCTCTAATTAGTGCTTATTGATTGCAAGTAAGGAATTTGTTGTTCATGAGTTCTGGTCTTAATATGCGCTGCTCAATATGGGCCTAATAAGGCAGCAGTACCACAAGAATAGTAATTATCCCATAATAACACCTAACAAATCTAGTTTATTCTGATGTAACAAGACGTGAAACTACAAGTGTTAATAGTGTCTAAACAACTCAAAATGTGGTTTTTCTAACTCAGAATATGTTCCCTATTTTAAAGTGAAGTCTTGTTCATCACCAATAAGCCAATAGTTTGTCTCTAATATCTTAATGAACAACTATTTGATGGTGAATAAGTGTCGCTTAATATAAAGTATTACCAAAAAAACACTATTGCATGAAATAAATAATGTATTTTTTGACATGTTAAAGATCTCCTCAGTAACGCTGCTCTTGTGTGTGTTCAGGGCGGAGGAGGTGGACGCCATCGTGCTGAACCTGGAGAAAGCCAACCAGGTGAGTGCAGCTGATTGAGTCGCTCCTTCGTTAAGATAATCACTCCTGTAATCAAGCTTTCATTAGACCCCCCCCCCCCCCCAACACCCCCCCAACCTCCCACTTCCTGCCTCCCCTCCCCCCAGCGAGTGATTAGAGAGTAAACCTGAGCCCAGATTCCTCGCCGCCTTGATTGCTTCCTTTCCTCCAGTGATGGATTCTAGATTCGAGGCTTTTATGGTCATGTGCACATAGCTACAGTGTAGATAGTCAACGAACATCTTAGGCTCCTCCAACAGTGCAACAACAATAACATAGTGCAAGTAAATAAAATAAAATAGAATATAGTAGAAAGAGTCTATATACAAGTGATTGGAATATTGATAAGTTGCAAACAGGTGAATGTTATGGATGTTCTGGATAGTAACAAAGTACATTTACTCAAGAACACTTCAGTACAATTTGAGGTATTTGTACTTCAGTATTCTCACTTTACACTACTTAATACTCTTTTTATTGTCATTTTTGTAGACATACATACATATAACATACACCCGCATACGTACTGAAATGTGTGCAGAATAGTTACTGCGCATATAACATGCATCTCTCCATGGGGGACAATAATGTCACCTTAGTCTTGTAGAAAGATATCGAGGTATATCTCAGTTTACATACCAACAACTTAAATAAAAGCACAGCGAGAGAATAATAATAATAATACATTATAATCATAATGGCCTGAGGTGTGGCGTCATTACAATGAGAAACATCGAATAGGAGGGAAAGAGTATTATATAGTAATAATAATAATAACAAATAGAAAAGGGAGGGGGGGGGGGGGTGCCGTATACATTACTGCTAGAAGTTTACCTCCTCTCTCTTTTCGTCCCCTTTCCTCCCTGGCGCTCTCTCTGCCGGCAGCTCCTAGATAAATGTTCTCAAAATGAATCATTAATTAGCGGGGGGTGGGACACACACACACACACACCACACACACACACACACACACCACACACACAGCACACACACACACACACACACACACACACACACACACACACGTGACAGAGCAGGTAAACAGTGTGGGGAATAAAAAGGAGCAGAGTAAACCCCACTCAGGATCTGAAAATCTCAGAGCAAGGGCGCCTCCTTTTGATTTATGCTCTCACCTTGATCATCTCATTAGCCAATTGATGCTGTACGAGAAGCTGTGATCCAACGTGTGTGTGTGTGTGTGTGTGTGTGTGTGTGTGTGTGTGTGTGTGGTGTTGTGTGTGTGTGTGTGGTGTGTGTGTGTGTGTGTGTGTTGTGTGTGTGTGTGTGGTGTGTGTGTGTGTGTGTGTGTGTGTGTGTGTGTGTGTGTGTGTGTGTGTGGTGTGTGGGTGTGTGTGTGTGTGTGTGTGTGTGTGTGTAGAGAGCAGAGAAGGCCCAGAGGGAGGTGGAGAGGCTAAAGGAGCAGATATCCACGGCGGGGAGGGGTCGTCCAGCAGAGGGCAGCAGCAGCAGCAGCAGGGTGAGGGTGAGGGTCATGTGACCTGTGAGCAGGAACTGAGTACTTTTACTCAAGTACTGCACTTCAGTATTTAAGATAAGATAATCCTTTAAGTCTTCAAGTTACATTGAGTAAAAAATGTAAGCAACAAGAGGTACTGAGAAAACAAAACGTAATATAATATATTGCTTTTCATTGCAGATATTCCTACAGACGAGGGTTAGGGCCACGTCTTGTTTGAAATATTTGTTTGATTCTGTGATTAATCTCAAAATACTGATTAAATCTAAGAATTCCAATTTGTAATTCTCGGAATTCCAACTTTTCTTTCAGAGAATTCTGACATTTCTGCAAGTGTAATACTAACTATGATCATGCAGTGCTATAGAGCATAATGCATCATATCCTCTGGGGACATCGAGGGTGCTTCAGAAATATACATGCACTTTGAACCTTTAGTCAAATTCTCTGTGATTTACAAACTTTTCCTCCCTTCCTCCCTCCTTTCCTCACTTTCTCCTCACCCTGTCTCCTCCTTCCTTTCCTCCTTCCTCCCCCCCTGTCTCCTCCCCCTCTCCCCCCTCTCCCCCTCTCTCAGGGTGACTCTCCCTCCCAGCTGGAGGCCTCTCTGCTGGTCAAAGACCGAGAGATGCTGCGTCTGCTGGAGAACATCCAGCGGCTGCAGTTCACTCTGCAGGAGGTGCAGGAGAGCTCGGCCAATCAGATGCTAGAGCTGGAGCGCCAGCTGGCCTATAAGACGGAAGCTATCGAGGTGAGCGGGGACCAATGGGGAAGAAGTGTTTTAAGTTAAAGTAGCAATACTAAATATTAAAGATCATCTAGAATTCAGACTTTCATTTCAGAGAATTCTGACTTTTTTCTCTGAATTCCGACAAGTATGTATTTCTATCAAAAACATACTTTAAATATGTAAGTAAAAGTACAAAAGTATTGGCATATAAATATACTCAAAGTACCAAAAGTACTTGTTATGCATTGCAAGTAGTGTGATGTATTGAAGTACATTTACTCAAGCACTATACTTATTTACACTTATGAGGTACTTATCTTTACCTGAGTGTTTTAAATTCATGCTACTGTATTCTCCTAATCCTACATTTGTCTGACAGCTTTAGTTACTTTAGTTATTAGCTAATACAAGATATAAATCAACTAATAAATAAACATTGATTTATGATTATCGGTTATCCAGCAGCAGAATGTAAAGTGATTAAAATGAGCTCCAGCTGTGATGAACACTTTCATGCATCAATGATAGTAATCCAGTCATTTACTATATCATTCATATATAAAATATGTATAATGCTTTTACTTGTAACAGAATATTACTAAGTCAAATATCCTCCATCGCTGATAACAGTTAATTAAATTAAATATATACAATGTAGTAGTAGAAGTTACTCAGATAAAGTACCTCAAAGTTGGACTTAAATACAAACTCTTTTTCATATAAACTTTCTTTTCCATTTCAGAGATTAGAAGCTAAACTGCAATCCCAGATGGATTATGAAGAGATTAAAACTGAACTCAGGTGAGTTTTTCAGTCTGAAAAGTTTAACACTAATTAAATATATGTTCATTATTCAACCACTCTATGCTATTTATTATTATTCAGCTGTGTCATATTCACAGCACTTGCTTTATTAGTTAGTGTATTTTATGAGTTATTATGACTGTATTACACATCACTTCACGCAATGAACTGGTTTTAAGCATTAACATTATTATTATTATTAAACTACTGTATATATTGTAATAAACATGCATTATTGTTACAGTACTGTATATATTGAAGTCACTTTATTTAAATATGTGTATTTAATTGTCTTCTGTTTTCACTTATTTATCAATTTATTCCAGTTTTTTGATTGTATTTGTTTTTTTAAATATAGCAACTGTCACAAAATCAATCTGGATAAAGTGTGTGTGATCTGTTCTTCTGATCTCTGTCCACAGTATCCTCAAGGTGATGACGCTGGCTTCAGCGAACGGCAGCTCGTCCCAGGTACTGAAGATCCTGCAATATTATAATATAATTATTATTATTGTACAGACTCTTCCCCAACGTATGATTTCCTGATGTCTTTGAATGCATCACCAGTTGCTTTCAGTTAGAAGCAAATCAACGACATCTGATGCATCAAATAATAACATCATAACACCTGTGTGTGTGTGTGTGTGTGTGTGTGTGTGTGTGTGTGTGTGTGTGTGTGTGTGAGTGCGTGTGCGTGTGTGTGTGTGTGTGTGTGTGTGTGTGTGTGTGTGTGTGTGTGTGTGTGTGTGTGTGTGTGTGTGTGTGTGTGTGTGTGTGTGTGTGTGTACAGGAGTCTACGAAGGCTGCAGAGGCCATTCTTCTGGATAAAGAAGCCTTTCTTCCGTCCCACAAATACCTGGTGGAAAAGGCCCGCATTTTGCACAACGTTGGTAAGAAACATTGTTCTCATGTTTGATTGTCTATCTATAAAACCTACAGATTACATTTGAAACTTTATTCTACTGAGAGAATGAAAGGCAGTTTTGCATCTAACCACAACAAGTGTACTCATACTTAAGTACCATTCTCAATACAGGATTGTTATGTTGAATGGAGTATTTTTACTGTGACGTCTAAGTACTTTTACTTAACACTTTGATGTCCAAGCCTAGGTAATATACGTCTTATTATTCAGGGCAAACTCAGCTGTCAGAATATGTTTGCTGCAGAGACGTCTCATTTATAGATAAATAGTTGTTAGACCATAAACAAACACAAACATACGAGAAATGGTTATCACATTTATTCAGGTTACACAGAGAACAATAAGTTACTAGCCTTCAGTCAAATGATTTTCTAATCTAACATGTTATTGTAAAATCATTCAGTTGCAGTTACATCAACAAAGACATATTAAACATTAAACATATTAAACAAGGTAACGGACATTTTCCATAATAGAATAAATACTGAAATGAGTAAAAAACCAGTCGTGGATGGAAACACATTAGATTTACTCAAGTATAGTATTTAAGTACTGTTTTGACATACTTGTGCTTGACTTTAAGCAAGGCAAGTTTATGTATACAGCACCTTTCAACAACTAGCTTAAAGTCAAGTACAAGTATATCAAAACAGTACTTAAATACTATACTTGAGTAAATGTAATATTTTTCTTTCCACGACTGGTTTTATATTTGTTTCAGTAATTGTTGTATTATGTTAATTGTCTGTTTCTTTGTTGATTGTCTTAATAATTATCCGTGTTGATTTTGCAAATGGAGCTTTTATAATGTGTTTCATTTTTGTAAAGCACTTTGCCTTGTGTTGAACAGTTCAATTAAAATCTACAGAAATTGACATTGATATTTTGTGCCACGTACCTGACGTTGTGTTTCCTGTCTCCAGATGACGAGCGGTCTGAGGACACAGGTAGGGAGTCAGCCAGACCCCCCCCCTCTCTCTCCTCCTCCTCCTCCCACCTGGACGTCCGTACCTCCCCACCTATGAACGGATCCTCCTCCAATCACGACCTCCCCCTCCGCCCCTTCTCCGTCTCCCCCCTATCCTCCGGGGACAGGCTGTCTGGAGACCACGTCCTCCACAAGACGCTGCTCTCCTCTCCTCTCCACTTTAAGAAGGAGGGTCTCATGGCCTTCCCCAGCGCTCTCTATGCAGCTAAAGTGGCCCTGATGTCGGGGTCCAGCAGCGGGGACGCAGGCCTGCCCAGCGACCAATCAGAAAGCGGCAGCTCCACGACGGGCGATGACGACCAGCTGGACACGTCCGACATCGCAGTACAGGTTTGTTGGAAAAATATCACTCGTCAACGGCTTGAGCTTCAATACTGAGTTTTTTCTCAAAATGTTGGACTTTTTCTGAAAATCAAAAAATTCTGACTTTTTGTCAAAATCTAAAAATTCTGACTTTTTCTCAAAATCTCAAAATTCAATGTTTACTTCAGATTAGCTCCACGTCAGAAATGATCATGCTTGTCATATGTCTATCTCCATAGAGGCTGAATCATCATGTTAATCACATAGCTATCATATGCCTCAAACAGTCCTGATGCTCTTCTAGGTAATCATACATCCTGTCATGTACACAGCTACAGTTGGGATACCTTTGTTAGCATGTTACTCTCATATGGGACAGAGATGGCAAAAGTACACACATCCTTTACTCAAGTAGAAGTACAGATACTCATGTTTAAAAATACTCTGGTGAAAGTAGAAGTACTGACTGAACTTCTTTACTCAAGTAAAAGTAAAGAGGGCTTTGAAATGTACTTCAGTAAAAAGTACCCATAACTAGCAGCTGTTTTAAAGAGTACCTGACCTCCCTTTATATTAATAGAACAATAATGTCATTGTTAGCTAATGAATGTTTCCATGCTGAACAACGGCAACATGACAACGTTTTCATTGGTCCCTCTTCTTTAGAGAAGACCAGGAAATGATGGATACACGGATCGTGTTCAAATCAATAGGCACGCAATGACTCTAAATAATAATGATCACGCCACCAAACACACATTCAAACTAAGGAACCAGCCTGTTTGGGAAATGTAAGAAGTAGAAAGTACAGGTATTTGGGTTCAACATGTAAGAAGTAGAAAGTACAGGTATTTGGGTTCAACATGTAAGAAGTAGAAAGTACAGGTATTTGGGTTCAACATGTAAGAAGTAGAAAGTACAGGTATTTGTGTTCAACATGTAAGAAGTAGAAAGTACAGGTATTTGGGTTCAACATGTAAGAAGTAGAAAGTACAGGTATTTGTGTTCAAAGTGTAAGAAGTCAAAGTAAAAAGTTGTCAGAAAAATAAGTAGTGGAGTAAAGTACTGATACCAGAAACATGTACTTAAGTACAGTAACAAAGTATTTGTACTCCACTACTTCCCACCTTTGATATTGAAGAGTGTTTTCCCCGCAGGTGAAGGAGCAGCTGCTGAAGCACAACATCGGGCAGCGGGTGTTCGGGCACTACGTCCTGGGTCTGTCTCAGGGCTCCGTCAGCGAGATCCTGGCCCGGCCCAAACCCTGGAGGAAGCTCACGGTGAAGGGGAAGGAGCCGTTCATCAAGATGAAGCAGTTCATCTCCGACGAGCAGAACATCCTGGCTCTGAGGACCATCCAGGTCCGACAGAGAGGTGAGGGGAGGAGATCATGTACATTATTTACAGAGGGCCACATACAGAAACATATACGAAGGTCTGGGCCCCTCACTAGAGGTATATCGCCTCATAAATTCAGTTATAAGTTAGCCAAATCAATCAAATGTAGGTACATGATGCTTGTGAGTGTTGGCAGCTCATCCCTTAAAACAGAAGCCTCAGATTGATGATAATCAGGAGAAATAGGAAGGGTAGATTTCACGCTTGTTATGGAAATAAGTTATTGGGCTTTTTTCTTATCAACTAAGATTTGTTAGAAAATGTTTCCAACTTGAATTGACTGAATTTCTTTGAAAAGTGATCTTATTAACACATGAATACTACTGTGTAATATATGTTTACATTTATATTTAAAAAGTACAATATAAGGAAAGCACAAGTTTCATTTGTGGGCCATATTCCATTATACTTTTTTAATTTGCTGAGGGCCGATTCAAAATGGCCCCCGGGCCGTAGTTTGGACTCCCCTGATTTAGCTAGTTCTGAGAGAAGAATCAACATGCTGCATAACAAGATAAAACACAATAACCTCTATCAGCTGACGCCAGCAGGCAGGACCAGGGAGACAAAACACTGCTCAAGGTCGTGCTCAGTGAGGACAAACTGATAAACTGGGTCAAAGTTATGAGCTCAGGAAATTATTTCCCCAACAGTACTCAGGTTCTTAAAGAAGCGCTATTCTGCTCTTTGTGGTTTTCCCTTTCCTGTAGAGTGTTATTTAGGTTTTAGTGGTTTTCCCTGTTATTTAGGTTTTTGTGCATGTAATTGGTCTAAAAGCCCTGTGTTCCATCCAGAGGGAGTTTCTCTCTGCCTGAAACGCCTCCATTGGACTCCTTTGTTTACTTCTGTTGAACTCCAATCCAATCCAACTTCAAATTAAACTAATGTAAAAGCACGAGACAATAAAACCATCCTTATAGCCACAGACTGAAAGAACAGTCATACACGATGTAAACACATTTGAAAACACAACAAAATAGAAAACCCCAATTTAGAAAACACAGACTGATACGTGTTATACGTGGTCTGCAAAAGCACGGGAGAACAAGTAGGTCTTTGAACGAGATTTAAAAACAGGCAAACTGGGAGCAAGTCTGATCATTATGGTCATTATGTAACACTCGCTACGTGATAGGCTAAGGGACGGGACATCTCTTAGCGGTTAACCAATCACAACAGAGCCGGCCAGCTAACCAATCAGAGCAGACTGGGCTCTGGTTTCAGACAGAGGGTGAAAAGAGGTGCTGCAGCACAGGCAGTATGAGAAAAATAAAGCATGCGTCACTTTCTCATAGACTTCTATACAATCAGAAAAACTGTTGAGTTTTGTTAGTGTTTCAGCAACATTACATTACATGACACTTGTTAGACGCTTTTATCCAAAGCGACTTACATACTCAATACTGTGGGCAATCCCTACAGGAGCAATTTGGGGTGAAGTGTCTCAGGGACACAACGACATGCTGACTGCAGTGGGGTTTGAACCTGTGACCCCCTGATCCCAACACCAACGCACAACCCACTGCACCACACACCTCCATAACACAATCATTTTTTTAGAGCACATGTCATCATGCAACCTTTATTTGGTGGCTTCATTTCTGGACCTGTGCATCTAATCCTTGCCTTTGATTGAGACCATAGCGTCATTTTCTCATAGACTTCTATACAATCTGTCAACCAGTGGAGTCTCAATTTAAGCATAGTGGGAGGCTGTGGCGCAGTGGACTAGTGTGTTGGTGTTCGCATCAGGAGAGCACAGGTTCAAACCCCACTGCAGTCAGCATGTCGTTGTGTCCCTGAGACACTTCACCCCAAATTGCTCCTGTGGGGATTACCCACAGTATTGAGTATGTAAGTCACTTTGGATAAAAGTGTCTAACAAGTGACATGTAATGTAATACGTTGCTTCATCTTCTAATTGACTCTTAATGAGACCATCATTTACAAAATGAGCACTATCCTGAACTGGAGAAGACTTCAAACTAGAGATTGAAACCATAAACTCATCAGGTAAATGTTGATTGAGGTAATGAGTCAGGTGAGAAGTAGCGTAATTTTCTTATAGACTTCTATGAAATGTGTTAATAAGTTAAAGGCACTTCTGCAATGGCTTCACTTTTTCAGAACCATCTTGATTTGATCCTTTCTCTGGTTTCTTTTTTATCTGGAGCACTAGTTAGTGTGTCAGCGAGAGTATACACATACTGTATATTTTATAGCAGATGTCATCATGCAATCTGTATTTGGTGGCTTTAGTTCTGGACCTGTGCATCTAATCGTTGCCTTTGTTTGATACCGTATCACATTTGTTATAAGTGAGGCAATACACCAAGTGAGAAGTAGCATCATTTCCTCATAGACTAAACAACCTGACCTTGATTTAATCCTTTCTCTCGTTCATTTCTTATCTCAAACCCTTCAGAAAAGGTTTATAGGGAAATTGTTTGAGATTTTTTTTTTGTTAGCGTTTCAGCGACAATATACTAATATTTTTAAGAGCACATATCATCATGCAACCTTCATTTAGTGGCTTGATTTCTGGACCTGTGCATCTAATCCCTGCCTTCTTCTTCTCGTCTCGCTCCTCCGTGTTTGTAGTGTTACTTTTAAACTTTGTTTTCTCCCCAGATTCTCAGCGTTTGAAAGTTGAGCTTCCCGTACACTGCACCCTCAGACAGCACGCGCTCAAAGGCAGCCATTGATCTAGCAGTCAAAAGCAAAGCCTTGGAAGTGCTCTCTGATCAGCCATCCCACTCACCCTCTCTCCCCCCTCCTCTCTCTCTTACCCTCTGTGGCAGGGAGCATCACTCCTCGCATCCGAACTCCTGAAACTGGGTCAGACGACGCCATCAGGAACATCCTGGAGCAAGCCAAGAAGGAGATCCAGTCCCAGAGGGGAGGTGAGGGGGAGGCAGAGAGACATATTGATTGATTTGACTTGTATTGATGTTTACCGTCTTTATCATGCATTTGGATCACTTTGTTGCAACTTAATATGAAAGGGTTGCACAACAGCCATGTCTATAATGCGTTTTTTGAAAGAACTGTTATACAGTAAACTGCTTATATCGCTGTTTAATTATCATTGGAGAAACACGTACATATTTATAATGATTTTTAACAATAATTTTAAGCATGTTATAACTTCTATGTATCGTAATACTAACATTCAGTGCATAAATACTGCTCGTGCATTACATTTATTTTTGCAAGAACCAAAGAGTAGTAGTTGAAGTAACTTATTCCCACAATATAATGCATTTTTTTTAAGTACTTATAAAGCGTTATACAGTAAACTGCTTAAATTGCTGTTTTATAATCATTGTAGGAACAAGTACATATTCATAATGCTGTAAAACAAAAATAATATAACATTATGAAGCATTTTATAATTACTTATAAAGTCGAATATCAAAATACTCAATAAATACTGCTTATGCAATGAATTTATTTAACTAATATGTATTGTATTTTCTCAAGGTTGTGATGTATTATAATCACCGTTATAATAAAGAAAAGGTTAAATAAATAAATAACTCTTATTAAAGTAAACAAGCCCACTGGTAAACTTTTAACCACATTATTATACATTTTAAAGGGGACCTATCATGCAAAATGCACGTTTTGATGTCTTTTATACTTAAATATGTGTCCCCGGTGTGTCGGGGAACTCACGCAGCATCAGAAAATAAAACCCTCTCTCTTTTCCTCCGTACCCAAATCTCTAAAAACGGGGAACAACGGAGCTGATCCAGATTAGCGTCCGATATGACGTAATATCTGAAATGTGGACCCACGGCCCTATCAGAAACGTTGCTATCAGAAACAATGCCCGACTGTTTTGGACGTAATATGGTCTGTGTTTACATTAGCATCGCTAACACTCAGAGCTAACCTGTACTGGAGAGCATGTGTGTGAAGAAGCAGGAAATAAAAAGGAACTCACCTTGTGGTATAACCGGCAAGAGAGAAAGCCTTTGAGCTCCATACTGTTTCAGAAAGAATCCTTGATAATCCATGATATGGCGTTTCATCACGGCAGTATTTAGTTTAGACAGTAGCTGCCGGGTCCCGCATGAGCTCAGACCCCTCCTTTTTTATTTTTTAAAGCTTTATACCCAAATCAGCACTTTTGAAACAGGAAGTGAAACAGAGGGATATGAGGCATGGCTAGAATGGGTGATCTGTTTGGTATTTTGAGCAAAACACTTCATAGACATGATTTTTATATATCTGAGACCTATGCTATTGCCTACAAATAGCATGATAGGTCCACTTTAACTGTGACTATTGTCCATTGCAAAACAATTATATATATATATATCTTTTATTATGAACTTTGATCATTTTTTTTTGCATCCTGAAAAAAATATGTCAGTGAGTGAGCATCAAATATGTATGAACCGTAGACATCGGTTGCTGAGTAAGAGTTACGCAAAGCTTCAAGAATGCACACTGCATAGCTTCAAACAAAAAACAAAAAAGGTTTATGAGCAACATTTGAGTCGTAACCTTCATCTGGCAAAACACATTCTTATAGAAAGCTGTTTTTAAAAGCCTCAGAGTCAGAGTGTGTTTTTGGGAAGCTTTATAAATATGAGTGCTTATAACTATGATTATACAGAGCTATAAACAGATTATAACACATTTTCAGTCTGTTAATTATGCATTATAGACATGGGTTGTATAGAAAGTGTTACCTTAGGGTTGAACATCAACTCCTACACACAGTATCACTTCCCAAAAAATATATTATCTAACTTGAAACCAAAAACAAATTTGCAACATTTTTGTACCTACCAAAAAGTGATTTTAGAAATCTTTCTTACGGTTAAAAAACAATTCAAGATTCAAAAAGATTCAAAGGTGTTATTGTCATATGCACAAAGCTACAGTGTAGAAATGGCAATGAAATGATTCTGACCTGAGCTCCTCCAACAATGCAACATATATAATAAAATACAATGTAGTGCAAAAAGTCTATATACATGTACAAGAACAGAAGATGAAATTAAATAATGTAAATTAAGACACAATTAAATACGGCTGATTGCGGTTCAAAACAAACAGGAATGTTTATCGGGGCACTTAACAGAGCTCAGGTGTTTAGCAGTCTTATGGCCTGTGGGATCAAATGTGAATACTTATGAGTGCTTATAACAATGTAAGTATGCTATCTTTAATGCATTACAGACATTGGTTGCATAGAAAAAGTTACACAGTAAGAAGCAAGTATGCACACTGCATAACTTATCTCATCTGGCAAAACAAGTCTTATCAAAAGTTGTTTTTAAAGTCAGAGTGTGTTTTCAAAATGTGTTTTTAAAGTCAGAGTGTGTTTTCAAGATGTGTTTTTAAAGTCAGAGTGTGTTTTCAAGATGTGTTTTTAAAGTCAGAGTGTGTGTGTGTCCCAGGCGAGGGGCGGTCTCTCCTCAGCTCGTCGTCGGGCCGCAGCAGCATCGGGCCGGGCAGCAGCTCCGATGACACCATAAAGAACATCCTGGTGCAGGCGAGGAGGGAGATGGAGGCGCAGCAACACGCCATCATGGAGATGGAGGTCTGTGGGAGGAGCCCCTCTGTTGGATCCGGCCCTCAGGTGGAGCGTCTGGGCCCCCCCGAGCGCTCCAGAGCCCCACAGAGACCCCTGTCCATCAAACAGGAAGAGGGTGGAGTCACCCTCTGCATGGCTAACCCAATCAGCAGCCCGCAGACCCCCCTCAGCGTCCTCTCCCCCGCTGCTTTCGTGCAGAACATCATCCGCAAAGTGAAGTCTGAAATCGGGGAGGTGGGGAGCTACTTCGACCAGCACTGGAGCCACGAGCGGGGGTCCATGGTGCTCAGTGGAGGAGGGAGTTCTCTACCTTTTAATTCAGTCTCCCCCTCCCTGTCTTCCACCTCCTCCTCTGGACCCCCAGTTCTCCCCCGACCGTGGCCCCGCCTGGAAAATGGAGAGTTTCAAACAAACAGTGAGGAGGCATCGGGGGCCGAGGAGGAGCTGGTGAAGGTGAATATATATATATATATATTTTATATATTTTACTCTTTAGTAGTGATGTTACTGTTACTCACTGGTCACCGGCTTGAGCTTCAATCTCAAATTCAGACTTTTTCTCAAAATTCGGACTTTTTCTCAAAATTCGGACTTTTTCTCAAAATGTTGACTTTTCCCCAAAATTCTGACTTTTTCAAAAAAAAATCCAAATTCTGACTTTTTCTCAAATATCTGACTTTTTCTCCAAAATCTGACTTTTTCTCAAAATCTCAAGAATCTGACTTTTTCTCAAAATCTCACAATTCTGACTTTCTCAAAACCTATCTTCAATCTCAGGATCCATGTATCTCTGATCCTCTCCAGAATGGAAGTAGTCATCACATACAGAGCATCAACTAGTTCCTGAACAGTGTCCTTCACATGCTGATATCCAAGAGAGGGAGTTACACAGTCACAAGATGGAGGAATAGAAAGCAGTATTCAATGTTTACTTCAGATTAGCTCCACGTCAGAAATGAGCATGCTTGTCATATGTCTATCTCCATAGAGGCTGAATCATCATGTTAATCACATAGCTATCATATGCCTCAAACAGTCCTGATGCTCTTCTAGGTAATCATACATCCTGTCATGTACACAGCTACAGTTGGGATACCTTTGTTATCATGTTACTCTCATATTGGAAGAGTTCATTCACTATGTTCCCAACACTTATGAAGGTGGTGGAGGTGAAGGTGGAGTCGGACACCTCTGTGAGCGGGGAGTCTCCGGGTCCAGGACCACGAGGAGGACTCTCTTACTATCCGGCTTACATCCCGCGCGCCCTGAAGCCCACCGTGCCCCCGCTGACCCCAGAGCAGTATGAGATGTACATGTACCGCGAGGTGGACACGCTGGAGCTCACCCGCCAGGTGAAGGAGAAGCTGGCTAAGAACGGCATCTGTCAGAGGATCTTTGGAGAGAAGGTATGAAAGAGTGTTATGAATCTGCTTTCTGTGTTATATAGGTTTTTGTGTGTAAACGCCTCCATTGGACTCCTTTGTTGACTTCCTGAACATAGTGACATCATGATGTAACACTTGCGCTTCTATTGGCTAGAGCTTGTGATCGGTTGACCAATCACAACAGAGCCGAGACACTACATACTGATATACACCTGAACATTAGCAGGAGAGGACTCTTTAAAGTAGAGACACTACATACTGATATACACCTGAACATCAGCAGGAGAGGACTCTTTAAAGTAGAGACACTACATACTGATATACACCTGAACATCAGCAGGAGAGGACTCTTTAAAGTAGAGACACTACATACTGATATACACCTGAGCATCAGCAGGAGAGGACTCTTTAAAGTAGAGACACTACATACTGATATACACCTGAACATCAGCAGGAGAGGACTCTTTAAAGTAGAGACACTACATACTGATATACACCTGAACATCAGCAGGAGAGGACTCTTTAAAGTAGAGACACTACATACTGATATACACCTGAACATCAGCAGGAGAGGACTCTTTAAAGTAGAGACACTACATACTGATATACACCTGAACATCAGCAGGAGAGGACTCTTTAAAGTAGAGACACTACATACTGATAAACACCTGAACATCAGCAGGAGAGGACTCTTTAAAGTAGAGACACTACATACTGATATACACCTGAACATCAGCAGGAGAGGACTCTTTAAAGTAGAGACACTACATACTGATATACACCTGAACATCAGCAGGAGAGGACTCTTTAAAGTAGAGACACTACATACTGATATACACCTGAACATCAGCAGGAGAGGACTCTTTAAAGTAGAGACACTACATACTGATATACACCTGAACATCAGCAGGAGAGGACTCTTTAAAGTAGAGACACTACATACTGATATACACATGAACATCAGCAGGAGAGGACTCTTTAAAGTAGAGACTGATATGAAGCTGAAAATGAACATTATATATCTTTAAAATAAATCTCATGCAACACGCTTGTATGCTAATGTAGAATCTGTTCTCACTGCAACAAAATGTGAAAATACGAGAACAATCATACTCCTGAACCAAGGACTTCTCATACACTAGCAGAGGATAGCATAAGAATTTGACACTGAGTAGACATATTTAATAAAGTCCCATAATATAACTTGTGACTTTTGATATGGTAATCATATTGCAGTTGCATCGTACACAACCAGCTTGCAAAATAATATTTTCAGTCTTCAAACCAAATGGCTTTTGGATGTTCAAAATATAAGCAGCTAATTTGCATATATTTTTCGAGGCGTTAAATGGTGCTCATTATGTCCCTGGTGTCAGCTCTGCATGGGCATCCTAGTCCTATATGTAATCATTATTAGCAAACCAAATTAACTGAGGCAAGTCCAAGACCAGGTCCAGTGTGTAGACTTAAAAAGAAAAGAGGATTTGAGTGCTCTGAAATGCTGTGTTTGATTTCAAGCAGGTAAACTAGAAGCTGTCTGAAAGTCTTTAGGGGCGTTATCCTAGTTGTTGTCTTAGTGAATAAACTCATGACCATGGATGTTCTTTATCTCCATGAAAAGTGCTTAAACTACCAGTAAAAAAATGACTTATCATAAATATTTGTAATGTACCATCGCCCTCTAGTGGCTGTTTGCTCAAAGTGCATCACTGAGGCTTTACAGAAAGAGCTTCTGTACTGTGTCATTATCATTTCTTTAATACATTTCTTGTTCGTATTGTCACAAAAAGCATGTGCAGGTTACATGCATTAACCTGTATTACATATACAACGTATAATTAGCTGTATTTGATATATAAAATATATTTAAATGTGTTTTATGGTGCAGTTGCAGGTACAATGAAACAACCTGTATTATATATATATATAAAAACTATATAAACCTGTAATTGATGGTGCTGATCAAATGCACCTGCACCTGTATTGTATATGTAAACTATATTTACCTGTAAGAAATATATATCATATTTTAAGCTGTGTGATATGGTGCAGGTGCAGGTTGCATTAACCTGTATTACATATATAAAGTATAATTACCTGTGTTATATGTATTAAGTTATACTTCCCTGTGTGTTCTGCAGATCCTGGGTCTGTCTCAGGGCTCTGTGTCCGACATGCTGTCCCGACCCAAACCCTGGAGCAAACTGACTCAGAAAGGTCGCGAGCCGTTCATCCGCATGCAGCTGTGGCTCCTGGACCAACTGGGCCAGAGCCTCAACCCGCCCCTCCACCACGGACACACTCTGGGTGAGACACACACACACATTAACACACACACACACACACACACACACACACACACACACACACACACATGAACACACACACACACACACACACACACACACACACACACACACACACAACACACACACACACACAGTAACACACACACACACACACACACACACACACACACACACACACATTAACACACACACACACACACACACACACACACACACACACACATTAACACACACACACACACACACACACACACACACACACACACACACACACACACACACACACACACACACACACACACACACACACACACAAAGAGAAGCCAGAATCACACTTGAGATGAGTTAGTGCCAAAAATCATTTGTTCTGATCACTTTTTGTTTTTCATCATTTTCAGGTCATTTTATATCAGTTTTTTGTGCACATTTAGTGTCTTTGTAGCCATTTTGTGTCTTTGTAGCCATTTTGTGTCTCTTGATGGTCAATTTGAAGGTCTTTATAGCCATTTTGTTTGTCTTTGCTGTTGGTTTCAGTCACTTCTTTGTAATTCTTTGGGTATTTCTGTATCAATTTGTTGTCTGCGTGTTGTGCATCTCTTTGTAGTATTTTGCCCACCTTCCATGTAAGTCTCTTTTTGGCCATTTTGAATCTCTTCCTGGTCAGAGGGTGTTTCTCAATCTCGAGTAAAGCTGCTTCAGAGCCACTATTTCAAGCATACTATGTCATCGAGTGCCGCCGAAGTACTGTTCCAATGTCCAGCATACTTGGAAATCTACCGAGCCCGGCGTACTCCGTTTGGAGAAATATCGAGGCTGCACATGAGTAGACTTAAAATCCCCACAATGCTTTGCGCACGGACCAATTTCCCCAAATCTGTGGCGGAAGATGTAAGGCGGGGCCTCTCATATGACGCACACCTGCACACTTGCTAGCCTGTTCCACTCTTCGTTTTCCGAATGCCAGGAAGTATTCTTGACTCGCTTCTGAAGCAAGATGCTCGGCAGACATGTGCTACCAAGCAAGCGTACTCGAGATTGAGAAACACCCAGTGTGTCTCTTTAAATTATATTTTGCCGATGAAGTCGCGTTGGGGCACTTACTTTCTAGGTATCTTGGGTTAATGCCCGTTTGGCCTGTTCAATTTCAAATGTGGGAAATAAAGACAGAAAAAAGTAAGTTTAGTCCTTTGAAGGCGTCCAAAAGAAAAACTAATTGTTGCATACGTTAAAAAATTCGTTGTTGTGAAAGTTGTTTTTAAATGTCCTTTTCTCCTTAAGATGCAGATCAGAGCCCGGTGACGGCCCAGTCGTCCCCCTCGCCGCCCCCCTCCCCCGCTGAGAGCCCCCTGGAGCCCGGCAGCCTGTCTCTGGAGAGCAGCAAGGAGAACCAGCAGCCAGAGGGCCTGCTGCTGCCCCCCCCACCCCGATGGAGGGAAGCCTCCCCCCGGCCTCATGGCCCCCCAGCAGCCGCCCCAGCCGCTGGGCATCCAGGAGCTGGTGGCCGTCGCCTCGGAGCTCGACACCTACACTATCACCAAGAAGGTGAAGGAGGTGCTGACAGACAACAACCTGGGTGGGTCTGAGTTCAAGATTCAAGGCTTTTTTATGTTTCGCTTGGTCATTTTGAGTCTCTTCCTGGTCCCTAAGTGTCTCTTTAAAGTTACATATTGCAGGTGAAGGTGTCGCTTTGTAGTTTTTTGCCCCCTTTCCGTAGTCCTTGTACATGTAAGTGTCTTTCAGTGGCATTTTCATTTTTGTATGTTTCACGTGGTCATTTTTAGTATTTTCCTGGTCCGTATGGGTGTCTTTTAAAGGTCCCCTATTATACTGTTTTTCATCAATATATTACAGGTCTCAGATATATACAAAACATGTCTCTGAAGTGTTTGGCTCCAAACACCAAACAGATCATTGCAGCATCCCATAATCCCCTCTGTTTCAGCCCTGTTTCAAAAGTGCTGATTCTTGAATAGGAGGAGATTCAGGTGATAAACTCTGAAGCTTTCAGAGTCTGTTTACACAGAGTCTCTTCTACATGTTGATGTAGAAGAGACATGAACAAGTGGATTTTGCACAATAGGTGACCTTTAAGTTACATATTGCAGGTGAAGGCAAGGGGGGGGGCTGATTTGTTGGGTATCTTGGGTTTATGTGTGTTAGACTTGTTCATTTTGAGTTCTTGCTAACTGAACGGTGTGTGTGTGTATGTGTGTCTCCGCAGGCCAGCGTCTGTTCGGGGAGACGGTCCTGGGCCTGACGCAGGGCTCCGTGTCCGACCTGCTCTCCAGACCAAAGCCCTGGCACAAGCTGAGCCTGAAGGGCCGCGAGCCGTTCGTCCGCATGCAGCTGTGGCTCAACGACCCGCACAACGTGGACAAGCTGCGGGCCATGAAGAAGATGGAGAAGAAAGGTGTGTGTGTGCACGATGTGTCTCTGTAGGAGCCATGAATATGTATATATACACACGGCATCTATTGCACGTCTGTCCGTCCTGGGAGAGGGATCCCTCCTCTGTTGCTCTCCTCAAGGTTTCTTCCATTTTTCCCCATTAACTGTGGGGTTTCTTTGGAAGTGTTTCCTTGTACGATGTGAGGGTCCAAGGATATGTTGATGTGACACATGGAGCTGCTGTGATGCAAGTCACATTTGAGACTTGATCTGACCATTAAAGTATTATCGTATCGTATCTCTTCAGCGTACCTGAAGAGGCGCTACGGTCTGCTGAGCACGGGTTCGGACAGCGACTCCCCGAGCGTCCGGTCGGAGTGTGTGAGCCCGGCGCTGGCCTCTCTGGACCTCTGCCCCTACAGCCAGGCCAAGAAAATCCGGGTGGTGCTGGGCGCTGAGGAGAAGGAGGAGCTGAGGAAGGCCTACCTCCTGGAGCCATACCCCTCCCAGAACACCATCGAGATCCTGGCCTCGCAGCTCCACCTGAAGACCAACACCGTCATCAACTGGTTCCACAACTACAGGCACGTACAACCAGCTGTAAAATGTAAAACATAGTGAGCTCCTATTGGCTAATGCTCAAACACATTGTCATCAACTGGTTCCACAACTACAGGCACGAACAACCAGCTCTGATCAAAATCAAAGTAAACTTTATTGTCAATCTTTCAGTTTGTGTGTACAGACAGAGATCGAAATACCATTTCCCACAATCCTGAATACAAAAACAACAAATATATATAAAAATATGTATGCAAATATGTATATACCTATATACTGTATACACAATCAACAGACACATTTATACATATGCACACATTAAGACCTAAATAAAAGAGTTGTACTTGAATAGTTCCATTTAAGGCTGCTTATTATTTCTGCTCCACTACATTTCTGAGGCAATTATCATACTTTTTAGGTATAAAACATGGTATGCTTATACTATGTGATGCACTACTGTACTACTAACAACTGATTCTTCCTCCACAGTTGTGGACAGTAACTTAGTACATGTACGCAAGTATCCACAACCACAGACACGTACAACCGTTTTACTGCTGTCTCACTGTAAACTGCAACTAGGAGTGTACATTTACTCAAGTACTGTACTTAAAGTGGACCTATCATGCTATATTTGAATAATATAGTGTAGGACCATACCTATATAAGGCATATTTATACTTTTTCTTTTTCAAAATACCAAACAGATCATGCATTTTAGCCATGCCTCATTTTGCTCAATTTTACATTTTTTAGATCTGTTTTAGCAAGGGCTGATTCAGTGAGAACAGCACCATCTACTGGCCTGGCATATGTACTACAGCGTCTCCAGCGCTTTCGAACGGCAATGGCCGTGGCTGTCTCCTCCTGATTGGTGGAGTTGGCCCAATAGCCGTAGCGCCACCGTCCTGACGTCAGGACAGTGTTCAAATCTGGATCAGTTTTTATCAGATCCGTTGCAGCCCCTTTTTTAGAGATTTGGGTATGGAGGAAAATAGAGAGGGTTGTGTTTTCTGACACTTGGTGAGTTCCCTGGAACACCGGGGACACATATTCATGTATAAAAGACGTACACAAGTGCATTTTGCATGATAGGTCCCCTTTAAGTACTATTTTGACAAACTTGTCATACTTTTTGCTCTACTACTTTTTATTTAACACTTACTTTTTACATATACTGTACAAACACATTGCACTATTGTACTACTAATAACCCAGTATTTAAAAAAGTTGTGGACAGTAAATGTACTTAAGTATTGTACATGAGTCCTTTTGCTACATCCGGAACATAGACATGACATCACTATGTAACACTCGGGGCTCCTATTGGCTAGCGCTCCAACACATTGTTTGTGATAGGCTAAGGGGCGGGACATCTCTAAGCGGTTGACCAATCACAGTCTAACAGCAGTTTTTTGTGCGCAGGTCCAGGATGCGACGGGAGGTTTTGATGGAGGGTCTGCAAGACAACGACATGGATGCTGAGCCTCACAGCTACTCTCCCTCAGCGACACGGAGCCCGCCCTCAGAAGGGGAGGACCGCAGACCCCCTTCAGGACACATCCACACCTCCCTGCCTCACGTCAAACAGGAAGAAGAGGGAGGTGAGCTGATGAAGTCCTCCAGGGTCCAGTGTTTCTCCACCGCCGTGCAGTTCCCACAGCTGAAAAGCGAGCACGAGGATGCAATGTCTGGATGTCGGGAGCCTCATCTGGAGGGGATGAGCAGCCCGGGTCAGGGTCTGTACGCTGACGGCCCCCAGAGGAACATCCAGTCCAGGCATGAAGGAGTGGGGGAAGAGTCTGGGAAGTCCCCCGTGGATCCGGTGAGCTTCAAGGCTTCGTCGGAGCCGTGCCGCAGCAGTTTGGAAGTTTCCCTGAACTCCCCGTCCGCAGCGTCCTCCCCCGGCCTCATGATGTCCGTCTCCCCCGTCCCCTCTTCCTCCGCCCCCATCTCGCCCAACCCCCCCTCCACGAGCACCAATCACAGCCTGGACCCCGGCCAGCTGCAAAGCCCCAAAGTCAACAGAAGCAGTCAGAGACGCAACGAGAAAATGGCCAACCTCAATAACATCATCCACAGGTTAGAGAGGGCGGCCAATCGAGAAGAAACACTGGAGTGGGAGTTTTAATTAAACCCCCCCCCACCAACGTCTTTTTGCTTGTATGTAGTACGGATGACCCTCGCGGCACACAAGGGGGTCTCAAATTAAATCTTCCTCGGAGTGGAGCCTGGCTCCTGAAAAGACTGAAAACTCACCGGGAAAAGCTAAACTGAATTCCCTGCAAGAACTAAAAAAAAAGTTTATAATTGTGTATTTGTTGTTTTTCTTTTGATAATGCATACTACTTTGAGATATATGTGACAGCACTAGCTGTTGTTTTACCTATTGGACTTGACATGAAGACTTTTGCAGCTATGGTGTCATAAAATGTACACTGAAGTTCTGTAGATTGCCACTGGGTGAGATTAAAAAAAGACCCCTGTCTTAAGCCATTAAAAGCACTATAACTATTTGAAAAAGAGACATTGACCAAATTTGCTACTTTTTGAATAGCAATTTTTCAGATTTTGTCTGTAAGACTGGACAGTTTAAGTCATGTAACATGAAATCCTACTGACTGAGGGATAGTCCTTTAAGACTCTAAATACTCAACATCTTGTATGTAACTTAGTTTCTTGGTGATATGTTTTGAACTATTTGTAACTCACACGTATAAAATGTGGTTGTACATGTTGTAGAATTGTCTGCAATAGCCTTCTCTAAACCTGATGTAGCATGGTACTCACCTGACCCTGTTATCCTCTGTAGTTAGTCACCTGTGATTATACTTGAGCGAAAACAAGAGAAAAAAAAAGTTGAAAACCCTGCAAAAAACAAGAAAAAAGGAGAATCGAATGAGTAGAGTACTTTTAGTGTTTCTGTTTTCTTTCTTTGTATAATCCTTGAGGTTTACAGTTTAGGGCCCTTGTGCTTCAGTAAGTGAGACGTTCACTACACGAGCACAGTTTACACGGTTTCTTTCAGATTTACCTCTCTGACCCTCCAAGGCGCTGGTTCTCAGACTGTAACAGGACACCTGGTTTACCTCAGATTATGTTGATGCACATCATGCAATGACCATGTGTTTCATTCTTATACATAAACATGACACACACTTATAGAGTGGTGCAGATGACGTATGTTTGTAGGCTAACTCAAATGTTAGCATCGCAAAGAGCTTCCTCGACAAAATGTGATTATTGCAGATAATCTTCTATGTGGCAAACACACTTTTATGATACTTACACATTTTATTCAGCAGGATAATCTCCACATATTAACACCACTTTTATAATAGTTAACGAGGGAATGCAATATCCAGAAGTCAAAAGCTAACGTTTGGATATAAACAAACTACAGAATGATCACATGACAGGATACAAGGATGCAAACTCCAAAAGCTAATGTTGGGCTATAAAGGAACTACAGCACGGTCACATGACTTCACGTCACCACCGCTAAGCTAAAGGAGGCTAATGTTGGGCTATAAAGGAACTACAGCACGGTCACATGACTTCACGTCACCACCGCTAAGCTAAAGGAGGCTAATGTTGGGCGTGATGACGTTTAGTCGTCTCATTTAGACACTTGTTAGCAACCGCTGTTTTATAAATTCATATTCAGTGGGTATTTACTGACATGTTTTACGTGAAATCTATTCAGCTTGTGTTAACCACAGACCTTCATTTTAGGTAGCTAGCCAAACACAAACTCTAAAAACAAGACGAGGGACTGAGAAGTGGTAAAATGCTAATGCTAATAGTCATTTCTGGGTTCAAGCACTCATTCCTGCACCACTCTACTAGAACCAATGGAGGGATCAGATCTGTATCATGCCTCAGACGTGATCGAAAACATGAAGCGAGTTTTAACGAACACAATCTGTCTTTTACAAAGAACATGCTGCTGTGAGCTAATATTATATGTGTATAATATGATCCTCCTCAACCCTGATTGAGTGCACTTTTTAAAAATGTGGGTCATTTATTGTAGCTAGAATACTGCGATGTGGGGCGGTTTGATATGCAAACCTGCCGTGAGAAACACTACAGTGCTGTGAATTGATCTGAGAGCATGATACAGATGACCTCTAATCAGCATAATAAACATCTAATCTGTAAGTACACTATATTCAAGGACACACAAGGTTACAGGTACCCCTCATATTATCTTTGACCACTTGTGTATTGTGTCTGTGGAAGTTTTTTTGTCATGCTTGCGAGATGTTCTTTATGTGTTTTGCCTCTATTTTATACTCAGTTAACTAGATATTCAATACCTCGTGTATGAACTACTTACAGCACTTAGATTTTGATAATTGTGAGGACTTGAGAGAAAAATTTGAAATATCAACATTAACCTAACTTTAGTGTCCACAAGTCTTTGCCTTTACTGTATCGTTGAAGTTGGTAGTAAACACTTGCACATGTCTACATAGTTCAGAGGACTTGGATTGTATTATGTAGAGATATATATTACACAATTACTAAAAAAAGAAGAATAATATCTTACATTCTTGGAACAAAATGTGCTGATTATATTGAAATAGAGTGTACAGATTTAATAAACCAAACCCATTCAAGCCAGTTCTGGTCTGGCAAGCTTGCCCACGTTTTAGACCTTCTCTCAGGGTAGTCTTGCTTTTTAAAGCTTTACTGAAAAACAGTTGCTCATCAGTGGCGGTGACTATGATAAAACATTATGTGGTGTAGAGAAAGACTCCGTTAAATATTAAATGGATCCGTGGAAAGTTGTGTGTATACGGGAAATGCAACTTTCTCAGTAGGTGGTGGTGTGTGTTGGAGAGCTGTTTTGTAATTCATTACTCAGATGTGTCAAAGTGCAGCGTTGATTGGAAATAGCAGGACGAGGCTGGTGGGGTTTCAGATCAGTAGACTTTGCTCTCTAAAATACTCTTTCTGTTTTCTCTTTGGAGCCACAGAAGATTTTTCTCTGGTTTTCGTACCATCATTTTTTTGTGCATAATATACTGTATGATTAGAAGTGGCATTTCTAATGTGGAAATAACATTGTCTTTCATGGTAACATGGACATATGACTGAAAAAGAAATGTATTGACATGCATTATCTCTCCATGTAAAGCTCATCTCATCGTTTTGCATGCAAATCCATTCTGGTCTCATGACAGGGGATAGGGCTGTGTTTTTGTGTTGTTGTTCTTGCACAGGGACATTGAATCAGTCTTTTTACATTAGTGAAGTCCATGCATGGTGCAGCTGATAAATCTGGCTCTCACAAAGTCATCATCAAACAATAACTTCCAGGTAAATATTTAAATCAAGATTATTTTGTGCCATATCATACGCCTCATGCATTATCCTAACAGGAGTAAAGTGGTGAAGTGTGATTTAAGAAGGGTGTAGGGCTTTTTTGTAAGTTAAGAAACAGAGCAAAGCTTTTTTCATAACAGCAGCCCTACACATAAGATGGTTTTATTTTGTAATTGACATGAGTCACTAAATAAAGAGGCAATTGGTCGGATTCAAAATTTGAATGATTGTTATCAGAGTTGTTAATATAAAAACAATATTTACAACTCTTGGGAAAGTCCGCTGTGTGAGCCAATAAAGAGAGACGTCCTGCAGGCTTCAGTCACACATGTCAGGCTCGTAATGTTAAAGAATGGACAAAGGTATGCCAAGCGTCTTGGAAATTGAATTTGCATATGTAAGCCATCATTCAATACATACTTGTTTAAGATCCTGCTGTGTTGTGTTTTTATTTCTTCATGGTGAAGTGCACACACCCACAATACAGATAAATACACACAAATGAATGCTAACATTACAACTTAAATCTATAAAAACCTCACTGTAATGTGTAGCCTATTTCAGGAATCTAAAACGGCATGATATATCGTTAACTACAATGTTTTATTGCATTTTATACCTCAGTACATTTTAATTAGTAGAATGTAGTCAAATACATAAACGTAAAAGACCCTGTACAGAAGAATTAAAAAGATATATAGTTGGATTTTTATAAATGCCAATCATTCTTTATCCCTAAAAAACCCGGTATAACAATTTGCCGGTTAATTCATTACAAAACATGCAAACATCTTCATTTGTAAGTAAAATATGTAAGATAGATGTAGTGAAATAAAAAGCTCAATATTTCCCTCTAAGTTTAGTAGAAATATAAAGTTGCAGTAAAGAAAATACTTAAGTTAGGTATAAGTACCTCGTGGTGTAAAGTAACTAAGTAGATTTACTCAAGTACTGTACTTCAGTAAAATGTTGAGGTATGTGTACTTTATTTGAGTATTCAAATGTTGTACTTGTACCCCACTACAATTCAGAGGTATATTGTTTACTTTCACTCTACTACATTCATTGAATATCTTTACTTACTTTTGGATTATTGATATGAAATATAATTAACACTTAATTGAGTTACACCTGGAGTAACTTTCACAGGCTACCCTGCAGTCTACAACATTTGATCATTCTTAAATTAATCAATAATTAAAATCATATATATATATATCATTCTGAAATGGACCAATCTGCACAATGACTACTTTATTTATATTTTGATGCTAATACTTTTCTACTTTTTCTTGAGTAACATTTTGAATGCAGGACTTTTACTGTAACAGAGTATTCCTACACTCTGGTACAATTGTGTCATCTACAACTAAATACACATTTTAAATGTAATGTTAAATTCATCAACATTTGTGAACAAATGCAAGAAAAACACGTTTTCTTTACAAGTAACCAAAGGAAGAATTAATTAAATAAAACAATTAATTAGTTTAAAGAGTTATGTGAGTTGTTGATTGTTGTGCCGGATAATGTTGATAGTCAATTCATATAATACATTAATAGGAAAATAATAATAAAATGCCTGAGATGTGGGACCTGGTGTATCAGGTCAGTCTGATTCTCTCATGCTGTGGCAGGCAGAGAGAAACTGTCCTGCAATAATGCCGCTTTTTTCATTTCCCCTAGTAATACTTTTAGTTTTCCACTCCCTCATCAGTCCCAGTGTTTACATGATGGCACCGCATGGCGTGTGTTTAAGCCTGAGCCCCGCCCCTCTTGGCCTGAGACCGTGGTTCTGACGTGATGACGTCACCACGTAAGTTGTTGGGTTGGAGACTTTGATGGCGTCGAAGGCTCGGAGCTGGAGAGGGACGCAGTAGAGATGGCCTCGGCTCGGATATTATGACTAATGCCTATTTGATCGACGTTTATTTGCTGCTTACTAACTGCACGGGTTTCGGGTGAACCTTTGGCTTCTCATCGGTCCTGCAGCTGGTGAGTTATCCGCCGGTTGTTCTCTTTCCTCGGTTTGTTTTGACAGAAGGCCTCCGTGTTGGGTTCCGCCCTCCATCTCATGACAACAAAAACAGTTGGTAGCTTAGCATGCTAATAGGTAGCCGAGCAGTTTACTGGCTGCTCTGTGCTTCAGCGACTACTGGCAAACACTGTACAGTAATATACGATTAAAACACAACATATCATTAGCTTTTTAGTAAATGTTACAATTGGCTAATTGCGATGTTCATATTCAGTTTTTCAGCGTTAGCTTGCTAGCAATACTTTTAACTATTTAGCTAACTATTGACGTTAGCTCCAGAAAATCCATCCTAAAGCTAACCTTACCCACAGAGAAGTCAGGGCAGCAGGTATGCTGTTTTCTGCTAGCTCTACTTCTATCTATTGACATAGGTAGATATCTAATCTAAATTATAATTTAAATAACGTTAGCTACTGGCTTTTATGTGGAAATAAACAGTGGAGGAAAGTAAGTAGTATTTAGTATTTTAGTATCTACTCAGGTACTTTACTTGAGTACAATCTTTAGGGACTTTTAATGCTACTTTGTACTTTTACTCGTTTTTTTAGCAAACTTCAAATAACGTTAGTATTTATGTTGCTTTTGTGCAGTTTTTATTATGCCGGCGGAATTTTGTGCAGTGTTGGAAAGGGACTCAGATCCTTTACTTAAGTAAAAGTACAAATACTATGGTCTTAAAATACTCCCCTACAAGTTAAAGTCATGATTTCAAAACGTTACTTTAGTAAAAGTACAAAGTAACACCATCAACATGTACACAAAGTACTCATAATGCACAATGCATGGCCTTTGTTGTTCTGCACAATACAAAAGTATTATCAGCTAAATGTACTTCAAATATCACAAGTAAAACTCCTTAACAGTATTGTATTATTATGGTTAATATATTATCCTGTTTTTATACATTTGAGTTTTTTAGTTTCTCAATGTGAAATGTATACTTGAAATATTGTTTAGATAAGTACTTCAGTATACCACATCAGCATATCATGTGCTTTTATATATACAAAGTAAGTGTGAGTGTTAAATGAATGTAGTGGAATAAAAGGAACAATATTTACCTCTGAATTGTAGTGGGGTAGAAGTATAAAGTAGCTTTAAGTGGAAATACTCAAGTAAAATACATACTGTATATGTCAAAATAGTACTTAAGAACAATACTTGAGTAAATATACTCAAGTATCAAGCCGTCACAGCTTGAAATAACGTTAATATTTAACCTAGCAATTGAACTGCTCATCCAGTTGAATGTTGTTTTTATGACACAAATCTAGCCGACATGTGTGAGTTAATCCCTTTTACCGCTGTTGTTTTGATCATTTTCACCCTCACACCGTCCATGTAAAGTAACTGTCACTCGATGTACTTTATCGCCTCAGTCAGCGTTTTCTTTTCAACTTTAATAACATGAGTTAGCAGATGGAGGCAGTTTGCTGTGTTGCGCTGCAGCGTGTCACGGGACAGGAGGAACGTTAAGGCTCTAAGGGGCTTAGCCTTCCTCTCTGAACTCAGACCCGACTGAGCTGTAAACAGAGCCCTGTGTGTGTGGCAGATATGCTTTATCAGGTGGCACCGGCAGTAAAGGCTGGACTCCTCCGTCAGCCAAGTTATGATGACCTCCCCCCTCTGGCAGCCTCACACCACTCTCAATGACCAGGCAGTGTTCAGGTCCTCATGTGCCTTTAACCCTGCTGTCTTGTCCAAATACTCTGGTCTTAAAATACTCAACAAGTCAAAGTCAACTTTATTGCCGATCTTTCAGTTTGTGTGTACAGATAGAGAGATCGAAATACCGTTACCCACAATCCCTAATACAAAAATACAAATATATATAAACATATGTATATCCTATATATACACGATCAACAGACACATTTATATACATATGCACACATTAATACATAAATAAAAGCACAACAATCATATTGTGTTTTACATGTTATTGCCTCAAGGCCTTATGATGTCTTCCACAGTAGGCATTTGAACATATAACATTTCTGATCACCACTTTAATTTAATTTTGAGTGGTTTGAGTGGTCAACTTTGTAAGACCTATATTGACTGCCATAGGAAGTGAATGGGTTTATTTTCATCCATCAGATAGTACACACCCACAAACCGACAACCATGTTATTTTCAGTTTCTCTTCTTTTAAATTCACTGCAGTTATAGATAGATAGATAGATGGAGGAGTGTGGCGCAGTGGATAGAGCGTTGGTGTTCGGATCAAGGGAGCACAGGTTCAAACCCCACTGCAGTCAACATGTCGTTGTGTCCCTGAGACACTTCACCCCAAATTGCTCCTGTGGGGATTGCCCACAGTATTGAGTATGTAAGTCGCTTTGGATAAAAGCGTCTAACAAGTAGCATGTAATGGATAGATAGATATATGGATGGATAGATGGATATAGATGGATAGATGGATAGATAGATAGATAGATAGGTACTTTATTGATCCCAATTTGGGGAATGTTTGCGTTGCAGCAGTATTAAAAACAAGGCAATGTACATACGAGAAATAAAGACACTAGAAATAAACAATCCAAAATATTCCTGAAGTAGAAATAAATAGCATTAAAAAGTGGAAATAAATAAATAATTCATGTGAACCAGTCGTCTGAAATATAGTCTACAGCTTAAAAGGGAGTTAAATACAATGTTGGTGATGAGCCAAAACGGAATGGTCAAATGTGTAAGAAACACCAAAGTGGGGGGGGGGGGGGGGGGAACGAACAGGACAAGAGGGTAAATGCAATGGGGTTTTGCTCTTGTTTCTACCCTTTATATCTGCTCCTGAGAAAGTGTGCTAAGGTCCCGTGCTCCCCATTCACTGACCTCAGATCAGATTTCAGTCTCTGCAAGAGTAGCTGACCTTTACAACCCTTTGTGGGCCTGAATGCAGAGAGAGAGATCCCTAACAGGCTGCCTTTACAATACCATGTAGAGAGGGTCTGACATTACCTGATAAAACAAGTTGGCTCCTTTTCAGTTTCCCCAGTTATTTCTACTGTACACTGGACACAACAAATCAATACCAGGCAGCAGCCAAGTGTTGGGCTGTGCCAAGTCTGTGTGCTTGACCAGCTGTTTTTAGTTCAAATAGGGCTGTACCATTAAGGAAAATGTTATTGAATAATATGGACGAGGGCAAGAATTGAATCCCATTAAATGCAATGTTTTAGTTTAAGGCGAAGTATCTGAACATACTGCAAACAACATTATGCAGACCTTAATAAAACAAATATTACGGTTAACGTTTCCGCCTTCTTCGAGAGAAGATCGAGGGTTTTTATCGCTTGAAATGACGAAAAGAAAAAAGGACAAGGACATCCCTCTGTTGGAGGGGCAAAGGAGTCTGGTGGGATTATTTTCGCCGCCAGCAAAGCGTGTTCCTGTGACGGAAAGTGTACTGCCGGCGAGCCTTGACGGGGGGTGCTAGTGCAGCACGCGCGAAACTGAGTCTCCGTGGTGAACTGTGTTAACATGAAGAGCCGTTTAGTGAGCCGGATCATTTGGCTCTTCTTAGTGAGCCGAGCCAAATGATCCGGCTCACTAAAACGAGCCGGAATTCCCATCACTAATACGTAAAGAGATTGTATCTATAAGGGACGGCTCAATTCAAAATTCAAGTCACGTGACACAACGTGACGTCACACAACCTCTGAGTGGACGCCCTCTCAGCCCTGGTCTGGCGGAAACACTGTTTCTTATTAAATAACTCCAGACTTAATAACAGCTTTGTTGAGTACAGTTTCTCATAAAGTAACTCATCTTTTCCAAATCATCTGGGGCTAGCTTTAACCACAGGAGGCTATATTTAAAAAAAAAAGAAGTACATCCACAATACCTTTCATTAGCTCGTGTTGACCTCCAGATGTGACGGCAGGGGGTAAAATAATATTATGCATGGATCAAGTGTTCTTGTTTATTCCTGCATGTGGACGTTACATGGTCAGTTCATATGCCTGCCTGTGTGCTGGTTAGACTACAGTTAGTGCTTTAGGATCCAGATGGCTTTCTTTCCATCCCACAGCTGAGTGTAAGTGGTATCTCTTCCCTCACATGCACGCCGCTCTGACCACCAGCACAGCTATATTTACGAGGGAATCAAAAGAGCTTCTGTAGCTTGACTTTTCTTTACTGAAAAAGTCTGCTTTGTTAGGAAAATAATGTTTGTTTTCCTTCGTCTCCACAGATTTCCATGTCTTACGTGTAAGAGTTTCCAAACAGGATCATCAGGACTGCTCACTGTGCGTTACCGATTGTCTGGTAAGCCTAAACATATATATGACATTACTGGTTTTATTTGCTGCTTCTTTAAATGTGGCCACCAGTGTTTTAATTTAGGGCTGCTCGATTATGGCAAAAATCATAATCTCGATTATTTGGGTCAATAATTGATATCACGATTATTAAAAAACGATTATCCATTTACTTTGAAAACATCCATTTATTGGAGAAAAAAATGTGAACAGTATGTTTTTAACAGTTGATTACCCTGAACTTTAAGTATAATTCAACTGAAAAAATAAATACATTTGTTTTATTTCGATTATGTTGTTTTCATAATCGTTGCAAGCCAAAATCGTAATTGCGATTTAAAATACAATTTAATTGAGCAGCCCTAGTATAATTGTATCTTTACTGGATGAGTAGGGGGTTTAATTACATTACATTCAAGATTTCAATATGACACCGAAAAGGCACTTTCTCCAAAAACAAATACCAACTAATGATCATATCTAACAAAAGATGAGTTAATGCAGAACTGGTTGGCATTCAATTATATTTCATCCCCACTCATGCTTGCAAATCAAAACAAAAACTTAACTACATTTTAAACAACTTATCATATGACTTACTGAAGCCCAAAATCCTGCCACTGCTAGCCAAGCCCCGCCCCCTTTGAGTGCCATGTCATACAAATAGATTTTCTATTGAGCGTTTGGAACTCACTGTACTGCCTATAGGGGCTCGCCACCTCCTGTCGACCATGGGCTCTGATCAATGATTTTGCCCAGACCCCTGAGAAAGTATTTACACATGCCAGTGCCTGTGAACAACATCCCAAATGGAACAGGTCAGCAGTTTGACCTGCAGACCCTCCCTGCAGAGCAAAGCCTTTCTTCTGAGTTATTGGAACATCTGCAGTCTCAGTCAATCTACCAGAGGCATCGCTAATGAGTTAAAGGACAGGTGGCTGTTTGGTTTCTCATGTCAAGGTAGTGAGTCCATTCAGAATATAAACAGTGATCTGTGTTTATAATATTAATGTTTTTATTCTATATATACATTTGTTTTATTGGGTAGTGTGCTTTACCATATTTTAATATACATATCTTTAATCTAATATGGACTAACTGTCGCAAAACCCCACTTCCCCCAGGATGAATAATGTAAACATGTGCCCAGAGTTCCCGTTAGCCGGTAATTACCGGACAATGACCGGTAAAATATGCTGAAGTCCGGCAAATCTAAATCTCTCCGGTCAAAATGTCCGGTCAAAATAATTTTCCCTTAGCGCAATACCGCATCAGTTGCGCCACTTATGTGACAGACAAGAATAGTATGTGACAGACAAAAGAGTATGTGACAGACAAAAATTGTCAATTCTAATGTCTAACACTTAATGTGGAGAAAGAGATGTCCTGTATGGGTTGATTGTGCGTTGATCTGTTGGTAATGCCTCGGGGTTCCGGTGGGCATGTAAACAAATGCATAATGCTGCGCTATACTTTGTGGCCTCATCCGGTTGCATAGCGACGCTTATTGTTTAGGTGTCTTTTAACAAGCAGGTAGTCATATCATTAGCTAGAACTAGCTAGATCTGATCGATATGGACATAAATGCGAGTAAAGTCTAATCTGACAGGAGAGAGAGATCGGCTGCTGCTGACGAGTCGACACGCAGCTCTGCATGATCCCCTGCAGCGGCGAGCAGAGCAAAACACACTTCAGGTTAGAAAATCACACGTAGCTATTTTAATTACCTCTCAAACTACCTAAACTAGTTATAGATATGTTTAGTTTTACTGTCGGGTCACTCATTACTGGATCCGCGAGCTGCATGATACTGACGGGCTGTCAGGAGAAGGAGAGAGCGCTCCGTTTATTATTCCCGCGTTTTTGTAAATTACTGTACACTTTTGAATAATGTAGTTAATCTACTATAATTAGTTTGTTTAATGTCGAATCATATCAATTTGTTTTAAAGCTCAATAAATAACAAAGAAGACCTTTAACCGGCACTTATCTAATTTTGTCCGGAAGATTTCAACTTTAACGGACATGTTGACCGGCAAAAAAATATTCTAACGGGAACTCTGCATGTGCCTCCTTTGGGGCAACTGCTAAAGCATATGAAAAAACAACACTGTCATTTCATTGTTTATCAGATAAACATATATGTTATTAGTGCATGTTATGCTTTTATATTAGAGTTTACATTAGAGAAACGACAGGAAATGAGTGGAGAGAGAGATTGGGAATACATTGAATCAGGGACATTGCATTTTGTGGTAAGTGCCTCAAGCTCAGGTAAACTAAATAGCTTTAACATTCTCCTTAAACAGTGATATAAACATTACAGGCATTCATTTAAAGCTTCATATTTATGCTGTTTAAATAAAAATAAACCTTTTTAAGTAAAAAAAAATACACATATATCTGTTTTTCTATCCTATTTCTATGTCGTTATTTGTCAAATGTTGCATTACAAAGTTAGGAAAGCAGTGTTGAAGTCACGCCTGATGTTGCTTTCCTCACATATAACGCAATGTGTGCACAGTATCCTGTATTAGTAACATGTTTTACTGGCAGAATAACCTCTCTATGTTGCTCTCGTGCAGACTGGTCCCGGCCGTTCCTCGTTGGTTGACCCACTCCTTCACCGGCGCCATGGTAAAGCACCTTCCCCTCATGCATGCTTTTTAATCAGTGACTGCTGTGTGTCCGGGGGCATGCGCTGCGTTCTGCAGAATGAGAAACTCCCCATTGATTTTCACTTTTTAAATCAGCTCTGTTTACCAGGAAGCAGACGGTCTAATCAGCTGCATCGGGGTCAAAGGTCGTCCCCGGCTGCTGTCTGAGCTTTTACTTAAATGTGTGTTGTTTTGTTGCATCATGACATAACGTGTGTGTGTGTGTGTGTGTGTGTGTGTGTGTGTGTGTGTGTGTGTGTGTGTGTGTGTGTGTGTGTGTGTGTGTGTGTGTGTGTGTGTGTGTGTGTGTGTGTGTGTGTGTGTGTGTGTGTGTGTGTGTGTGTGTGTGTGTGTGTGTGTGTGTGTGTGTGTGTGTGTGTGTGTGTGTGTGTGTGTGTGTGTGTGTGTGTGTGTGTGTGTGTGTGTGTGTGTGTGTGTGTGTGTGTGTGTGTGTGTGTGTGTGTGTGTGTGTGTGTGTGTGTGTGTGTGTGTGTGTGTGTGTGTGTGTGTGTGTGTGTGTGTGTGTGTGTGTGTGTGTGTGTGTGTGTGTGTGTCCTTGCTATGACCTTTGTGCTGAACAGTGGAAGTTCTCAGATCCCTTACTTAAAGGGGACCTATCATGCAAAATGCACTTTTGTACGTCTTTTCTACATGAATATGTGTCCCCGGTGTTCCAGGGAACTCACCAAGTGTCAGAAAACACAACCCTCTCTATTTTCCTCCATACCCAAATCTCTAAAAAAGGGGCTGCAACGGATCTGATAAAAACTGATCCAGATTTGAACACTGTCCTGACGTCAGGACGGTGGCGCTACGGCTATTGGGCCAACTCCACCAATCAGGAGGAGACAGCCACGGCCATTGCCGTTCGAAAGCGCTGGAGACGCTGTAGTACATATGCCAGGCCTGTAGGTGGTGCTGTTCTCACAGAATCAGCCCTTGCTAAAACAGCTAAAAAATGTCAAATTGAGCAAAATGAGGCATGGCTAAAATGCATGATGTGTTTGGTATTTTGCACAAAAAAAAGTATAAATATACCTTATATAGGTATGGTCCTACACTATATTATTCAAATATAGCATGATAGGTCCACTTTAAGTCAAAGTACTAATTACACACTGTAAAATACTCCCAATACAAGTCAAAGTACTGCATTGAGAATTGTACTATGTGCTTAGGAAAATGTACTTAGAAGTACAAGTACCTATTGTAGAAAACAACTCCCAATTAATGAAAATACATTAAATAATTACATTGAAAACCCGCAAATCTTCACATTTGAAAAGCTGAAACTGTGAGATGTTTAACACAAAAACAGGGGAGAGTGGGAGAGAAACTCCCTCTGGAGGGAACACAGGGATTTCAGCCTTTGCAGACCATTTACATGCACTAAAAGCTATAGAACACACTACAGGAAAGCAGAACATGTGCTCTATAAGTACAGTACTCGAGTAAATATACTTGGATACTCTCCACCCCTGGTGCTGAGTCAGCATCCTGCATGATGTGCCCTCGCTGTCCGTTATCTTCCACCACTGTAATCTTTCTCTGCACAATGCTGGGACTAAACTCAGCTCCTAACCAAACACAGCTCAGATTCTTGTCGATGTCTGTCGGCACAAGGCCAGACGTTTTCTCTTTTCTTCCACCGGTTCTCTTTTGAAGAGAAAACCCTGACTCGGCTTGTATATCCATGCCTCACATTCCCCGCTGATAGACATCCTCAGTGTTGCGTAAGAAAACGGTGACCTCAAGCCTTCATGAAAGCCCGCTACATTTTTACATAAAAAAAACGTAATTTCTCCGAGCATAAATCATATTTAGATTCTCCTTGCTTCACAGACTTGTGTAAATGAATGTCTATGTGGAGTTTAGGAGGGTTTTTGGCGTGTGGTATTCCATGGTTTGTTGTGCAAGGGGTGATTATAGTCAATTAGCCTGGGTTGCACATTACAGTGTGGGTGGGAAGGAGAGGACAGCCACACAAAGCAGCATTGTCAAAATGGTTTTAAATCAACGGTCTGTCACCACAAGGTTTGCCATTTCTACATTCATTTATAAGCCAATCAATCGGAGTCGGGACTATTTAGGAGGAGTAACACCTGTTTTACACCCAAACTTTCCACACAAAAAATACTTTTAAGATGTTCTTCGGTGAGGATTGTTCACATGTTTCTACAGAGCAGCAAAGTGGTCAAAGCTGTTGATGCACGAGACGGGAGGCAGGGTGATAAATGAGGAAATACCCCCTGGAAAAATGTTTGAAATGCCATAGTGAAACTAAAGAAAGTAGATGAGTGAAAGAAGGTTGTTAAAGCTGACTCAGTAAAGAGTTAACGGGTCTTTCCCCTGCAGGAGGAGGAGGGCCAGCAGAGCTTGGAGTGCATCCAGGCCAATCAGATCTTCCCCAAGAAGTCCCCCGTCCTGGAGGAGGAAAACATGCAGGTGAGGAAGCTGCTGCTTATCTCGTGCTCGACCCAGCTAACCTGTGTAAATATGTGTCTGTTCCCTGTGATCAGTTACACACTCACTGACACACACATGTGACTTCAGACCACTTTCAGTTCCACCAGGCTCCGGGGCAAACGTGCAAAAGTCAAGTGATATGTGGTGCCACAGTTATTGTGTTGTTCAGGAGTGAGAATGCTTATCTGAGGCATGATCTTTGCAAAACAGATGTTGAAAAGTCCTTATTGGAAAAGTAGTAGACTTGCTGGTTTCTATAAAAAGTTCACTAGCTGGAAAAAGTTCCTGCTGTGAAACAGAGGTGTACATTTTGTACTTTATCGAGGCAATAGGCAAGACTCCTGAGGACTTACTAATGCTCATTTGTTCAGGTTCATATTAGCAATTTGTGCCTCACGTGTCTCCATGCTTTTCCCAGTCTGCTCTGATTGGTTAGCTGGCCGGCTCTGTTCCGATTGGCCTCTATTTTCATTAACTCTACATGTAATCGTGACGTGCATTTGGTCCTGTGTGAACGTACCGTACATATAGTCATGATGTCCATATAGTCATGATGTCCATATAGTCATGATGTCCATATAGTCATGATGTCCATATAGTCATGATGTCCATATAGTCATGATGTCCATATAGTCATGATGTCCATATAGTCATGATGTCCATATAGTCATGATATCCATATAGTCATGATGTCCATATAGTCATGATGTCCATATAGTCATGATGTCCATATAGTCATGATGTCCATATAGTCATGATGTCCATATAGTCATGATGTCCATATAGTCATGATGTCCTATAGTCATGATGTCCATATAGTCATGATGTCCATATAGTCATGATATCCATATAGTCATGATGTCCATATGTTTCCTGCAGCAGTTATCATGCCAGCTGATCTGCAGAGTGTCTGAATGCTTTGTCTCCTGCTGTTGCTAGGTGCCGTTTCCTGAGCTTCACGGGGAGTTCACGGAGTACGTGGGGCGGGCGGAGGACGCCATCATCGCCATGTCCAACTACCGCCTGCACATCAAATTCAAAGAGTCCATCGTCAACGTGAGTGTCTCTCAAAACTCAGGGGGGAGTTTCTGCTAATGTTTTGTAAATGGAACGAGTCAGAGCCGTGGATCTGTCCTCAGTGGCAGCAGGGCCTCCTGACTCTTCATCACTTCTGCTCTTCCTCTCCCTCCTCTCCCTCCTCTCTCGCTGTTGCCTTGGTTGCATTTGTTCCACAGGGGAAGCATCACAGTCGCACCTCCCTCTCTCTCGCTCTCTCTTTTCTCCACGTTGAGAAAGAGAGAGCTTTGTCACCCAAGGGTGGCTACTCTCTCTCTCTCTCTCTACAAATAATAAAAACATCCCCATGTTTGCCACCTCAAATATGTTCTCTGAGTTATGTTTTTTGATTTGAAACTGTTCTTATACTCCTTACATCAGACTGGCCGTAGGATTTATTACAACCTAGTGCCACGCCACATTTATACAGACATAGAAATAGAGGGACCAAACATTTTTTAAGAGAGACGGTGGCCGTTTCTCAATGTCGAGGAGGCTTGCTTGGTAGCACATTTAAAGAGTCCTTCAGCGCCACTCGATGACCTAGTATACTTGAAATAGTGGCTCTGGAGCAGCTTTACTTGACATTGAGAAACACCCTGTATCCGGGTTTCTCTCATGCTTTATTTACAGGCAGGTCTAACTCAAGTATTTCTACTATTGGACTAAGAAATGTCACTTTAAATACCTTTTGATATAGGATATGTTGAGATGACCAAACGGAAAGTTGTGCAATGACAAATCTTGCGCGACAGAAAAAGCTTTGACTGTTTCATTTCCTTCCCTTTTAAAGACTGGGCAACTTATTTCATACATCAACAGAGGCTGGTGATATCCTCCATTTTTGTTATTTTCAATAAATCTCAAGGAAAATCCAGTAGATATTAAACATGGTACTGCAGCTGTAAATACTCAAATACATATACTGTGCAAAATATTCACAAAAATGCATCAGATTTCGTCCTGTTTTGGAAAATGTTACAAGTGGGTGCTTACAAAACAATCTGTGAACTACACTCCTTATTTTAGGCATCTTGAAATAGTATTTTATAATGAAAATAAACGTATTTAACAGGTTTAAGGACTCATTCCTGAGTACAGAGCTCTGAGCATGAGATAAATACCTTTTTTTTCTGATTACATCCTGATTTAAAGTAGACCTATCATGCTATATTTGAATAATATAGTGTAGGACCATACCTATATAAGGCATATTTATACTTTCTTTTTTTTTCAAAATACCAAACAGATCATGCATTTTAGCCATGCCTCATTTTGCTCAATTTGACATTTTTTAGCTCTGGGCAGATTCAGTGAGAACAGCACCATCTAGAGGCCTGGCATATGTACTACAGCGTCTCCAGCGCTTTCGAACGGCAATGGCCGTGGCTGTCTCCTCCTGATTGGTGGAGTTGGCCCAATAGCCGTAGTGCCACCGTCCTGACGTCAGGACAGTGTTCAAATCTGGATCAGTTTTTATCAGATCCGTTGCAGCCCCTTTTTTAGAGATTTGGGTATGGAGGAAAATAGAGAGGGTTGTGTTTTCTGACACTTGGTGAGTTCCCTGGAACACCGGGGACACATATTCATGTAGAAAAGACGTACAAAAGTGCATTTTGCATGATAGGTCCCCTTTAAATTAGAATTTGAACATTTTTAGAATATCTAATTCAAGCAAATGTACAGTTGTTAATCGTTTGTTTCTGTATTGGTGTCAAAACTTACGTACAATATCAGCAAGAGAGACCTTCATTTTTACGTCAATCTCAATTTTGGGGTTATACTATATACTTTGTAATTTTGGAAAACTGGAACATGTACCAGATCCAACATGATGGTATTGGCTGTATAATCACATGGCATTGTTTAGTTCACAAACCCTCACATATAGGATATATTAAGCGGTCCTAATGGGTGCATCGCTCAGTTTGTTTCCTGTTCCTTCCTGCTGAAATTAATTGGACTTTAACGAGCCTCTGGCTATTGGCTCACATCACACAGCCATCGTTCTCCTCACACATATTTGGACGGGTTTATAAAGGAGTTGTCAGAGTTCACAGATGGGGGTTGGGTGGGTGGTGATGCAGAAAGAGAGTTTGTTAACTGTCAGGAATTTTGACAGGCTACAGGATGCTCAAACATCCGGACTGTGCTGCGATGACTTCCACACACACACACACACACACACACACACACACACACACACACACATGCACGCACACACACACACACTGAGAATAGTTACGTACAGTCCAGCATCACTTTCATTATTGTTCTCTTTGTTTTGTTTTGAATAGAGTTGTTGTTGTGAAGTGTCAGTAAGTAACCCCGCAGAGCTGCACGGAGTGGAGTGTGTGTCTTCAGTGTGTAATGTGTGTGTGTGTCTGGAGGAGTAGAGTTGCTCGTTCAGCCTGTTTAACACCAGCTGCTGATTACAGTATGTTGCACAGAAGTGAGTGTGAAGAAATCGATAGAGAGGTGCAGTGATCATGTGTTTTTGTAGACTAACCCTGAAGTTAGCCACGCAAAGGCTTCCTCAACAAAAAGACTCAAATGTTTCCATTGGACTTTTAGCTTATTGCAGAAAATAAAACAAACGTTTAGGATACTTACAAGTTTTGTTCAGCAGGTTACAAGGATGCAAACTCAAGAAGTAAAAATCTAATGTTGGGCTATAAAGGAACTACAGCACGGTCACATGACTTCACGTCACCACCGCTAAGCTAAAGGTGGCTAATGTTGGGCTATAAAGGAACTACAGCACGGTCACATGACTTCACGTCACCACCGCTAAGCTAAAGGTGGCTAATGTTGGGCTATAAAGGAACTACAACACGGTCACATGACTTCACGTCACCACCGCTAAGCTAAAGGAGGCTAATGTTGGGCTATAAAGGAACTACAGCACGGTCACATGACTTCACGTCACCACCGCTAAGCTAAAGGTGGCTAATGTTGGGCTATAAAGGAACTACAGCACGGTCACATGACTTCACGTCACCACCGCTAAGCTAAACGTGGCTAATGTTGGGCTATAAAGGAACTACAGCACGGTCACATGACTTCACGTCACTACCGCTAAGCTAAACGTGGCTAATGTTGGGCTATAAAGGAACTACAGCACGGTCACATGACTTCACGTCACCACCGCTAAGCTAAACGTGGCTAATGTTGGGCTATAAAGGAACTACAGCACGGTCACATTACTTCACGTCACCACCGCTAAGCTAAAGGCGGCTAATGTTGGGCGTGATGACGTTTAGTCGTCTCATTTAGACACTTGTTATCAAATGCCGTTTTTTAAATCCACCAGTGGGTTATTTACTGACTTATTTTATGTCGTAGAACAGAACGTTAAAATCTCTTCAGCTTGTGTTAACCACAGAGAGGCTAACAACCAAAACATATTCAGAAAACCATTGACCTCCAGACCAGGGGACGGGAAGTGCTACAATGCTGACTAGTTTTTGTGTTTTAGGACTCATTCCTGCACCAATCCATAGGCCATATAAAGGCAGCTAACATAATAAAGTTGCATTTTAAAATGTATTTTACCAATAAAGTGACTAAAAGAATCTCTGGGTGCAATAAAGCAGTTTTTTCTCGATGTTTATATTATGCAACTTGCTGCTAAACAAACAATATATTGTGTAGCCCTAATAATAAAGCTGCCAATCATCTTTATGCAACTTTTACAAAGCTCCCATCAGGCAGCGACCCTGCCCTGCTGTTAGCCTCTCTGAACGCCTCTGTGCTGCTGAACGCTGCTCATTAACAGAGCTCAGTCACAAGCAGCTCCCTGCAGTATTCAAAGTATGCTCTTAAGTCATAAGCACCTCTCTGTGTAGGGATGCTATAATTTGCCTTTTAACAGATAACACTGCAGCTCTGAGCCAGAAGGGAAATGCAGCACAGATACATTTTATTTGTTCTATGTCCTATATATATTCATGTTGCTCTGTTGGAGGAGCCTGTGACTCAAGTGTTTCATTGCCATATCTACACTGTAGCTAATGTGCTAATGACAATAACGCCTTGAAACTTGAAAGTGAAGAAGATGATGTGTACTAACAGAGTTCAGGGAGATGGGATGTGAAGTAGGGCTGTGCAATTAATCGTATTTTAATCGCAATTACGATTTTGACCTGCCACAATTACGAAAACAACATAATCGGAAAAAACAATTATTTTGCTTTGCTAGTTTGTGAATTAATTTTGGTCTCATTTATTTGTATTTATCATATTTATATATGTTTAGTAGCTTGTGGAAGTGCGCTCCAAAATATTTGTTGATCTTGTTTATTGGTATTTATTATTTTTATATTATTTATTTAAATGTATAATTTTATTTATTTTTGTATTGGTTTTTCAGTTGAATTATACGTTCAGGGTAATCAACAGTTAAAAAGACACTGTTCAAATTATTATTTGTATTTGTTTTAAAGTTCAATAAATTGATTTTTTCAAAGTCAATGAATAATCGTATTTAATAATCGTGATATCAATTATTGACCCAAATAATCGTGATTATGATTTTTGCCATAATCGCACAGCCCTAATGTGAAGAATTAATAGAAAGACACCTGGACAAGTCGTCTGTGGGACTGTTTGCACAACGTGGCTGAAATTAAATGTTTTTTAGCAATTCTAGCATGAAGGCATCACTAATTTGCTCCATGGATTTGCAGTCACTCACTACTTTTACTGACTGCATGTGTTTGATTGGTACATTTTCCATATATTAGATATAAAACATCTGTCTGAGTCCTCTCTCTCTCTCTCTCTCTCTCTCTCTCTCTCTCTCTCTCTCTCTCTCTCTCTCTCTCTCTCTCTCTCTCTCTCTCTCTCTCTCTCTCTCTCTCCACAGGTTCCTCTTCAGCTCATCGAGCATGTGGAGTGTCGGGATATGTTCCAGCTTCACGTCACCTGTAAGGACTGTAAAGTCGTCAGGTATGATCGCTGATACTCTCCTGCAGCATGAAGGCATTCCTGCTTTCACTTCCTCTTTGTTACAGGTGTAGGAAACTTGATTTAGAGTCACCTTCATGTAAAGCAAGCATGTGAAGTAATGTGCAAAGCATTTCAAGTTCAAAGAAAACACCAAATAGTTAAAAAATCACCAAAGTTTACAGCTGGGTAATTCAATAATACAAAAAATGAAGTGTTTCCAGACTTCAATCGATTCAACAAACCATAAAAACCAACAACTTCACATTGTATTTGCAGCCGAGCGTTAAAGGGAAAAGTTCACACTGCACTGCAAAGAGATAATATCTATGTTACTTCACAATTAATATGAAAAACCTCTACCTCTGCTTCTACGAGCCACTTTTGTTTTGTTAACTGCTGAAATTCCAGCTGTAAACACATATACTTCTTCTCTGTCACTGCTTTAAAAACCCAGGAGATATCTGAAACAGGATATCAAAATAGTAAAATGTATATAAAATAAACTACATATGAGCGACAATAAATCACATTTTAAAAGCCGATCGTAAGACCACGTTCATAATTACAACCCATTTAGCGATAACATCCACAATGTTGATTCTCCTGTACCTTTAAGAGGCACGTCTGGTATGTTAAGCATTCGTTATGTAATCGTAAATACCAGACATTTTTACAGCTTTGGAGGAACATGACACTGCAGATTTTCATTTGCAAAAACTGCGCTGTAGCTTTTGTGCGAATGACAAATAAAACCGTTAGTTCATTTTAACACCCTGACGAATTACAAAGTAGATTATGTTGAGAATTTGTGTGTTTTTTATTATCTAAATGGAGGGAATAAACTACTTTTTCCTCTCAAGGGCCATTTCAATTTTTACAACATCCTCCGAGGGCCGTACAAATTATTGAACTCAACCTTTGCTTAAAAATACTAAAATCACAGCCCATTCATTTGGCCTTTCTTTCATGCTGTGCAAAGAAAAAGCAACCTCTTAATCCAGATATCTTACCATGACTCGCGCATGCATTCACGTGCACGGTTGTGGCATGACCGCAAAAAACAGAAAGATATGGACACAAGATGTGTGCAAATGTATTTAGTTTCCTGTCCATGTGAACATGATTTAAGTCGGGGGTGGACCTAACATCCTCTAGGGGAAAAAAAACATACCGTAAAATATTATTTGTAAATTGAAAAGTGTTATTTTACATGAGGAATGGTGCAAATGGTGAAAAACAATAACATATGTATTAATAAATAAATATAAAAAGTACACAAAATCCTAAAAAAGTAAAAATACATCTCTAAAATTATAGTAATTCCTGGTCTCGATCTCGTAGTCAAATATTTGAAGCGTGACTAAGGTGTAATGTGTGCTCTGACCTTTGCCCCCAAAGACAAAAAACATGCCGTCAAATATTATTTATAAATTGAAAAGTGTTATTTTTACATGAGCAGGTGAAAAACTATTAAAAAAAAAGCAAAATATGAATAAATAAATATAATAGGTACACAGTAATAAAATAAAAATAATTATAAAAACATTTAAAAAAACCTCTTAAAATATAATAATTTGCATTGAAGTTTCTCGTATCCTTGTAGCCTTCTCAAATATTTGATTACGTTCTAACGTTTGCTCTGACTTCCCCCCCCCCCCCCCCAGGTGCCAGTTCTCCACCATTGAGCAGTGTCAGGAGTGGCTGAAGCGCCTGAACGTGGTGGTGCGCCCCCCCCCTCGCCTGGAGGAACTCTTCTCCTTCGCCTTCCACGCCTGGTGCATGGAGGTCTACGCCGGGGAGAAGGAGCAGCACGGGGAGCTCTGCAGACCAGGTCAGAAGAAGAACAATAATAATAGATTACATTTGTATAGCGCCTTTCAAGGGACCCAAGGCCGCTTTGCATGGTGAACACACAAGATCAGACTTCAAGATTTTACTATTAACCTTTAAAATCTTACATGAACTAGCACCTCCATATCTATCATCATTAATTACCCCGCGAATATCTACCAGGCTCCCACGATCACATTATGCCTCCTAATGTCTCCCAGAATTCGCAAAGCTGTTTCCGTTGACTCCTTTAAAAGCAAACTCAAAACTCTGTCTTCCTTGTAAACTAATTTCCATCACCTAGTTTCCATCTACATTACCATCACTTCATGCTTTTATCACATGGCGATACTTATGTTGATGTATAATATTGCATAATGTTTTTATAATTGTTATGCTATGACGTTTGTATTTTTGTTTTTGTATTTTGCTTTGTACAGCCCTTTGAGGCATTTCTTGTCATTTGGGGCTATAATAAATAAATGTTGATTTGGACAAACAAACAAACAAGAAGGGCAAATAATAAAGTAACAGTGAACAGGTGAGTTAGGTAATCCCCGTCTCCTGATGACCTCATGAAACCCCTCTGGTGTTACAGCCTGTGTTCACTTAGTATCTTTTTAAACTGTTCCAATGAGGATAGCCCGAGGGCACCGAGCCTTCGCAGCAGCTGGCCCTAGGCTCTGGAACACTCTGCCCCTCCATGTGAGGTCGGCCCAGACCCTAGGGGTTTTTAAATCTACTCTTAAGACACACTTCTTCTCCCTGGCCTTCTAGTCAGAGCGGAGCACGACTCCTCGACTCCTAGTGTTTCTTTTTAAATATCTGTTGTAATTTATTGTCTTTTATTGTGATTATAGAAATGTGTTTTTATGTGATTGTAGTTATTACATGTACAGCACTTTGGCCCGACCAAAAATCGCTTTTAAATGTGCTTTATAAATAAACCTTGATTTGATTTGATAGGGTGCATGTAGTCGATTAAAAGCTCTCTACCTGCTCCAGCTATTCTTTTTACAGCCCCTCGAAAACGCTCCTAGTTTGTTTTAGAAACACTCCAGTGACGTCACGGTAGAAATTGGACAGAGAAGCTTGTGTTGATAGACACACAAAGACATTTGAGCCTTGATGTGACAGTGAGTGTTTTTTTTAATTGATACCAATGAGACCAGAGTATATGCAGTTGCACGCAGCCATCTCTTCTTAGCACTTATTTTTGCTGGCGCTCCAACTGCTTCGAGTTCTAATATTGTAACTTTTCAGTAAAACTCCGGAGACGTCACAGCAGACATTAACTTGTTTTGACAGATAACAATGATCCAAACAAAAAACCAAAAGCTTTTAATAAATATCATCCGGACCCTGCATGTGGCTGCCGCTCAGTGTTTTACTTCGATATGTACAACATGTATGAGTGTGTGACCTTTAATCTCCGTACTCCGATTGTCCTCCTCGCTCTATGGCTGTCAGACTGAGCGGCGACCAGCTGTTCAATACAAAGTGTGAGAGAAAGCATCATCCATTTTGTTTTAATAGTAACAAAACGGAGGTATAGTAGCTCAAACAGATGATAAGATACAAGGGAGGGATGCTGGTTTATCACATTGTTGAGAATTCGTTGTCTTTGTTACAAAGAAAAGCAGTGGGAGAGTTTTCCTGATGAAATGCTGGGAGGAAACGGCTCTTATGTTGACTCAGGGTCTTATCGGCAGAGATGGTAAAAGTACACACATCCTTTACTCAAGTAGAAGTACAAATACTCGTGTTTAAAAATACTCTGGTAGAAGTAGAAGTACTGACTAAACTTCTTTACTCAAGTCAAAGTAAAGAAGTATGGGCTTTGAAATGTACTTCAGTAAAAAGTACCCATAACTAGCAGCTGTTTTAAAGAGTACCTGACCTCCCTTTATATTAATAGAACAATAATGTCATTGTTAGCTAATGAATGTTTCCATGCTGAACAACGGCAACATGACAACGTTTTCATTGGTCCCTCTTCTTTAGAGAAGACCAGGAAATGATGGATACACGGATCGTGTTCAAATCAATAGGCACGCAATGACTCTAAATAATAATGATCACGCCACCAAACACACATTCAAACTAAAGGAACCAGCCTGTTTGGGAAATGTAAGAAGTAGAAAGTACAGGTATTTGTGTTCAACATGTAAGAAGTAGAAAGTACAGGTATTTGTGTTCAAAATGTAAGAAGTAGAAAGTACAGGTATTTGTGTTCAACATGTAAGAAGTAGAAAGTACAGGTATTTGTGTTCAACATGTAAGAAGTAGAAAGTACAGGTATTTGTGTTCAACATGTAAGAAGTAGAAAGTACAGGTATTTGTGTTCAACATGTAAGAAGTAGAAAGTACAGGGATTTGTGTTCAAAATGTAAGAAGTAGAAAGTACAGGTATTTGTGTTCAACATGTAAGAAGTAGAAAGTACAGGTATTTGTGTTCAACATGTAAGAAGTAGAAAGTACAGGGATTTGTGTTCAACATGTAAGAAGTAGAAAGTACAGGTATTTGTGTTCAACATGTAAGAAGTAGAAAGTACAGGGATTTGTGTTCAACATGTAAGAAGTAGAAAGTACAGGTATTTGTGTTCAACATGTAAGAAGTAGAAAGTACAGGTATTTGTGTTCAAAATGTAAGAAGTAGAAAGTACAGGTATTTGTGTTCACAATGTGAACCAGAAACATGTACTTAAGTTCAGTAACAAAGTATTTGTACTCCACTACTTCCCACCTCTGCTTATCGGTTATCTCCCCTCTCTCCGCAGGCGAACACGTCACCTCCTGGTTCAAGAACGAGGTGGAGAGGATGGGCTTCGACACTCAGAACGCCTGGAGGATCACAGACATCAACAGCAAGTTCAGGTAATCACAGCGTCCATTCACAGATACCTAGGAATAGGATAGGAATGATCCCCGCTCTGCTTTCAGCGTGTGGTTCAGACAGAGGGTGGTGTGTTATTGTCCCCGCGCTGATATGAGCCCTGCCCGGATTAGGTGTCTGTAGACAGAGGTTGCAGTCAAATGGTCCCAAAAATCAGCTCCTATCGTCTTTTCCTATCCACTATTCATTGACCTCTGTGTGAAACGACAAATGTACTCAAATGTATTTATTATAAACGTGTTAGGTCTTAAAGGTCACCTATTATGCAAAATCCACTTGTTCATGTCTCTTCTACATCAACATGTGTCCCCTCTTCTTCATGTCTCTTCTACATCAACATGTGTCCCCTCTTCTTCATGTCTTTTCTACATCACCATGTGTCCCCTCTTCTTCATGTCTCTTCTACATCACCATGTGTCCCCTCTTCTTCATGTCTCTTCTACATCAACACGTGTCCCCTCTTCTTCATGTCTCTTCTACATCACCATGTATCCCCTCTGTGGAAAGAGATTCTGGAAGTTTCAGGAAAAAAGATTCTCTCACTTTTTGTCCTGATCCATTTATATAAAAACCTGTAACCAAGGTAACCCCCCCCCCACCTTATCACCTGAATCTCCTCCTAGAGCACCATTGTGTTCTTTTTAACCAAATATCTCTTAGAGGGGCGTGGGGAGGGGCTCCTTATTTTCATCTAAAGTAACAGACAGAGAATCAGCACTTTGGAAACAGAGTGCATTATGGGATGCTGCAATGATCTGTTTGGTGTTTCAGCCAATCAGAGACATGTTCTGTATATATCTGAGACCTGTAATATATTGATGAAAAACAGTATAATAGGGGACCTTTAACCTATCACTGTGCAGTGTTTCCCCTAGGGTGGAGTCATAGCAGCGGTGCTAAGACACGTGGGCTCAGCATAATGTGAGCACGGAGCACGTGGAATTTTTTAGTGTGTGCACGTGCAAAGTGCGCCCCGCCAATTTGTTTCTATGTGTCTGCCAGCACAAGAAAGGCTCTTGAGGCCTAGCACCAGGGCCGGTTCTAGACTATTTGCTGCCCTAGGCGAGATTTTATATATAAAGAATAAATGAAAAATCTCTACAAAAGACAAATACACTACAAAAACAGAAACGTATTGACATAGGTAATAGGCGTCAAAATGGCTTCAAATGTATTCAGTATTGTATGAACATGTTTGAATTGGGGGGTGGATGTCACCTCCTCTAGGGGGGTCCGGGGGTATATTTGAACATTTTAAAGTAAAATGCTTCAATCTGGTGCACTTTGAGCACACATTACTAGAGACCTGATCTAGGGGGTACAACTCTAAACACCCATATGAAAAAGATCGGTTTACATTTTAATAATCAAATAAGTATGTGAACATAACCAATAACCTATAAATGTAACTTATTTTTGTTGTTCATTTCTATCTTATTTTACCCAGTTAACATTTATTTATTCATGCATATTTTTGTATCTCTCCAACTTTACAAATATTTTTGGTTTACTGTCCTATAGTATACATTGGAATGATTTCAAACCTGTTTTTATTTATCCTAATAATTATAAAGGAGTGCCTTGGAAATATGTGTTTACATAATTTGTAAACCCATATTTGTTTGAGAGCCACTGAGATAACTTAGACTAAAATGAACTATCTAAACCCTCAGAGAGTCCTTTGCCTCACTGAGCCTCTCAGTCTGACAGGAGAGCTCTCCTCCTCCCTGGCTGTAGAAACATCTACTTCTTATATCCGTGAGCGCAGCTAGCACCAGATTCTATGTCGCCTAGATAGATAGTACTTTATTGATCCCATAAAGCACCAGATTCTATGTCGCCTATGCCAAAAATCGGCCCTGCCAGTATATACAGTGGCAATGTCTCAAGATTTAGCAAAAATACACCTCTATTGAACATACAGTAACACACAGACTACAAATCCACATAACAAACAATCAAAAATGAAAAAGGGTCGCCACTTACTATTATTTTATTAAAAAAAAAATATATATTTTAATTTTTTTGAGGTACCTGGCTGGCGCCCCCTAGCAGCGCCGCCGCTATTTGTATATAGGGGAAACACTGCTGTGTATATCACCATTCAAACATGTTTGAAAGTTTAAGAAGCCCCACACAGCTCGGTAAACAATGAGAGACTTTATTTGATCATTTCAGTAAAAAGGTAACGTTCATATTTCTCCTTTGGATTATTATAGTGTGGAACGCTCAAAACAAAGCACTCTCTTCTCCCCCCCCCTCCTCTCTTCAGGCTCTGCCCCAGTTACCCTCAGCAGCTCCTGGTTCCCGCCTGGATCACCGACAAGGAGCTGGAGAACGTGGCGGCTTTCCGCTCCTGGAAGAGGTTCCCTGCTGTGGTTTATAGGTCTGTTTGTTTACCTCCGAGCAGCCACTCAACACTTTGCCTATTTGCTGATTTCTTTCTACCATCTTCAGATAATATCTGTATGTTCTCCGTATCAGTGCCACTGTGGCTTTATTAAACACCACGGCTAGTTACTGAGGGATGATTCCCTCCAGGCTACGTGTTTTTGGCTGTATTCAGAGTTTGTCAAAAGGAACAACAACACTGATTTAGCCAACGACAGCTCACTGCGTCACGGCTGCAATGAGCTGTGTTTGTTTTATAACCAACACGTCTTCACAGCCTTTGATTTGAGTTTTTTTGGGAAACGGACCCCTTCCTTCCTTTTCTGTGGGTCAAAACACCCGATATAAATGTTTGTTTTGGTGAAAAAAGACTAAAGCCAGTGTTGAAAATGAAAAGCAAATGTTCGATCCGTCATATATTTCAGATGAGTTATGAGAAACCAAAGAAGTTTGCTTTATCTCAGATTATTCGTTTTTTAAGCTATAATGGTTTAAAAAAAACTCTCAGCTCTTGTTTTTAAACTTAAATAAATAAATAATGTGTTTGCCAATTTTGTCAATACCTGTTAGCAATACAAACTCATGCAATACAAATACAGATAGAACATATGCCATAACGTTAGCATCATATGTAGTAGTAATAAGGGTACAAAAAAAGGTGAACAAATAATCAATAATAGTCAATAATATAATACAAATAATAATGACAATAATAATAATAATATATCTTATAATAAAATATATATATTAATAATGAAAATAGTATTTTAAATGAGGGTAAAAAACGATAAATATAAACAAAAAAGTATAATTGTCAAAAATATAATATAGGTTCAAGGTTCTTTATTTGTCAAACGAACATAGCTACAGAGTAGTTATGTCGATGAAAATCTTGTGTCACAGGCTTCTCCAACAATGCAACACAGATAAACAGAAAAATATAGTGCAAGTAAATAGCAATACAAAAAGAAAAATAGTTTAAAAAAGTGAAATAGTGCAATAATAGTCCTTCAAATATGATATATTAGGTAAATAGATCAATCATTTCTAAGTAGCAGCCAGTTGAATGTTATGGATGTTTCAACAGTTCAGGTGTTTAACAGTCTTATGGCCTGTGGGATGAAACTGTCCCTGAGTCTGGTGGTTTTAGTCCGGTTGCTGCGGTAACGCCACCAGACGGCAGCAGACAGAACAGTTTGTGGCTGGGGTGCTGGGGGTCTTTTGTAATCCTGAGGGCTTTCTTCCTGAGCCGCTGGGAGTAAAGGTCCTCCATGGATGGCAGCTCCGTCCTGGTGATGTTCTGTGCAGTTTTATAGTCTGGTTTTGTAGGATAATAAACAAAAATGCAGTTTGAATATGTCTACAACATGGAATGTCATGGAAGTCAGGTTTATCATTGATATGTGAATATACGTTTTGGAAAAAAGGGGATCTTTGTAGAGCGAGGAGTTGAAAAGTAGCAGACAATATACCTCTTTTAAGACAGTGGAGCTAACATGATGTTGTGTTTTGGCTAACTTCTTTAACTTCTCTCCCCCCACACACACACACACACACACACACACACACACACACACAGGCACCAGACGACAGGGGCAGTGATCGCCCGCTGCGGCCAGCCGGAGGTGAGCTGGTGGGGCTGGAGGAACGCTGACGATGAGCACCTGGTGCAATCCATCGCTAAAGCCTGCGCTGTGGTGGGATCCTCCAGGAAACACCTCACCAACGGGGGGGGCTACAGCAACGGCACCGACCTGCCAGACACTGACTTTGGTAAGAGCTTAAAGGTCTCCTATTATACTATTTTTAGGCATATATTATAGGTCTCAGATATATACACATTTATAAAAAACATGTCCAGATTTATAGGAACTCAAAATGCCATTTCCCCTTTAAAGCGTTTTTTTAAATGACCCATTAGTTGTTCTGATAACCTCAACAGTAACCCTACTGCTGTACAACCTGGATTGCATTGTGACGTATCCTCTCTGTGTTCCTGTGTGTGTATCAGAGTCCTCGATGACCCACAGCACGGAGGTGGAGACGTTGGCCTCGCAGCCTCACAAGCTGCTGATCCTGGACGCTCGCTCCTACGCTGCTGCTGTAGCTAACCGAGCCAAGGGGGGCGGCTGCGAATGCCCAGGTAGGTCTCTTCAAGTCAGATAGGAGCAGGTCACAATGTGCTGTGGATCCAGGAAAATGTGATTGTTTCTGTGTGAGAAATTAAAACCTCCACCTTTTTCATTTGTATTTTTATCTTGTGGTACAATGTGTGCATTTTGACTATTTCTTATCTTGAATTGGAAATGTTACTTTCAACTTTGTTCTGATGTTTCTGGTTTGTCCTTTATGAAACCCTTGTGCTCCTGCTGTTCCAGAGTACTACCCCAACTGTGAGGTGGTGTTTATGGGCATGGCCAACATCCACTCCATCCGCAAGAGTTTCCAGTCTCTGCGTTTCCTCTGCACTCAGATGCCCGATCCAGCCAAGTACGTCTCACTTTTACTCCTCCAGATTTCCCCACCTAACTCTGCAGGATCAAACTCAGAGCTCTGTGCTGTAACCGTAGGTAACACAGCTGTGTTTTGGTGTTGGCCGTACATCTGTGCCTGATTTAGAAACCCCGAGAGCAGGATCTGTTTCCATCTGGACGCTGCGAGGACGTGTCATTTAATCGCTCTTGCTTACGTTGTTAAAAGTGGTTAAACGATCGTATCGGGAGACGAAAACAGACCGAAAATCTAACAAAGTCCATTCTCCAAGTCCATCCAGTACATGTCCATGTGTCTTTTGCACACAATTAAAATCTCACAAAAGCAATTTCCTAATGTGTTTAAGTATATAATGCATGATTGCCTATAGACTTTCCCACTTTAGATTTCCGACCTTCAAGCGGTTAAACCCAAACGTAAACAAAAACAATCTCTGACTGGGGGCAACATTTTGTTTTCTCTGACTTGATTTCTCTATACATGAACTTTGATCAAAACACAAAACAAATGTACAGGCAGAATAAGTAAAAAATACACAATACAGTTTTTTTTTTACTAAAATCTGTCAAATATTCTCAATTTTTTTATTTGTTGTTTGTTGTACTTTATTTAATTTAATTAAATTTTTTATTATATATTTTTTTCATTATAGTTATTTATTTTTTCTTTATTTTTCTTACACTATTATTAATATCTTCTAACATGATAGTGTTACATCAGGCAGCTGCTTCTCGATGAAGTCGGGGAAGATCTTCCCAGAATTGACATACTGATGTTTATTCATCATTTTCATTAAAAACAGTCAAATATTCTTAATATTTTTATTATAATTTAATTGATTGTACATCTTATTATTCTTACAATATTATTTATATGATCCTACATTGTTGTGGTGCGTCAGGCAGCTGCTATTCCATGAAGGGTGGGAAGATGGTTTCTCCAAAGTTGTGACTGCTGCTTCTTCATTGCACTTTTCTCTAGTGTTTTATTGCCAAAAATGTCTCGTCCGTCTCGCTCACAGACGCTCCATGTTTATAGACTAAACACACATAACGCTAAGGATAATAAAGCAGATAAGACAAGTGAAACATTAACTCATAATTGAAGTAGGTCAAAGTGTATGCATGTCTCAATCTGGTTACATTACACCAGGGGTCGGCAACCCCTGGCACGCGTGCCACCAATGGCACGCGGCACCGTAACCAGTGGCACACTAGGAATAAGTGGAATAAGTACAACATATTTATTTTATTTTCGGATCCTGAACGAGACCGCCGCCAGAGCGCGTCTCCCCGTTACCTGCAGAAGGAAGCCATGCACGCAACGCAGCCCCGCTCTCTTAAACTCCAGGTGACTTTCTGCCGCTTTCCTCCGTGGTGCAGGGCTGATCGTTTCACCACAGAGGAAAGCACTTCACAAATTGCATTACCCATAAGGAGCTGTACAAATGCCGCAGTTTTTGCGTGGCGATCGATATCGGCCGATACTCACTCTCTGCCGATCGATCGGTGCTCTCTAAAAAGGCCGATCGCGAGACGTAACATACATGACACTTTTCTCTGTGTGCGGCAAAACAAGCTCGCCAGAATGGCTTCACTAGTCTGGCAGTATTTTAAGTGTCCGAAAAAGACAATAAAATAGCGGTTTGCAACGTGTGTGTGAAGCAGAAATCCTGCAGCTCCACCCGCTGTGACGGACCGGTGAGCGGAGCAGAACACACATTAAGAGTTAGACCGAACACACTTAGCTATTTGATCTACCTCTGGAACTAGTTATAAATATATTTATTCTTCACTGTCACTCATTACTGGATCAGTGAGCTGCATGAGATACTGACAGGCTGTCAGGAGAGAGAGAGAGGGGGAGAGAGGAAAAGAGAGCGCTTCCGCTCATTTCCCCCATGTTATTATCCAAAGTGAATGTAAACTTGAATAATGTACTTCATTTGAATGTAACAATTATGTTGGTTGTTGTTTGTGGAAGCGCCAGTGAATGAGCCCCATTAACTGAGTTTTAAACATCACTTTTCACGAGTGTTTTCGTCGGGCTCTTCAAACCCATCCCCCCCCCCCGTTGATAATTCACGATCGTCGGCACGCTGATAACATTTTTTTTTTAGAATGGCACTTCATATCAAAAAGGTTGCCGACCCCTGCATTACACTATCCAAAAGGGCAAAGTCATGAGCTTTACTTCACCAAACACCTGCATAATAAAGCTGCATTTATACCTGTGGCCACCAGGGGGCAGGAAAACATCCCAACAGAGTCATTGGAAATGTAGAGATAGACTGTCTTTCATGTGCTTCTGGGCCCCAGTGCAAATATAATTTATTTGTGTATCTCCAGCTCTTTAACGGCTGACTTTGCCCTCCTCTTGTTTGATGCTGAGCAGATTGAGAGATAATCATATTTGAGCACTTATTAATTAAAGAGGCCCTATCATGCCGTCGGGGTTGTCCCTTTCCTGTAGTGAGTTATATAGGCTTTTGTGTGCATGTAAATGGTCTGCAAAGGCTACAATTCCTTTGTTAAGCACTCCAACACATTGTACGTTGACTAATCACAACAGAGCCGACCAGCCAACCAATCAGAGCAGACTGGGCTCTGGTTTCAGACAGAGCTTAGTCGATACGTTTTGTGATTGAATGTTGTATTTTGCCTGCTACTTTTTCAGTATATCCAAGATATTATATAGATCGTTTAGTTAAACAGACATTCAAATAACAACAAGAGTGCTGGATGGTGAAAAGCTAATTGAATCTATAGAGATGTTGTTGACGGGTGAAGCAAACCTCAAGAAGCTATTAATGCTGCGGTATGTGGCACGAGGCCATGATCTGTGCTCATGAATCATTTGGACTGTCACTAAGAGGCACATGAGGTCTGATGTATGAACCGTCCAGATCTCTCAGGTCTTCTGGTCTGCTTCCTGTCCGTCAGAACTGAACCTGGAGAAGTTCAGTTATTATGCTCCATCTGGAACAACTCCCTTTAGCTACCAAACTACCAGAGCTTTGAATTGATATATGAATATCTCACACTGCACTTTTTTTTAATTTTGTGTGTGTGTGTGTGTGTGTGTGTGTGTGTGTGTGTGTGTGTGTGTGTGTGTGTGTGTGTGTGTGTGTGTGTGTGTGTGTGTGTGTGTGTGTGTGTGTGTGTGTGTGTGTGTGTGTGTGTGTGTGTGTGTGTGTGTGTGTGGGTGTGTGTGTGTGTGTGTGTGTGTGTGTGTGTGTGTGTGTGTGTGTGTGTGTGTGTGTGTGTGTGTGTGTGTGTGTGTGTGTGTGTGTGTGTGTGTGTGTGTGTGTGTGTGTGTGTGTGTGTGTGTGTGTGTGTGTGTGTGTGTGTGTGTGTGTGTGTGTGTAGCTGGCTGTCTGCTCTGGAGAGCACCAAGTGGCTGCAGAACCTGTCTCTGCTCCTGAAGGCGTCTCTGCTGGTGATGAACGCCGTGGAGCGGGACCACCGCCCGGTCCTCGTCCACTGCTCCGACGGCTGGGACCGCACGCCTCAGATTGCCGCTCTGTCCAAGCTGCTGCTGGACCCGTACTACCGCACCATAGAGGTACAGAACACACTGCTCTAGTTTCATCACTGACCTGGGTCTTTGTTATATGTTTTTATTGTTATTATTTTGGGCATTTTTTTCTTTTTATGTTGTGTTATACTGTATATTTTTAAGAATTTATTGTATTTTTATTATTATTTAAAGGGGACCTATCATGCAAAATGCACTTGTGTACGTCTTTTATACATGAATATGTGTCCCCGGTGTTCCAGGGAACTCACCAAGTGTCAGAAAACACAACCCTCTCTATTTTCCTCCATACCCAAATCTCTAAAAAAGGGGCTGCAACGGATCTGATAAAAACTGATCCAGATTTGAACACTGTCCTGACGTCAGGACGGTGGCACTACGGCTATTGGGCCAACTCCACCAATCAGGAGGAGACAGCCACGGCCATTGCCGTTCGAAAGCGCTGGAGACGCTGTAGTACATATGCCAGGCCTGTAGGTGGTGCTGTTCTCACAGAATCTGCCCTTGCAGAGCAGAGCTAAAAAAAAGTGCAAATTGAGCAGTATTTTGAAAACAGAAATGTATAAATATGCCTTATATAGGTATGGCCCTACAATATACCATTTAAATATACCATGATAGGTCCACTTTAATTTAATTCAATAACAGTTTAATTTGGGATAGTTACTTACTTCATTATTATCCTGTTCTTTACTGAAATTATTATTATTGTTATCATTTTTATTATTTGGGAATTTTCCAATGAAAACTCTCCTATTGTTACCATAATGAACATTTTAAAAGAACAGTTGAATTTATATAATTTTGTGCGGATAACTTATGTCATTATTATCATGTTCTTTACTTGTTCTCAATTTATTATTATTATTAATATTAGTTTAATTTATTGTTGTTTAAATGTCACATTTCACACAGTTTTTAAGCAGTTATTGTCTTTTTGTATTGTCCTGAAATACCTTTGTGTATCCTTCTGTGTGCATTCATAAATTACGTTCAAAGCCTAAAGCTGTAAAGTAACAAGTCCTTAAATGTTGTACATGTTATACTTTTTTATTCTTATTATTTTGGGGCATTTTTGTGTTTTTATGTTGGGTTATACTGTATATTTGTATTATTTAATTTAATTAAATAACAGTATAATTTGGGATAATTCTTTCTCAAATCATTATCATTATTATTTAAATGTATTATTGTTTTAATACCCCTTGTGTTTTTAAGGATTTAATTAATTTTTATTTTTATAATTGAATGAAAAAACTGTTGAATTTATATAATTTGCCTTATGTCATTATTACCCTGTTCTTTACATGTTCTCATATATTCTTTGATATCTCGTGCCGTCCTCCTGCAGGGCTTCCAGGTTCTGGTGGAAACCGACTGGCTGGACTTCGGCCATAAGTTTGCGGACCGCTGCGGCCACGGAGAGAACTCGGAGGACGTGAACGAGCGCTGCCCCGTGTTCCTGCAGTGGCTCGACTGCGTCCACCAGCTGCAGAGGCAGTTCCCCTGCTCCTTCGAGTTCAACGAGGCCTTCCTGGTGCGTAACTGTGTGGAGCTCACTCCTCAAAGTCACAGAGACCAGTTGTTCTTAGTAGTTAGTTTATATTTTATTAATTAATTTATTTTAACTTATTTTTGTATTTAATTTTTGTATCATTTTTGTATTAATATTATTATTTTGTATTATTATTATTCAATGTAATCTTTATATTTTATTCATTTTTTTCTTTACAATTATTTTTGTATTTTGTATTACTTTTTTATTGTTATTTTTTACTATAATTTTTTTAAGTTATTTTTATATTTTATTAATTCTTTTCTTTACATTTATTTTAGTGTATTACTTTTTTATTATTATTATTTTTTTAATTATTTCATTATTATTCTTAGTAGTTGTTTTTATATCTGATTACTTTTTTTTTTACATTTATTTTAGTATTTTATTTTAGTATGTTGTATTTTCCCTCATTGTTTGTTACATCAGGAAGCTTCTACTTCATGAAGTCAGTGAAGATGGTTTTCTCTATAGTTTACAAGCAGGAACTCTCATTTGTTCCGAGTGGTGTTCAATTATAATGTTTCCTAGTAGGTGGTTAAACATTTCTGAGATATGTTATTGTCCATCATCTTCCGTTCCACGTCAGTTTCCGATTGTGAGCCACTAATGTGCAGTTACTCCTGCATCCCTGCTGTTATTATCATACCTGAGGCGTGTTAACAAGCCTGTGTGTGTGTGTGTGTGTGTGTGTGCGTGCAGGTGAAGCTGGTGCAGCACACCTACTCCGCTCTGTTCGGCACCTTCCTGTGTAACAGCGGGAAGGAGCGTGAGGACCGGCACGTTCAGGAGCGGACCTGCAGCGTGTGGTCGCTGCTGAGGCCGGCCAATCGGACGCTGAGGAACATGCTGTACTCCTCACACTCTGAGATCGTACGTCCTCCATTACTTTCCTCCGTCACTGTCCTGAAGAGAGAGAAACAGTTCTGCTTTAAAGCTGGTTAAAACTCCAGAGAAACGATAGAATAGGTTAAAGATGTTAAATAAATAGGGTAACATAGACTTCCATAAAAATTCTTCAATTGCTTTTTGGGAAAGTTGAGCCCCAGAGTCATGCAGTTCATAAAGTCCTTTTATTGTCTGAAACCTTTGCTTTTATGTGGTTACTGGATTGTTTTGTGTTTGTTCTAGGTCTGTGAGACAGGGTTTTAGGACCAGTGTTTTTACACAAATATGACAAAAAAATAGTCATTAACAAACATTTTTCCATGACTTAGACTGTGTGCAACATGCAATATTGTTGACACAAAAAGAAAACTAAGAATACGCGCTTAAAAATTATAGTCTGTATTGTTGTTATTGTTAACTTACTGACTTAAAGTGGACCTATCATGCTATATTTGAATAATATAGTGTAGGACCATACCTATATAAGGCATATTTATACTTTTTTTTTTTCAAAATACCAAACAGATCATGCATTTTAGCCATGCCTCATTTTGCTCAATTTGACAATTTCTAGCTCTGTTTTAGCAAGGGCTGATTCAGTGAGAACAGCACCACCTACAGGCCTGGCATATGTACTACAGCGTCTCCAGCGCTTTCGAACGGCAATGGCCGTGGCTGTCTCCTCCTGATTGGTGGAGTTGGCCCAATAGCCGTAGCCCCACCGTCCTGACGTCAGGACAGTGTTCAAATCTGGATCAGTTTTTATCAGATCCGTTGCAGCCCCTTTTTTAGAGATTTGGGTATGGAGGAAAATAGAGAGGGTTGTGTTTTCTGACACTTGGTGAGTTCCCTGGAACACCGGGGACACATATTCATGTATACAAGACGTACAAAAGTGCATTTTGCATGATAGGTCCCCTTTAAGTTAACAATAACAACAACAGTTCTTGGGAGTCAGAAACCAGCTGATGTTTTTGAAGTTCTACTATTATTTGTATTTCCCAAGTAAAGGTGTTGTTGTTGTTTCAGGTTCTGCACCCGGTGTGTCAGATGCTGTGTTTTTATTTGTTATTGTTAACTTACCGAGTCAACAGTTCTTGGGAGTCAGAAACCTGTTGATATGTTCATTGGCTAAAACTAGACAAAAAAGGTTTTCTTTGACTGAAATAAGACTTTTATTCATCACGTTTTCAACTCAAACTTACAAATGACAGGATGAAGTTTGTTTAATATCATAACATACTTTTCTACTATTATTTGTAATTCCCAAGTTAATGTTGTTGTTGTTGTTGTTGTTTCAGGTTCTGCACCCGGTGTGTCACGTGCGTAACCTGATGCTCTGGACGGCCGTCTACCTGCCCAGCTCCTCCCCCACCACGCCCTCCGATGAGTCCTGCGCCCCCTACCCTGTCCCGGGGGGAAACCCCGAGGACGCTCCACTGGGAAGGTGAGTCGGGAAACGCGTCTATTTTTCAATTCTAATCTCATTAATATTTGATTTTATTCTTTATTTAACCCTTTACAGTCCTGGGCTAATTTGGCCGTTTTCACATACTTTTGATTTGTCTTACTAAACCCCATTAAGAAATGTTTAGCATGTCAATGTTTGGTATCTATTCTTTTAAGACAACCTCACCTATATAAGCTGATAGTTATTTTTTACATTTTGACATACTATATGAACATTTTGGACCCAAAATCGCCTAAAAAACGTAAAAACAGATTTTGAAAGTGATATTATTTGTACTATGGGTAACACAAACATGCTCAACGAATAATTTTGAAAGCTGGAAATATATACCTGGGATGTCACTAAGTTAATGTAGAAGTTTGATTGAGGTAGCATGAACCTATATACACATTTTATTAACAAATAGCAGGTGTATGCATAGGCGTTTCTTTAATGAATGGTCTCCTCCTCCACGTAAAAAAAAAAATTACAAAACACATTAAGTCACCCTCAAAACTAATTATTATATTTAAAAAAAGTTATTTTATTCATTAAACACTTGCAGCATACAGGACAAGCTCAACAAAGGATAATCTTACAGAAAATAAGGACTTAAAAAGACAACATTGTGCATTATTAGACACTATTCTAGGGAAATGCACAGCAGAAACAGCAGCCACGACAAAGCGACAGACAAACAGAAGACAGTGAAGTACAGTTGACTTTTTTTTTAGTGCTGACATTTCATTGTTTGCATATTTTATGAGGGCTATTTGGAGACAAGGTCTGAACACTTCTCATTCATTATGTCTGTTTTGTTTTGGCGAGGCTGACGTGTGATTGATTTGTTACCCAAACATTCAGAGATGATTATATGAGCGGCTGCAGATTTAATCACAGGCTGTAAAACACACCGAGCTGTGATGACATCCTGTTTCCTGTGCATTTTACATTTGGTTAGTTATGGGCTGGCCTCTCAGAGTACACTGACTTCAAGTCTGTTTGTTAATCTGTACATTACTGTGTATTCAATAGAGTATGATCTTGTTGTAGGACGGTATTGAGGATGTTGATTCTATTCTTGACAAAAATGGCAGTTTTAACCAGAAAGTGTCCATATTTGTGCTGATTTAGAAAAATATTGAGTTGATTTGAACGTTTTAGCGCACTCAAGACTGCCTTTTCTGTTCCTGAAAGTACACCAACATTTCCCAAATCAGCCAAGCCATTTATGAGCTATTATCTGCCCAACAAATGCACGTTAGCATCCGGTAGTTTCTACGTGCTGGGGACCCCTAGTTTACATTTCTATCATAAAACGTTGGGGTACTCACTCACTCTTATCTTATCTTACGTTATAACTATTCTTTATTTCTGTGCTCCTCAGACGTCCGAAGACTCGCTCCTTCGACAACCTGCCGAGCGCCTGTGAGCTGAGCGGCTCTCTGCCTCCCAACCGCCGCTCCAGCGACCCGAGCCTCAACGAGAAGTGGCAGGACCACCGGCGCTCGCTGGAGATCAACATTGCCGCCGGTCCTGAGGGGGAACCGGAGCAGGAAGAAGTGATTCCTAACGGGGTGGGGCCTCATCCAAAGGAGGGAGGGGACTCTGAGCTGGAGGACAGCCCTCAAACCAGGGGGCCGAACGCTGTGATGGGAAAGGAAGGAGAGGGAGAAGCCAAGGCAAAGGAGGTGGAGCTTTCTGTGGCGGTGGGCGTCGCCGAGGGCCAGATGGAGAACATCCTGAAGGAGGCGACGAAGGAGGAGGCGGGGGCAGAGATGCAGAAAGAGGGAGGAGTTATTAATATCAGTAAGAGTGCGAGTGACAAGGAGGTGAAGGAGGAAGGAGGTGATCAGTGTGCGAAGGTGAATGGTATTCAGGTGGAGAAGGAAGGGTTGGCTAACGGTCACCATCAAGAGAACGGAGTAACGGAGGCTGAGGAGGAGGACGAGGAGGAGGAGTGTCCGCCTGTGAAGGAGGAGGAGGAGTGTCGGCCTGTGAAGGAGGAAGAGGAGGCGACTCCAGAGGTGGAGGGTGTAGAGATGTCTTCTGTACAGGAGGAGGTTGTAAAGGGAGCGAGTGCGTTAGCCTCAGCGGAGCACCCTGCAGCTCTCAGGACTTTAACCAACGGCTTCACCTCTCCTGAGGAGGAGCCGCTGGATAAGAGAGCCTCCGTGATGGAGAGCTCCACAGAGACTCTGACGGAGGAGGTCTGCAGCCGGCTGGAGCCCGCCCCCAGGCAGGAGAAGGGTCTGGAGGCGGGGGAGCAGTTCATCAGGACTTTAAACGGGAAGAGACCCTCGCTGTGTGCCTTTCAGGACCGAGAGGGGCTTTATTATAACGGCGACGTCTCCGAGCTCCACGGGGTCAAAGGTAACGGAGAAAGGGCTCCTCTCAGTCGGCAGGTTTCCCTCGCCAGCTGCAGCTCCCTCCCCCCCCGCTGCTCGCTGCATCGATGGTGTCATCACCACGCGCCGCTGCTGAACCGCGCCGCGATCGTTACCCCCGAGCAGCAGCCGTCTGTCCGCAGCCACCTGGACGACGACGGGCTGACGCTGCACAGCGACGCCGTGCAGACCAGGCTGCGGCAGATCGAGGCGGGACACCAGCTGGAGGTGGAGACGCTGAAGAAGCAGGTGCAGGAGCTGTGGAGCCGCCTGGAGAACCAGCACCACTCACACCGGGTCAACGGGGACACGGGGGACGAGGAGGGGGTGAGGACACACACAGCTTTTTACCAAACTGTATACATACACACACACAGAGGATATACATACACACACAGGATATACATGCACACACACAGAGGATATACATGCACACACACAGAGGATATACATACACACACACAGAGGATATACATACACACACAGAAGATATACATACACACACACAGAGGATATACATACACACACAGAAGATATACATACACACACACAGAGGATATACATACACACACACAGAAGATATACATACACACACACAGAGGATATACATACACACACACACAGAGGATATACGTGCACACACACAGGATATACATGCACACACACAGAGGATATACATGCACACACACAGAGGATATACATGCACACACACACAGGATATACATGCACACACACAGGATATACATGCACACACACAGGATATACATGCACACACACAGAGGATATACATACACACACAGAGGATATACATACACACACAGAGGATATACATGCACACACAGAGGATATACATGCACACACACACAGGATATACATGCACACACACAGAGGATATACATGCACACACATGCAGACAGGAGAGGTGGCAGAGTGCTTTCACAACCTGACACTTCACACACGGTAAAACCTTGAAACACACATGCAGCATGACAACATAATGTAACAGTTTAAGGGACACTGGAGGTAAACAAAACAATAGACTATATGTTCATACAATATACAAAAGCAAGAGACCTGTGCAACATTTGGATTTGATCAGATTGATGCATTCAACTTTATAATGTTCCTCTGTGTGTGTTCTTCCAGACCTCCATGATGGACTCAGAGTTCAACCTGGACCCGAACTGTCTGTCTCGCTGCAGCACGGAGCTGTTCTCTGAGGCCAGCTGGGAGCAGGTGGACAGGACGGACAGCGAGGTGAGAGGAGGAAACAAACACCACGAGAAACAAGATGCCTCTCTTGCCCCTTTCACACCCACGCGGTTCCCGTTCTCGCTCCTCTTGCGCTTTTCTGGTTCGGAACCGGTTTTTCTTTTCAGCCCCCGTTTTGTTCACACCGCCCAGAGTCCGACTGGTGTTGCCGCGGCTGCGTCATGACGTCACCGTTTACGTCGCTGATTTTCTCCCCAACGGCGTTGGGTCGATGATCGTGTTGCTTTTAATCATACGAAGCCAGATTAAATTAAATAACGACTTCTCCAACCTTATACTTTTCTCCAGAGTGCCGTGGTTCATTGTTTATTAATGTGTTTCAGCGGCATGTACCGACCGCTGCAGTGCCGGCTGCTCTTCAACGGGAGTGTATTCTCCCGTTAGCTCCGGGTTAGCTCACACGGCTCTAAAGTATTCACTGTCTGACTGTCACACAAGCAGCTGATACATATCCCCAGTTCCCCTTAAGTGAATGTGTGTCAGTCTGAATTGACGCTGTTTGGCATCACAACGCTGTTATGAAAGTTTCTCTGGTATAACATGGGTGATGTTAGCATAGCAACCGAAGCTAAACTGACTAGTTGCTAAGCCGTTTTCTACAGGCACATTTTACCGGCGTATTTTTCATTATGATTCTACTTGTGATAGTCGGACATGACAACCTGTGCAGCCCATGTATTGATTCCATCCGATAGCTGCTATAATAACAAACAAAACGTCTGCCTGCTCTCCACAATGATCAATAACAGCGAACGGATGGTCAAAGTAAGGTACAAATAAACAGAATCACACGAAGCCTGGTTAGTGTTGCCTGACTTTATAAAGAGTGTTTGTTTATAAGTGTGTGGTTGCGTTCTAGTCACTTTGCTCAGCGCTACTGCTGGTTACAACTTTTATTTGCCGTACTCGCCATAAACTGTTATTATGGCTCAGGTTGATCCCGCCCCCCTCCGACGTAAACGTGACGTATGCGGTTCTTGCTTCTAGACCAGTGCTTCTCAAAGTGTGGTCCGCGCCCCACTGGTGGTCCGTGAGCGCCCCACTGGTGGTCCGTGAGCGCCCCTTAGTGGTCCGTGAGCGCCCCACTGGTGGTCCGTGAGCGCCCCTTAGTGGTCCGTGAGTATATTGGTAACATTTTATATTGGAAATAAATTAATTAATTTAAGTTTTCCGCACTCTCGCGGGAATATCTCCTTAACGGAGCGAGCTTAAGTTTCACTTTCGATTGCATGATATAGCCCAGCGCAACACCTTCATCAAACATGTTGCCACTTGTTTGTACCATTTTCAGGTGATGTTTGATAGTGTGTTTGTTACTGGTGATGTTTGATAGTGTGTTTGTTACTGGTGATGTTTGATGTTGTGTGTGTGTTACAGGTGATGTTTGATGTTGTGTGTGTGTTACAAGTGATGTTTGATAGCGTGTGTGTTACAGGTGATGTTTGATGTTGTGTGTGTGTTACAGGTGATGTTTGATGTTGTGTGTGTGTTACAGGTGATGTTTGATGTTGTGTGTGTGTTACAAGTGATGTTTGATAGCGTGTGTGTTACAGGTGATGTTTGATGTTGTGTGTGTGTTACAGGTGATGTTTGATGGTGTGTGTGTTACAGGTGATGTTTGATGTTGTGTGTGTGTTACAGGTGATGTTTGATGGTGTGTGTGTTACAAGTGATGTTTGATAGCGTGTGTGTTACAGGTGATGTTTGATGGTGTGTGTGTTACAGGTGATGTTTGATGTTGTGTGTGTGTTACAGGTGATGTTTGATGGTGTGTGTGTTACAGGTGATGTTTGATGTTGTGTGTGTGTTACAGGTGATGTTTGATGGTGTGTGTGTTACAGGTGATGTTTGATGGTGTGTGTGTGTTACAAGTGATGTTTGATAGTGTGTTTGTTACAGGTGATGGTGTGTGTGTGTTACAAGTGATGTTTGATAGTGTGTTTGTTACAAGTGATGTTTGATAGTGTGTTTGTTACAAGTGATGTTTGATAGTGTGTTTGTTACAAGTGATGTTTGATAGTGTGTTTGTTACAAGTGATGTTTGATAGTGTGTTTGTTACAAGTGATGTTTGATGGTGTGTTTGTTACAGGTGATGTTCGATGGTGTGTGTGTTACATAGTGATGCCTAACGGTATGTGTGTGTGTTGCAGGTGACGCGCTGGTACCCTGACCACCTGGCGGCTCAGTGTTACGGCTGTGAGAGCAGATTCTGGCTCGCCACCAGGAAGCATCACTGCAGGTGAGGATCACACACACCTTCAGTCACTCTTTAACCCATGGTCATCCTCCTGTGTGTGTCCTGTCGAGGTTTAGAGAGGCGTTTCCTGTTTGAGCTGAAACTCTGGTGTTCAGAAGGAAGTGTGTAGAGGCAGCTTTAAGTTCACCCCCGGTATCTATATTAGTCTTAAATACATCTTAAGTTATTTTACTTCTTCTCCACTTTTCTTTCTGCAGATCAGATCTCAAAATCTGCTTATTGAATTATTCTGTTTCTTCTGAGGAATTAAGAAAAAGTTAAAATGTTTCCAAGTGGGGTTGAATGAGGTAGTAGATAGCAGCCTTTCTATTATTTTCTGCTCTTCAATTCCTTGAAGAGCAGAAGATAGTAAATGTCAGAAGATAGTGACATTTATTCTGGAAAATAAGCTGATTTCATTTAAATCCCGCATTACTCTTTATGGTGCACTGGCCCTTTAAGGCTTTATGGTGCACTGGCCCTTTAAGGCTTTACGGTGTGCTGGCCCTTTAAGGCTTCATGGTGTACTGGCCCTTTAAGGCTTTATGGTGCACTGGCCCTTTAAGGCTTTATGGTGTACTGGCCCTTTAAGGCTTTATGGTGCACTGGCCCTTTAAGGCTTCATGGTGTCCTTCATTTTTATCAGGAATTTATGATTATTTAGCTGAGTAGTTTATTGTTTATGTTTATTTTACTAATTACATTTTAAACCAGAGATCACTTTGCAGTGCGTCGTACTGTTTCAAGATTCAAGGCTTTATTGTCATGAGCTACAGTGTAGATATGGCAATGAAAAACTGAAGTCCCAGGCTCCTCCAACAGAGCAACATGAATATATATAGAACAAATAAAACAGATAAAATAGTGCAAGAAAGTGTTTTTCTGTTCAAGCTATTGATTCCTAACGCAAACGTCAGGAGTTAGCATCGTTTAGCGACATTGTGACACACGTCTGCAGCAGGAAGTGTGTGTTGGTGTGTGTTAAGTGTCTGTATGTGTGTGTGTCAGTGTGTGTGTCATGTTCTCCACTGCTCAGGCAGTTCTTATGCATTGTCTCCCCCCCCCTCTCCTCTACAGTGGCAGGGAGCCTTTCCAGGAGGTCTGGTGAGATCCAGCTCCCCTCCACCCTAAATGCCCCCCCCCCCCTCTCCCCCTTTAGTGTCCCTGCACCTTCCCCTCTACCCTCCCTCCCCCTCCTCACCTGTTGCATCTGGTTTCCCTTCATCCTGTTGTAGTTGTCATCAAATTTCTCAGAGAAATCTCATTTTATTTGTCTGAGATTTGAGTGTGCTGCCATTCAGAGGTTTTGATTGGCTGTGCAGTAGCGTCAGGGGGAGGGCTGTGATTGGTCGAGGGCTGATTGGTCGGTATTTTACCCTAAGATTTTCGAATTGGGGCTGCAGAATATATCGTGTGCAAAAATGTCACAGTGCAACTTTTTAGCTGCTTTATTGAAATGGACAGTTCTTGTTTTGGAAATGTAATATGAAGCTTCAAAGATCAACCAATTCAGCTATTTAATAAATCGAACACATATTTGGTTTTAATCATTAATTAATACAAAAAACACTCAAAATACATTCAAATAAGTTCTAGTTCCTTTCTTCCTTGTTTTAATGTTTACCATTTTCTCCCTTATTGTAGACCAATAAGCAAAAACATGAATCCAGAAAGTAATCAACAAATGAATCAACATTCAAAATGATAGTTAATTGTCTCAAAGCGTATCCAGTGCTTCCCCCCTTTAGTCCGTAGGCTCGCCTCAGTTTCATAATGAAGGTTTTACAAGAAAACTACATTTTTTTATAGATCAACCGTCTTCATTTTGTGTTTAAATAATGCTTTTAAAGGTAGGGTAGGTAAGTTTGAGAAACCGGCTCGAGATACACTTTTTGTTATATTCCATGGAATGCTCTTAACATCCCGATAGCAATGAATATCTGAAGTGCTTTGACAAAAAATCCATAAAATATCATCTGTGGAAGCCGTAGTACTGTAAAAAGCACGACCAATCATTTTAGCCGGCCCGGCTAAAAGAACTGGATGGCCTACCTGCCTGTCAGCCTTCCATCTGTGCACAAACTTATCTCGTGCCCTCATTGGTCATGTGCGCGTTCGTGTGTGTTGGAGGAGGGGCTCTGTAAGGAAGTGGCAGATTTTCTCCGGTTGTGTATTTTCAAATTCTAGCGCACTCGAGCTGGTTTCTCAAACTTACCTACCCTACTTTTAACTTAAAAAAATGTACAAAATAAAGTCTGAAAAAGCCTCTTTAAAAAAAACCCGATAAATCTCAGGAAGCAAATAATGCTACATCAGGTTTTTCAACATCCTGCAGCCCTAATTAAAACCTTAAAACAAGCAGATTTCCACAGCTTCACCACTCCTCCTGCCATTACCCCCTCTCCACCTTCACCCCCCCCCCCCCCCCGGCAGCATGCCGCCCCAAACCAGCCGCCTGCATCTCACCCCCAGGCTGGAGAGTGGAATAGATTCATATTTGTAGTTTTAGTTTCTGCTCAGGGTGAGTAGGCAGGTAGAAGAGTGTGTGTGTGAGTGTGTGAGCATGGCCTTACATCAGAATCTGAGCATGGGTTTTATAAAGGTATTAATGTGTGTTTTTATTAATGGGCTGGTTATTAAAGAAATGCTAACAGGCATGTAGTGCAGCAGAAAACTAGATGAATTCATTCTTAAGAAACTGACTTTTTTTAAACTTTGAATAATGTGTCTAAGGTCAGCTGGTTTACAGGAGACACATTTTATATCAGCATCCTGTTCTGTAAATGTGTTCATACTAAGTTTTATTTACAATCAGCTCTAGATCAACATTAAGCCACTTTATGATTCTTACAGGTTACACGTCTCCACATATTAACACCACTTCATGATGAAGTAAAAAGCTATTGTTGGGCTATAAAGGAACTACAGCACGGTCACATGACCTCACGTCACCACCGCTAAGCTAAAGGTGGCTAATGTTGGGCTATAAAGGAACTACAGCACGGTCACATGACTTCACGTCTCCACCGCTAAGCTAAAGGTGGCTAATGTTGGGCTATAAAGGAACTACAGCACGGTCACATGACTTCACATCACCACCGCTAAGCTAAAGGTGGCTAATGTTGGGCTATAAAGGAACTACAGCACGGTCACATGACTTCACGTCTCCACCGCTAAGCTAAAGGTGGCTAATGTTGGGCTATAAAGGAACTACAGCACGGTCACATGACTTCACATCACCACCGCTAAGCTAAAGGTGGCTAATGTTGGGCTATAAAGGAACTACAGCACGGTCACATGACTTCACGTCACCACCGCTAAGCTAAAGGTGGCTAATGTTGGGCTATAAAGGAACTACAGCACGGTCACATGACTTCACGTCTCCACCGCTAAGCTAAAGGTGGCTAATGTTGGGCTATAAAGGAACTACAGCACGGTCACATGACTTCACATCAACACCGCTAAGCTAAAGGTGGCTAATGTTGGGCTATAAAGGAACTACAGCACGGTCACATGACTTCACGTCTCCACCGCTAAGCTAAAGGTGGCTAATGTTAGGCTATAAAGGAACTACAGCACGGTCACATGACTTCACGTCACCACCGCTAAGCTAAAGGTGGCTAATGTTGGGCTATAAAGGAACTACAGCACGGTCACATGACTTCACGTCTCCACCGCTAAGCTAAAGGTGGCTAATGTTGGGCTATAAAGGAACTACAGCACGGTCACATGACTTCACATCACCACCGCTAAGCTAAAGGTGGCTAATGTTGGGCTATAAAGGAACTACAGCACGGTCACATGACTTCACGTCTCCACCGCTAAGCTAAAGGTGGCTAATGTTAGGCTATAAAGGAACTACAGCACGGTCACATGACTTCACGTCACCACCGCTAAGCTAAAGGTGGCTAATGTTGGGCTATAAAGGAACTACAGCACGGTCACATGACTTCACGTCACCACCGCTAAGCTAATGGAGGCTAATGTTGGGCTATAAAGGAACTACAGCACGGTCACATGACTTCACGTCACCACCGCTAAGCTAAAGGTGGCTAATGTTGGCCGTGATGACGTTTAGTCGTCTCATTTAGACACTTCAATTCACCAGTGGGGTATTTACTGACGTATTGCATGTCGTGGAATAAAAATATCTTCAGCTTGTGTTAACCACAGACTTTATTTCAGGATAACAACCAAAAACAGACATTCAGAAAACCATTGACTTCCAGACGAGGGAACAGGAAGTGATAAAATGCTGTCCCAGGCTTCTCTAATAATGCAACATAAAATATATTAAAGACAAATAAAATAGTGAAAGTGACATATATGCAAAGTTCTTTAGGACTCATTCCTGTGGGTTAATTACACAAAAAGTCCAGACTTTTTTTGAAATAATCACCATTAAAATCAGTTTTTTTGTATGGGGGACATTTCCTGGTGTGTATTGGTGACTGTAAGTGTGTATAGGCTCCCGCAATGACCCCTGTTTCTGTGTGTCTGTGTGTGTACAGGAACTGCGGTAACGTGTTCTGCGCCAGTTGCTGCGAGCAGAAGATCCCCGTGCCAAGCCAGCAGCTGTTCGAGCCCAGCCGCGTCTGCAACGGTTGTTACGGCAACCTGAAGCTAAGCCCCGCCCCCCTGCAGCTAAGCCCCGCCCCCCCGGAGCTGGAGAAGCGGAACGATGAACCTGCTGCAGGGAGAAACACCGAATGTCCCGTAGACTCTTAAGTGTGTGTGTGTGTGCTGCAGGTGTGGAGTGTATATACAGAGAGGCTGTGCACAGGGGGGTGTGTGTGTGTGTGTGTGTGTGGCACTGCTGCACCCCACACACACCCCCCAGGATGGAGGAGTGAGGATGGACGTCCTGGAAGCGACCGGACGCTGGAGTTTCTGCGTTTCATCTTTTCAACAACACACTCATCTCACTCTGGACTCTTTAATCTTGAAGGTGTGTGTGATCGGGAAGAAATCATGACTTTAAAAATGTCTGGGGGTTTTTCGCCGTACATACTGTCGTCGTACGATATATTGTCCCGTGAACAACTGCCGTATTATTGTGTTTATAAGACCATTTCATGCCACTGATATAATGCTACTAGGAAAGTAAACTAACGTGTACAACCTTTTAAAAAAAGACTATTCAGATGCTTGAATTTGATCAAAATATTCAATTAAAGGGCATTTTAATAATATTTTTGATGAATAAATAAAACTAAAACAGTAAAATACTTTAATATTTTTATTTGTAAGTTATATTCAGAGATTGGAATTTAATCAAACATATGTACATACCCTTTATAAACCAAAAAAATCTGAATTAATTAATCAAGTATAAAGATTATTGGAATTACATTTAGAAAAAAATTCAAAACTGAATAAATTAGAGACTTATTTCAATAAAAAAACAAAGTAAATATTAAGAATATTCAGACATTTTAATAGAAAAACAATATTTAAAATACCCTGAATTAATTAGACTTAATCAAACTACATTACATTTGAATTATAAGAACACAAAATAATATATAAACGGTTAATTATTAAGTAATTAACCAAATTAATATATTAAATGTGGGCTTATAATGCTGCATCATGTTGGCTGAATGTTGGTCATGTAAACACAATAATGTGGAAGTCCATATATATCCCATAATAAGTAGAAACAGTAGTTATGGTGACAGTCTGATGAACTCTTAAAGGGCCGGTGCACACACATTACCAAACCATGTTTCCTCTCTAACCGTGCTTCTACATTTATTCTATTTTCCCTGTTTGAGAGAAGTTAATAAGGGCTTACACTATATATATATTTCTGTTGTACACAAATCCATTAAATGTCAGAAGATAGTGACATTTGTTCTGGAAAATAAGCTGATTTCATTTAAATCCCTCATTACTCATTATGGTGTACTGGCCCTTTAAGGCTTTATGGTGCACTGGCCCTTTAAGGCTTTATGGTGCACTGGCCCTTTAAGGCTTTATGGTGTGCTGGCCCTTTAAGGCTTCATGGTGTACTGTGCCCTTTAAGGCTTTATGGTGCACTGGCCCTTTAAGGCTTTATGGTGCACTGGCCCTTTAAGGCTTTATGGTGCACTGGCCCTTTAAGGCTCCCGGCTGAATCTCTTGATTGATGAGTGGGTTTTTATCGCTTTTGACGCAGAATTATTTTGTATTTTTCTGTGTGATGTTTGTTGAGATTCAGAGCAGAGTGCAGACAGGAAGCTGGAGTTTTTATGAGTTTATTTTGGTAACACTTTCTATTAAAAAACATATCTATAATGCATTATAAACACACTTTAAACTACAATTCTAATGCATTATAACTCTAATCGTACCACATTATAAAACATTGTATTATGACTTGTAGGTAGTGTCATAATCCTTCATAATTGCTCTTAAATTACGGACATTTCTATTAAAACATGTCTTTTTTTTTTATAACTAGGGGATATACAGTAAATCCTTACAAACTTGACCTTTTGAAACAATTTAAAAATACTTTTGATCTGATATTTGTTGTTAAATATATATTAAATAGTGCTTATTTATGGCTACAAAGTAGTATTTATACACTGTTTACTTTCAAAATTATTGGTTTTGTTTATTTAATATTCAAAAACCCAAATATTGTCATTTTTGTATGATATAAAACTACGAAATACTGGAAATATCAGTTATTTAGAGGCCGAAAAACAGCATTTTCTGACAGGAATAATTACTTTATTGATAAATTAATTGTCAAAGTAGTTGGGGAATTGTATATAAATGTAATTACACCGGTCTATAAGCAGATAATAAGTGTGTTTATAATAGTATAGACCTGTGCTTCATAGAAAGTGTCACCAAGAATGAATATCTCCGACGTTAACGAGGGTCAATTATCATTGTTATTTGTCAGCGATGTTTTGAACAGCTGATCGACTGTTATTCAGCGAGTGTGTAACAAAGTGTGTGTGACAGTGTGTTATTGTCACACACACACACACACACGCAACAGCCTCCCACTTTTATTACCCAGCAGGCACTGGGCGTCTCCTCGACTCTTCAGCCTCTCACAGGAAGTGAAGTTTAACACATCCAACAACAAAAAAATTGAAATGTTAAAGCTCGTCATTTGTGATTGGGCGTTTTAATCATGACATCACAGGTGTTCTCCGCTCTGATTGGCTGAGGCGTGGAGGAGCGTAGGCAGAAAGGGCTCTTTAAGAAGTAGAAGGTGTTTCTCAATGTCGAGGACGCTTCCTTGGTAGGACATGTCTTCCGAGTCAGGTCCTTCAGAAGCGAGGCAAGGATCCGTCCTGGCAATTGGAGGACGAAGAATGGAACAGGCTAGCAAGTGTGCAGGTGTGCGTCATATGAGAGGCCCCCGTCTTACATTTTCCGCCAAAGATTTGGGAAATTGGTCCATGCGCAAAGCATTGTGGGGATTTTAAGACCGCGGAGGATACACATGTGCAGCCTCGAAATGTCCCGCAACGAAGGATTCAGTCCTCGGTAGAATTCCAAGGAGCCTGGACATTGGAACAGTCCTTCGGCGGGACTCGATGACATAGCATCCTTGAAATAGTGGCTCTGGAGGATCCTTCCTCGACATTGAGAAACACCCAGAGACTCACACCATCCAATGACCTCCTCGCACACACACACACACACTTTGTTTTTTGTAAGATAAGTGAATAAAATAATATATTCAGATATAGCATTTAAGACAAATGTATAGAATCCTTGAATAGTGGCTCACTTAATTAGTCACCAAAGGTTTTTTGTTTTTTTTATTTCTTTGTTTTTCTTATGTTGTTTAATTGAGGACAAATATAATTTGTTGATGACAGGTGTTTTTGTTTTTTTAAATAGAGAAGCAGGACGTCCTGTTTCGATGCTGCAGTGGTTTTTCCCTTTCAAATGATTTAAGTTATTGAGTTGTTGAATTGCTGTTTTTAAAAAAAAGAAACCCAGACAATTGAAATTGCCACAGGATAATCAGTGTTGATGCTTCCTCTGTTTTACCCTGTTTTATATCAGCCAATCACGAGAGGATGTGTACATCTAAAGGGGTTAGCATTTAGCATCGTTAGCATATTTAAATCATCTGTGTGCGGCCGGTGAGACGTCTATGCACTGAGTGGTCCCGAAAATAAATAACCCCCCCTCACTCACACACACCATTACACCCATCTACAAACACTACCTCTACTTTATACACACACACACACACACACACACTATTATTAGCTCCCACACCACGCAGAACTGCCTTTGTTATTGTATTTTCCCTTAAAGGTACAGTACACATTTTAATTTTCATCTTTTTTTGGGGGGGGGGGTTTACGATCTTTTACCCCCGTTTGGACTATCAGAGGAATTTAAAACATTATGATGAATCATTGTACCGAACCGAAGTGGTTCCTCTCCGCCCTCCTGTGTTGGTGGTGTTTAATTCAGCAGCTCCACCTTTAACCCTTTAAACATCACAGAGACACCTGGCTGCTGTCTTTTCTGTTAATTTGTACAAAAACACTCAAAAACAGTGGCTTTAAATGCTGAAATTATTTGTATATATTGCTACTGCCTCTGATTTCACATCTAAAGTATATATTTACGTAAATCTGACCTGGGATCCTATTAGGGCTGTACCGAATATTTAGATATTTTTCATAGAACTTACGTTTTTTACGTCTTTTTATTTTATTTTCAGGCTGCTGTATTTTTATTATATTATTTTTATGTAGTTTCAGATTCAAGTGATGCAAATATTTGCCAAAAACTTTTTCTGAATTAATTACAATAGTTTTAGTTGGCAAAAAAATACAACAATTGGTACAAAATGCAGATTTTTTTATTTGACATCACTTTAATTGGATGTTTTTCTATACATATGCATCGTTCACACTTCCATAGCTTCATTCAAGAACCTCAATACTTAAGGAGTCTTAAAAAATAAACACAAATAATAATTTAAAAAGTGGTAAAGCCCTAATAACGCTTATAGATAATTGTGAATAATAAATATGAATGTAAAACATCCAAATAAGACGCTCAAAATGTTAAATTAACTAATTTGGTACAGACTTAATAATTCTTATTAATCGTTATTCTTTTCCAAATCTCCCAAATAAATATAAATTTGTCTTAAATATTGAAAGAAAAATGATTGTGAACACTTGATCACCTTTTAAATACAGATTTAATTAGAAATAATGAAGACGTCCCTTTTCACCACCCTCACAGGCCGGGACTCATCCACCAATCCATGAATGTGAAACGTATTAAAATATATATTTTGCACACGACACAAAGTAGACACTGCCACAGGGGTGCATCACAGCAGAGCTGAGAGTGTGTGTTGCTTTTCACTAGTGTGTCATCACACACACACACACACATCCCTCGCTGTGCTTTTATTTTTATTCTCCTTCTAGGAAGTTCTCTTCTTCTGCATTTGTTGTTTTATTTCTCTAACTCACGCTGACTGCTAAGGCCCAGTTATCACCTGAGTGTGTATGTGTGTGTGAGAGTGTGTGAATGCATCGAGTGTGTGTGTCTCTTTTAGTGGAGACTGGTGCCAAGCAGTGTAGTGTCGGGTCTCAGAACGACGGCTCGTGCTTCAGTTTGATCTTTTCTCCCGTCTGTTTTTTCGAAGCACTTTGAACCTCCTCCGGAGTGTGTGAGGAGTGTGTAGCTGTACATAGCGACTTCCTGTAACAAGTGCTCCTCGCTCAGTCTGAATATTTTGTTTCTGTCGGATTTACTTTTAAAGAGCATTACATTGTTGTAGAATTTAAAGGAGAAATAAACTAGATAAACCTACCGTGTCTGTCTGCTCTGAACACACACACACACACACACACACGAGAACACACTTCAATATCTATTTAATTACTGTTCTTATTCTACTATAATTCGTTTTGCATACTATACCATGACTTTTAAATGTTCTGTGTCTGTCTGCTCTGAACACACACACACACACACACACACACACACGGAAACACTTCAATCATGTTTAATGCATGTACTGGTTTACATCTCTAGAAATCAAGAACACATGAAGTCACTGTCAAACATCTACGTCTACTTATTGAACCGAATACAGAGAAAGGAAAACAACCAAGAGAATCAGAGGAGCTGCTGTAAGTGTTCATGCTCACTGAGGAAGAGGAGGAGGAGGAAGAGGAGGAGGAGTGATGGATCTGAGGAAGGAGTTCAAGTGACTCCTGGCGACGACTACACTTCACAGAATCGGCAGCATGTTAGGTTTGCTTAAAACAACACGAGCAGCACTTGTAATATGTTACAAACCATAAAGCGTTTAAATACCAAAGGCTAGAGAGCGAGTTTCACTTCAGATCCATCGGTGAATGTGCAAAGTGCTGCTCCTCAGACCCTCTTCAGGACTAATGAGTCATTATTAAACGCTGATAGTGTTTATATTATATTTCGTAAACCAACAACATCATTAATCTCCCTGTCGACATCTTTAGAAACTCGTTTAAAAAAAAAAAATAGACATGGCTTCACCGGCCGACTATTCCCTTTATCTATAAAAACTCAGACGGCATTATTTACATCTCTGGAGGAATATTTCATAAAGTGGGTTCTCTTCTTCTGCAGATCACATCTTCCACTTTCCAATGAAAGCACGCGTGAGAAAAGAGGATGCAGGTCGCAGGAGAGAGTGCAGGTTGATGGGAAGTTGCACGAGCAGCTGCACTATGTACAGGCAGTGTGTGTGTCTGTGTGTGGATCAAGGGTTCCTTCAGTTCCTCTTCATGCTCCAGGACTCACACCGATGACTGATCCCAGACCTGCAGGACAGAGACACAGGGTCACCCTCTACATAATACTAATACATTTCATTTATATAGCACACTTTAAAAACAACGTCATCTCAAGGTGCTTTCACCATAAATACTGATCAAACATCCACCTGTGCTGTCAGGGGAAGAGAGGGTAATATATACTGTCACTTTTAGAATATACTATATTATGACTTAATCAAACCTTTTGAAAACAGATTTTATAATAGTAGGGTCATGCAAAGTGAGGGCGCCTAGCCCTTTAAGAGAGAGAGAGAGCAGGATACATGTGTGGCGCGTGTTGAGAGCGTGCGAGATGAGAGTGAGATGAGAGTGAGCGAGATGAGAGCGAGATGAGAGCGACGAGAGCGAGACGAGAGCGAGACGAGAGCGAGACGAGAGCGAGACGAGAGCGAGCGAGATGACGATGAGCGATGATGAGCGCGGATGAGAAGCTATGCCGAGACAGAGCCGAGAGCGAGATGAGAGCGAGATAAGTAGCAGCGAGATGAGAGCGAGATGGAGAGCGAGATGAGATGAGAGCGGAGATGAGAGCGAGAATTAGAGCGAGAATGGAGAGCGAGATGAGAGCGAGATGAGAGCGAGCGAGATGAGAGCGAGATGAGAGCGAGATGAGATGAGAGCGAGATGAGAGCGAGATGAGAGCGAGATGAGAGCGAGATGAGAGCGAGACGAGAGCGAGCGAGATGAGAGCGAGACGAGAGCGAGCGAGATGAGAGCGAGATGAGAGCGAGATGAGAGCGAGCGAGATGAGAGCGAGATGAGAGCGAGCGAGATGAGAGCGAGATGAGAGCGAGCGAGATGAGAGCGAGATGAGAGCGAGATGAGAGCGAGATGAGAGCGAGCGAGATGAGAGCGAGACGAGAGCGAGACGAGAGCGAGATGAGAGCGAGATGAGAGCGAGATGAGATGAGAGCGAGATGAGAGCGAGATGAGAGCGAGATGAGAGCGAGACGAGAGCGAGCGAGATGAGAGCGAGATGAGAGCGAGATGAGATGAGAGCGAGATGAGAGCGAGATGAGAGCGAGCGAGATGAGAGCGACTGAGAGCGAGCGAGATGAGAGCGAGATGAGAGCGAGATGAGAGCGAGATGAGAGCAGAGCGAGATGAGAGCGAGACGAGAGGGCGAGACGAGAGCGAGATGAGAGCGAGATGAGAGCGAGATGAGATGAGAGCGAGATGAGAGCGAGATGAGAGCGAGATGAGAGCGAGATGAGATGAGAGCGAGATGAGAGCGAGACGAGAGCGAGACGAGAGCGAGATGAGAGCGAGATGAGATGAGAGCGAGACGAGAGCGAGACGAGAGCGAGACGAGAGCGAGATGAGAGCGAGATGAGAGCGAGATGAGAGCGAGCGAGATGAGAGCGAGACGAGAGCGAGCGAGATGAGAGCGAGATGAGAGCGAGACGAGAGCGAGCGACGCTGAGCCGAGATGAGAGCGAGATGAGAGCGAGATGAGAGCGAGATGAGATGCGAGCGAGATGAGAGCGAGATGAGAGCGAGATGAGAGCGAGCGAGATGAGAGCGAGATGAGAGCGAGATGAGAGCGCGAGATGAGAGCGGATGAGACGAGCGAGATGAGAGCGAGACTGAGAGCGAGATGAGAGCGAGGATGAGAGCGAGATGAGAGCGGCGAGATGAGAGCGAGATGAGAGCGAGATGAGATGAGAGCGAGATGAGCGCGAGATGAGAGCGAGATGAGAGCGTAGCGAGATGAGAGCGAGATGAGAGCGAGATGAGAGAGGAGCGAGATGAGAGCGAGATGAGAGCGAGACGAGAAGAGCGAGAGAGGGAATGAGAGCGAGATGAGAGCGAGACGAGATGCGAGCGAGATGAGAGCGAGATGAGAGCGAGCTGAGATGAGAGCGAGATGATGAGCGAGATGAGAGCGACGAGATGAGAGCGAGACGAGAGCGCGCGAGATGAGACCCCCGCGAGCGATGATGAGCGAGATGAGAGCGAGATGAGAGCGAGATGAGAGCGAGATGAGATGAGAGCGAGATGAGAGCGAGATGAGAGCGAGATGAGATGAGAGCGAGATGAGAGCGAGATGAGAGCGAGCGAGATGAGAGCGAGCGAGATGAGAGCGAGACGAGAGCGAGCGAGATGAGAGCGAGATGAGATGAGAGCGAGACGAGAGCGAGACGAGAGCGAGATGAGAGCGAGATGAGATGAGAGCGAGATGAGAGCGAGATGAGAGCGAGATGAGAGCGAGACGAGAGCGAGCGAGATGAGAGCGAGTGAGATGAGAGCGAGATGAGAGCGAGATGAGAGTGAGATGAGAGCGAGATGAGAGCGAGATGAGAGCGAGATGAGAGCGAGATGAGATGAGAGCGAGATGAGAGCGAGATGAGAGCGAGATGAGAGCGAGATGAGAGCGAGCGAGATGAGAGCGAGATGAGAGCGAGATGAGAGCGAGATGAGAGCGAGCGAGATGAGAGCGAGATGAGAGCGAGATGAGAGCGAGATGAGAGCGAGATGAGAGCGAGCGAGATGAGAGCGAGCGAGATGAGAGCGAGATGAGAGCGAGATGAGAGCGAGCGAGATGAGAGCGAGCGAGATGAGAGCGAGATGAGAGCGAGATGAGAGCGAGACGAGAGCGAGACGAGAGCGAGATGAGAGCGAGATGAGAGCGAGTATATACTAAAACAAACGGGGTCTCCCCAGCACCTTGTTGGCGGGGGCCAGCTGCGTCCTCACAGACCCAGCGTGGAGCCGGCTGCTGTCCCCAAACCTCCCCGGAGACCTCTCTCTGCGGGGGTCCATCTCCCTGCGGGCGTCCAGCCCTCTGCCCGGGGACTTCTCCCGCTCCAGGGGGGGCCGGGCGGGGGATTTGTCCCTCCTGAACTCGGTCCTTCCCTCCCGGTACCGGTGGGGGGTGCTGGGCTCACGGTGGAGGCCCTCATGGCTGCCGGGGCCCGAGACCAGGCGCTTGGAGATGTGCTCGGTGTAGGTGGGGGGGCCGCGCTTACTGGGGCTCCTGCAGGACACAAGGAGAGGAGATATCTGATCAAAGTCAAAGTCAACATTATTGTCAATCTTTCAGTTTGCGTGTACAGACAGAGAGATCGAAATACCGTTTCCCACAATCCTGGAAGCTGGGGGGGCAGGCGAGCAGCAGCAACATGAAACACAGCAGCAGGATCATGAACGTAGCAATAGCAAGTGAACACAGCAGTGGCAGCAGCAGCATAGCGAGGCAGAGGCAGGCAGACCTGGCAGCAATGTGTTTGGTTGGTTGGTTGAGGGACGAGGTGCGTCAAGCGTTAATGTATGATTGGTGCTCGAGTTGACTGCCTGAACTAGCTCGCAGGCTTCACCCCATGTCATGGACGCGGGAAGGGGGGGGTGCTGAGGGGGCTGCAGCACCCCCATCTGCGAGGCTCCACTAGCACCCTCACCCCGCACCTACAGTGTAAGTGCGCCACAGTTTCTCCGCTGCAAAGGCTCCACTAGCACACACCCAGCCCCCCCCCCCCTCCAACTCTGACTGACTTCCCACGTCCCTGCCCCATTTCTTTATTTTCACATCAGCTCTGCAGCCATGACGTGGTTTTGTTCATCCATGATCTTTAGTTGCTGTGAATTTTGGACATTTATTTTGTTTTTCCATTGTAGGCCATCTTCCATACTTAGAGGAATGTCACCTATTTTCTGATCCTACAGCGCTCGTATTTATTTAAAATCCTTTTTAAATGACACTGCTTGTTTTTATTAAAGAAAAATTGCGTTTGATATTTTTACACTTGGAAAAATAATAAATAAAGGTGATATTTTTTATTTTAGTGTGTTTATTGTCTTAGTATAAGTGTTATTTAGTTTTTTGCCTTTCCAATAATTAACTCGGTATTGTTTCTGGTTATTTATCTCTAATGAATAACTCAACTCAACACCAGCAGAGGGCGCTGTCGGTCCATTCATTACAAACTAAAAGTCTCTACCTGTCTCAAAAAAAAAAAGTCTCAACCAAGGTTGCGGTCGAATACTCCAAAAAAACAGCTCCTAAATTCTAACCCTATCGTCTATTCCTTGACCTCTGAGTGAAACGTCACGGGGTTAAGGGATAGTGGATAGGAGAATTCAAAAGGATTTAGGAGAAGAGACTGCGGTACTTTAGAGAATCCGACTGCACTTTCACTATCCGACGTGTTTATGATGCGCCAGCGGAGGTCATAAATGTGCGCCTGCTGCTGTGGGGAAACTATGGAAACTACAGTTTTCTATACAGCGGACTACAACATGGATGTTTAATAAGAACGAGTCACTACTGTAAACTCATCTAGAGACTCTGCACCGTGCTCTGATGCTGTTGTTTTATGCTTTATGAACGGGGACAACAGAGAAACATATTCTTCATGACCAAAGTTGGAATTGAAATAAAAAAGGAAAGTGAAACTTATGCTCGTCACCCTCTCCCTCCGGTCCACATTAATACAAATGATCCCAATACGTATGATTGTATGAAAAGATCTTAAAATCAATACAAATGTATTTATTATAAACGTTAGTCCTTAACATCTATCACTGTGTATATCACCATTCAAATATCTTTTAAAAGTTGAACAAACCCCACACAGCTCAGTAAAGACTGTGAAATGTTGACTTTATTTGATCATTTCAGTAAAAACTAACGTTCACATTTCTCTTTTTGATTATAATACTGATGAACGTTCAAAACAAAGCACTTTGGCAACTTACCACATACGTTTTGAAATGCTTAATAAGCACCGTAACTTTCATGATATCATTTCTCGTTCATAATCGGTTGTTTCCGTGAACGGCCGACTGTTGTTAGACGGCAAATGCCGCGGCCGCAAGGCATTGTGGGGCAGCATTTTCTCCTCTCCTTTAGGTTAGGGAGGTCCAGTGGTTCCTAAGCTAAAGGAGGTTATAAAGGAAGTTTGAAACCTCCTTTCCTTTCATTTAGAGAATTCGAACGGCACTTATCATGGCTGCCACTGAGGGACTTCCGGGTCATTTCACTCCGTTAGGAAGGTTCCTAAGCTAAATGGACTATTCGACCGCAACCCAACACTCAACAATAACAGAGTTCAGAGGTCACCTGTTGTTCATTTTAAAGTGTTTTTCTGGCATTCAAGTGTTGTTATCCCACCCACACACTTTAATTACAATTCTGAATTGTTTCTGTCTTTGTTGTGGGTTTGTTGTTGTTGTGGGTTCAGGGAGTTTCATCTAGTGTTAAATATTATAATATGTTCATGCACTCTATTAACTCTATTAAGCTCTTGGTCAAAATGTACCTGTATTTACAAGTTAATGCTTACTTTTGTGCATTTACTTGCACATTGGTCACTTTCTAAATTCTTTTGCACTATTTTATTTCTTTACTGTGTCTTCATGCATTATCTGTATTGTTTTATGTCTTATATATATTATATGTTGCATTGTTTGTGGAGCATGGTACCTTACTTTGTGTTGCCAAAACGACCCTATAGCTACTGTGCATTTGAGAATAAAGCGTTGCAACATAGCTGGGCTTTAAAAGCTGTGCTGTGTGGCTTTAGTGAAGGATTCATACCAGCACGTTTTCAAATAAAATAAAAACTCAAGTGAAATGAAAGTTCTCTGACCCTCTGCTGGAGCCGGTCCTCTGCAGATCCCCGGACTCTCGGATCAGACTGCCCTTACAGCAGATGACCCGCAGCTTGTTCTGGTACGAGGAGGCCAGGTAGATGGCCCCCGAGGAGATAGCGGGGCCCAGGTAGCGCGGGTTAGGGACGTCCAGGTGAGCCAGGACTGTGGGACTGGAGGTGGAGACAGAGAGGTGGGGAGTAAAGAGGTGCAAGGAGGACGTATTTATGTATGAAGGTAGAACGTTTAGTAGCTACTTCCACAAAAAGACAATGGGATTTCTATATGTACATTTCTCTCGACATTTATGATACTTACACGTTTAGTTCAGCAGGATAATCTCCACATATTAACACCACTTTATGATTTCTGAAGTAAAAAGCTAATGTTGGGCTATAAAGGAACGACAGCACGGTCACATGACTTCACGTCACCTCCGCTAAGCTAAAGGTGGCTAATGTTGGGCTATAAAGGAACTACAGCACGGTCACATGACTTCATGTCACCTCCGCTAAGCTAAAGGCCGCTAATGTTGGGCTATAAAGGAACTACAGCACGGTCACATGACTTCACGTCACCACCGCTAAGGTAAAGGTGGCTAATGTTGGGCTATAAAGGAACTACAGCACGGTCACATGACTTCACGTCACCTCCGCTAAGCTAAAGGTGGCTAATGTTGGGCTATAAAGGAACTACAGCACGGTCACATGACTTCACGTCACCTCCGCTAAGCTAAAGGCCGCTAATGTTGGGCTATAAAGGAACTACAGCACGGTCACATGACTTCACGTCACCACCGCTAAGCTAAAGGCGGCTAATGTTGAGCTATAAAGGAACTACAGCACGGTCACATGACTTCCCGTCACCACCGCTAAGCTAAAGGTGGCTAATGTTGGGCTATAAAGGAACTACAGCACGGTCACATGACTTCACGTCACCTCCGCTAAGCTAAAGGCCGCTAATGTTGGGCTATAAAGGACCTACAGCACGGTCACATGACTTCACGTCACCTCCGCTAAGCTAAAGGTGGCTAATGTTGGGCGTGATGACGTTTAGTCGTCTCATTTAGACACTTGTTAGCAACCAAAGTTTTAAAATTATTTTATGTCGTAGAACAAAACGTTAAAATCTCTTCAGCTTGTGATAACCACAGACCTTATTTCAGGCTAAAATGTTGAATTATTTTTGGGTTGCAGGACTTCCTACACTACTCTTTTTAAGCAAATACACACATTATTATAGTTATTAAATCAGTTTTGATGTAGCGGTGTGTCTCACCCCAGAGAGGCGTGTCCCTGCACCTCGATGACGTCCAGAGAGTTGAAGTATGTGACGAACAGGTAGGGCTCTCTGTAGGCTGCAGACACAATGTCAACATTACATCTTATATTCTGCTGAACTAATGCTTTAACCCTTGTGCCCTCCTCGAATTTTCAACCTTTCGACCCCTTCGTGGCAAAAATGTACACGCCCATAATAACTGCTCGAAATCATCATACATCAACATTTCTTTCTCCTTTTTTTTTCATGAATCACTTAAACAACTTATAACGTACTCAAAACTACCAAACATTCAATAATTTTCTGGATTTTAACCCTTTAAATGCCTGTTTAATTATTTGAATTATTTCATTATTTATGACAAAAAACACAAAAAATGAATTTTTTTCAATATAATAATTAGTAGAGGGATGGAACTTTGGTGGTTATTAGAGTCTTGGATGTGTCAAAGATTAGCAACAAAATTGATTTGACTGCATTATTATTTTTTACGTAGTATCAGATACTACCTCTGGACACCTTCGTGGCAAAAATGTACACGCCCATAATAACTGCTATTAAATCATCATACATCAATATCTTTTTCTACTTTTTTTTTCATGAATCACATATACAACTTCTAACGTATTCAAAACTACCAAACATTCAATCATTGGCAGGATTTTAACCCTTTAAATGCCTGTTTAATTATTTGAATTATTTCATTTTTTCTTACGAAAAAACACAAAACATAATTATTTTTCAATATAATAATTAGTAGAGGGATGGAACTTTGGTGGTTATTAGAGTCTGGGATGTGTCAAAGATTAGCAACAAAATTGATTTGACTGCATTATTATTTTGTACGTAGTGTCAGATACTACCTCTGGACACCTTCGTGGCAAAAATGTACACGCCCATAATAACTTCTATTAAATCATCATATATCAATATTTCTTTCTACTTTTTGTTTCATGAATCACATAAACAACTTATAACATACTCAGAACTACCAAACATTCAATACTTTTCTGGATTTTAACCCTTTAAATGCCTGTTTAATTATTTGAATTATTTCATTATTTATTACAAAAAACACAAAAAATGAATTTCTTTCAATATAATAATTAGTAGAGGGATGGAACTTTGGTGGTTATTAGAGTCTTGGATGTGTCAAAGATTAACAACAAAATTGATTTGACTGCATTATTATTTTTTACGTAGTATCAGATACTACCTCTGGACACCTTCATGGCAAAAATGTACACGCCCATAATAACTTCTATTAAATCATCATACATCAATATATTTTTCAACTTTTTTTTCATGAATCACATAAACAACTTCTAACGTACTCAAAACTACCATTTTCGGTTTCGATTTTAACCTTTTAAATGCCTGTTTCATTATTTTCATTATTTCATTTCTCTCAAAAATGCCTCATTGACTTCCATTCAGACCACATTTGTTGATCTCACTGCCATTGCAGTATAAAACCATGCATTTTGTAATGTCAGCATTTCATTTAGAAGAAAAGTAGTGATATTTGATATTTCTACTCTATTCCAACAGATTAAACCATTTTCCCACTGTAGGCCGATGCATTACATTCTTACATTTTTGCCAGTTATATTATGGAGCCGTGTGACTACCAGGGGGCCCCGAGAGTGGTGTGTGTGTGTGTGTGTGTGTATGTATATGTATGTGTGTGCGTGTGCGTGTGTGTGCGTGTGTGTGTGTGTGTGTGTGTGTGTATATGTGCGTGTGTGTGTGTGTGTGTCATTTCCAGCAGCAGACCAGCAGGTCCTGCAGCATGTGACCTGGTGCTCTCTCAGGTGATAGAACAACATTTTTTTAGGCCTGTGCACAACCAGCACACACCTCTCCTCCCTCTCCGTGTGTGTGTGTGTGTGTGTGTGTGTGTGTGTGTGTGTGTGTGTGTGTGTGTGTGTGTGTGTGAGAATCTGTAAGCATGCACAGATCATTTCATGGGAACAAAAGGCCATCTTTTGAGGGATGTGTTTGATGTGTCTTTGAAGAGCTGCTTGATTACTCAAAAACAAAAAACAACTGTTAGTGTGTTTATGCACCTGGCTGCCAAAGATAAACATGCAGTTTGACCAAGGGCTTATTTCATTAGTGAGCAGAGAAGGAGAAAGACCTGGAGCAAAGAGAAGGAACTCAAATGAAGAAGCTTTTCAGTGCAGAGGAGACTTCAGAAATAATCTTGCAGCCTTCTTCTGCCAGCGAGCTGCAGGACTCATCTGAAGAAGACACAAGGTTTGAGGGGGGGTCTGACACTGAATGCTCTCTGGGGTCTGACACTGAATGCTCTCTGGGGTCTGACACTGAATGCTCTCTGGGGTCTGACACTGAATGCTCTCTGGAGTCCAGCATTTCTTTGAGTTCCTCTGACCCTTCATCTGAAAGTGGAGAGGACACTGAGGGTCCGGCCCACAGTGAGGGGACAGAGAAGAACGGAGGTCGTTCTCCCAGGAGCTGGGGAAAACCAGGGTGTCCTCACAGATTGTGAGAAGAAAGCCCCCCGTGGTGGTGGATGGTGGGCCGGACCCTCAGTGTCCTCTCCACTTTCAGATGAAGGGTCAGAGGAACTCAAAGAAATGCTGGACTCCAGAGAGCATTCAGTGTCAGACCCCAGCTCGAACCTTGTGTCTTCTTCAGATGAGTCCTGCAGCTCGCTGGCAGAAGAAGGCTGCAAGATTATTTCTGAAGTCTCCTCTGCACTGAAAAGCTTCTTCATTTGAGTTCCTTCTCTTTGCTCCAGGTCTTTCTCCTTCTCTGCTCACTAATGAAATAAGTCCTTGGTCAAACTGCATGTTTATCTTTGGCAGCCAGGTGCATAAACACACTAACAGTTGTTTTTTGTTTTTGAGTAATCAAGCAGCTCTTCAAAGACACATCCCTCAAAAGATGGCCTTTTTTCCCCATGAAATGATCTGTGCATGCTTACAGATTCTCCCACACACACACACACACACACGGAGAGGGAGGAGAGGTGTGTGCTGATTGTGCACAGGCCTAAAAAATTGTTGTTCTATCACCTGAGAGCACCAGGTCACATGCTGCAGGACCTGCTAGTCTGCTGCTGGAAATGACACACACACACACACGCACATATACACACACACACGCACACGCACACGCACACGCACACGCACATATACACACACACACACACACCACTCTCGGGGCCCCCTGGTAGTCACACGGCTCCATAATATAACTGGCAAAAATGTAAGAATGTAATGCATCGGCCTACAGTGGGAAAATGGTTTAATCTGTTGGAATAGAGTAGAAATATCAAATATCACTACTTTTCTTCTAAATGAAATGCTGACATTACAAAATGCATGGTTTTATACTGCAATGGCAGTGAGATCAACAAATGTGGTCTGAATGGAAGTCAATGAGGCATTTTTGAGAGAAATGAAATAATTAAAATAATTAAACAGGCATTTAAAGGGTTAAAATCCTGCCAATGATTGAATGTTTGCTAGTTTTGAGTACGTTAGAAGTTGTATATGTGATTCATGAAAAAAAAGTAGAAAAATATATTGATGTATGATGATTTAATAGCAGTTGTTTGGGGCGTGTACATTTTTGCCACGAAGGTGTCCAGAGGTAGTATCTGATACTACGTAAAAATTAATAATGCAGTCAAATCAATTTTGTTGCTAATCTTTGACACATCCAAGAGTCTAATAACCACCAAAGTTTCATCCCTCTACTAATTATTATATTGAAAGAAATTCATTTTTTGTGTTTTTTTTTAAGAGAAATTAAATAATTTAAATAATGAAACAGGCATTTAAAGGGTTAAAATCCTGAAAATGATTGGATGTTTGGTAGTTTTGAGCACGTTAGAAGTTGTTCAAGTGATTCATGGAAAAAAAAGTTTAATAAAATATTGATGTATGATGATTTAATAGCAGTTTTTATGAGCGTGTACATTTTTGCCACGAAGGGGTCCAGAGGGTGCAAAATGCATCACGAGAGTATACAAAACATGTAAGAGTAAAAGACATTGGATTTCAAAAATTTGACTCAAAAGAAGACTTCTTGCAAAGATCCATGCCAAAAGCTGTAACACAGCTGAAATGAACACCAAATTAAAAAAAAAAGTCAGGAAAAATGTACAAAAATGCCCGAGGAGGGCACAAGGGTTAAAAAAGCATTTAAAGATGTATAAAGTGTGTTTACCGAAGGACAGAGGCAGGCGACTCCACTTGATGTCCTCGGTGCGGCTCCTTCGTCCATACGTATCCACAAACACTCCGAACTCTGCCACAGAAATACATCTTACTGTACCCTCATCTGTGAGCCTCTTATTGAGAATGAACACTGATAAAAGCGTCATACTATCTTTAGAAAGTACAACTTATTTGATATTTTCTTGTATAGTGTAGTTAGTCATTTGTTAAATGTCCTTGTTAGTTTTATAAAGGAAACCTCATCCTCCGTTTTTTTATTTAAGGGCTGTTATTTTTTGTATTTTTAGTTTCTTAGTTGAATGAGTCCCTAATTATTTGAGTATATCTAAAAAATTGTTTAGTAATATTTTTATTTTCATATATATTTAAATGTATGTTTAATATGTTTTAAATATTTATTATATATTTTTTAATATTCCCTATTACAACTTTTCTTTTAATTTAAAGTAAATATAGATTTAGGTAGTTTTTATACATTTTAAACAACATTTTTTATCAACAATTGTGCGTGTTAATATCGTCATCGTTCATATTTATTCCCATATTTCTTATATATAAAAAGACTACGAAACACAAATCATATTACTTAGTTTATAGGAGTGTTTGTTGCCCCATATTATTGTTGTTTACATAATTTATTACCACGGTGCGTACAGAGAGAGAGTGAACGCACCGTGGATTTCTTTTCATTTGTCGGCTCTTTTCTTACATTAGTGTTAGTCCTTGTTTGTTTATTATCATATAAAGGAAACCTCATCCTACTTCTTTATATAGTTTAAGTTGATTTAAGGCTGCTACTTTAGTCTCATCTTAAAAGTGTTTCATTTAGTTTTAGCTAATTGAAACAGTTTTAAAACTTAGATTTTATTGAACATTTCAGTCAAAAATGAGCTAATTTCTTTCTCTTAAGCCGTGTTGTTGTTGTCATTCTGTATTGACAACAATGTATCTTTTATTATCAGGGGTTTTCAAAGTGTGGGAAGGTGAGCCTCCCCTCAGAGAACATAAGAACAGCCGCGCCCCCCTCCCAATTATTAGTGCTATTATTATTATTATTATTATTATTGTTGTTGTTGCTATAATGCAGGGGTATTCAATTGCATTTCAAAGAGGTCCAGTAAGAGAACATGTCATTAAATGCTCTGTTTTCGCTGTCTACCTTCCGCCATTTGAAATGACTCCGACTGTTTCTCTCTTCTTGTCTCGTCTCTGTGTTTGAATATATCGTGCTGACTCACTGACTGCACCGATTTGATTGGCTGAGTAGCGTCACCTCCTTAAAACATTAAACAATAATTTTTTTAAACCTTTTTATCTTTATGTTTGAAACTTTTTTTTAAAACATTTTTAACATTTTCAACATCGTGGATGAATCCTTACAGTATATGCTCCCGGCAACACACTGAACGTCAACTTTGCCTCCTTATTACACGCACCCCTACTGTGACGACCCCTGCCTTACTCTCTCCTGTTGTGTGTGCGTGGCCCTTTAACGGTCTCCCTTCCTCCCTATCAGCGCTGAATGAGGGCACCTGGCCGCCGGTACCGGAGGAGTGAAAGGCTCGAGCCAGAGTCTCGTTCGCTCTCTCGGTTGGAGGATGAGAGCAGCTACCTGACTTATATGCTTTTGTTTCCCTTCCTCTTAGTTTGGCATTCAACACCTCGCACCACACCACGTTCACACACCCACACCTACACTACTGATCTTAATGATTAACACATCCCATTGTGGTAGCTCTTTTGTTAAGTTGTTTGGTTTACAATAAATATCTTCCTTATATCGTGTCCGTTCCACGTTTTTGTTATGGCCAAGAGCCAGGCCATGACACCTACTTGCGTGGGAACAATGAGTCTGCGTCTTTGATGCGCACAGGCGGATGATGCGGGGATGCAATGTAGACAGGAATAAACACGTTTATCCGGTCAAAGATATCGGACAGATAACATTGCAACCCAGTTCATGTCCTCCATGTGCTTGACCAGTGGGGAGTTGATTTCGGCGAGGAAGAGGAGAACTTCCTTACGCAAATCACACCGGAGCTCGGAGTGCAGCAGCAGCTGGTGGAAGTGAGCGCCCATCTCATTGCAGAGGATGGAGAAGAGACGGGCATTCATGGCGCATAAAGTTAGCTGAAGTTAACTAGCTAGATTTCACTGTTTCTCGTTATTTTTTTCTCTCGCTGCGCCTCCCCTGAAGCTCTCTGGCGGGGGGGCGCGCCTCACACTTTGAAAACCCCTGATCTATATAAAATATTGCGTGTCATTATCATAGTTTTTGTTAAAAGAAATCAACACTGGTATATGAAAGAAACATTGAAACAGAAAACATATTACTTAGTTTATAGAGGTGTTTGTTGCCCAATATTATTATTTGTCATTCATTTTGTCGGCTCTTTTCTTACATTAGTGTTAGTCATGTGTCAAATGTCCTTGTTTTAAAACTGAGATTTTATTGAACATTTCAGTCAAAAATTACCAAATTTCTTTCTCTTAAGCCCTGTTGTTCATTACATCATATTACTTAGTTTATAGAGGTGCTTGTTGCCCCATATTGTTGTTGTTTACATTATTTACCACCACAGTACTACAGAGAGTGTGACGCACCGTGGAAGCACAGCAGGTACTCCTCCTTCTGCAGGCTGCTGGCCACCTGCATGATGGCGATGGGGAAGCTGTGAGAGGAGGCAGCGAACACCGCGGAGGCCAGAGACACGTCGTTCTTATCCAGGAACTCTGCACACGGTCATTAAATATGTTATAAAGACACAGGAATAGATGGCAAACCAACTGAAGGAAAGGGTTATGTCATTTGTTAACGCAAAGAAAACCAGAAAAGCATGCAGAAAATGTAATACAATACATTTTAAATGCGACTCACAGATATTTCAGACCAATTTGTGTGATCTTAATGCAAATAATATACTTTGTTCATGTCCCTTTAGGGGCTCCGTACGGGTTTTGATATTTTTACCCCTAAATCTGTTGCTGTGTTTATATTTTTGTGATTTCTTCCCCCCCCCCCCCCCTCACCCTCGAGCACGAACTGCTTCATCTCGATTTCGTATAACTTGTTGGTGCCGATGATGATGCTGTAGCTCGTCAGGTGGATGCAGCTGCACGGCTCCAGGGTCTCGATCTCCTGAGAGGGGGAGACAACATCTGTTACTACCAGAAACATCTACACACCCCCACCCAAAAATCCCTTTTTAGAAGCTTAAAAATCCCTGTATTGAAGCTTCAAAAATCCCTTTTTATTATTGCTTAAAAACTCCCTGTATAAAAGCTTAAAACAACCCTGTATTGAAGTTAAAAAGGTTACTGTATAGAAGCTTAAAAAACATACTCACCTTCCGGATGCAGTACTTGTTGAGATTGTCGTTGTAGCGCAGAATGGTTATCTTGTTCGGCATAGCAGCACAAATACAGGGTCCGTTGTCTATCTGTAGAGAGAGATGTACATGTTTATTTTCACCCAATTTAAAAAAAGAAAGCACTTTAAAGCTTTGTGTGAAGTGAGACGGAGGTAAAGGAGACGTACTCGTCCTGCAGAGAACAGATGGCAGCCCTTCACCGTCTCAAAGATGTACGGAGAGAGGTCAGACTGGTTGGGCAGGTGGGACTGAGCCAGAGACTGCTTCACCCTCTTGATCTCCACCAGACACAGCGCCCGCTCATCCCCTAAACACACACACACACACACACACACACACACACACACACACACACACACACACACACACACACACACACACACACACACACACACACACACACACACACACACACACACACACACACACACGTCACACAGTGTTTGATGTTCCAGGACAAGAAACAGTTCACTTCTTAGTCATTGTTTGTGTGACGATCAAATGAGAATAACTATAATTGCAGTCTATGTTTGAGCTAAAGGTGGCTAATGTTTGGCTATAAAGGAACTACAGCACGGTCACATGACTTCACGTCACCACCGCTAAGGTAAAGGAGGCTAATGTTTGGCTACAAAGGAACTACAGCACGGTCACATGACTTCACGTCACCACCGCTAAGCTAAAGGTGGCTAATGTTGGGCTATAAAGGAACTACAGCACGGTCACATGACTTCACGTCACCACCGCTAAGCTAAAGGAGGCTAATGTTTGGCTACAAAGGAACTACAGCACGGTCACATGACTTCACGTCACCACCGCTAAGCTCAAGGTGGCTAATGTTGGGCTATAAAGGAACTACAGCACGGTCACATGACTTCACATCACCACCGCTAAGTTAAAGGTGGCTAATGTTGGGCTATAAAGGAACTACAGCACGGTCACATGACTTCACGTCACCACCGCTAAGCTAAACGTGGCTAATGTTGGGCTATAAAGGAACTACAGCACGGTCACATGACTTCACGTCACCACCGCTAAGCTAAAGGAGGCTAATGTTTGGCTACAAAGGAACTACAGCACGGTCACATGACTTCACGTCACCACCGCTAAGCTCAAGGTGGCTAATGTTGGGCTATAAAGGAACTACAGCACGGTCACATGACTTCACATCACCACCGCTAAGTTAAAGGTGGCTAATGTTGGGCTATAAAGGAACTACAGCACGGTCACATGACTTCACATCACCACCGCTAAGTTAAAGGTGGCTAATGTTGGGCTATAAAGGAACTACAGCACGGTCACATGACTTCACGTCACCACCGCTAAGCTAAAGGAGGCTAATGTTGGGCTATCAAGGAACTACAGCACGGTCACATGACTTCACGTCACCATCGCTAAGCTAAAGGTGGCTAATGTTGGGCTCTAAAGGAACTACAGCACGGTCACATTACTTCACGTCACCACCGCTAAGCTAAAGGAGGCTAATGTTGGGCTATAAAGGAACTACAGCACGGTCACATGACTTCACATCACCACCGCTAAGCTAAAGGAGGCTAATGTTGGGCTATAAAGGAACTACAGCACGGTCACATGACTTCAGGTCACCACCGCTAAGCTAAAGGTGGCTAATGTTGGGCTATAAAGGAACTACAGCACGGTCACATTACTTCACGTCACCACCGCTAAGCTAAAGGAGGCTAATGTTGGGCTATAAAGGAACTACAGCTCGGTCACATGACTTCCCGTCACCACCGCTAAGCTAAAGGAGGCTAATGTTGGGCTATAAAGGAACTACAGCACGGTCCCATGACTTCACGTCACCGCCGCTAAGCTAAAGGTGGCTAATGTTGGGCTATAAAGGAACTACAGCACGGTCACATGACTTCCCGTCACCACCGCTAAGCTAAAGGAGGCTAATGTTGGGCGTGATGACGTTTAGTCGTCTCATTTAGACGCTTGTTAGCAACCGCCGTTTTATAAATCCACCAGTGGGTTATTTACTGACGTATTTTATGTGGTAGAATAAAAATCTCTTCAGCTTGCGTTAACCACAGACCTTATCTTTCTAACACATTCAGAAATCCATTGAAGAGGGAACATGAAGGGATAAAATGCTGAAATGATGAATGTGAAATGAATGCTTCTCCAAAATAACAGATAAAGTGAGAAAGCAGGCTCTCTGACCGACGATCATCAGCAGCTTCTCCTGCTCTTTGATGATGTGGATCTGAAAGACGGAGCCCAGGCCGGGGATGTGCGTCAGAGAGTTCTTGATGACGTTCAGAGCGTAGAGACCCTCCTCAGAGCCCACCAGGACAATCTGCAGCAACACAGACACCATCACTGTCATTATTCTGTTGGAAGTGGAAGAGGGGACATCTCAACCAGGAGCAACATGGGGTTAACCTTCGCTGTGAGTCCCGAGCTTCTGTTCAGGATCAATATACTGTCATATTAAACGTGAATGTGGATGGTTTCTTTTCTATTTATTATCTGTGTGAATGACGTAACAAAGTTGCCCTATGTAAAAATAGAACATAAGTAATTTCATAGTTAAATTCAATAAATAAATACTCTATTTCATGTACTATTAAAATCGTTAAAATATGGCATGAGGTAATACAGTTTGGTTTTATATGTTACAACATACAGATAGCTACCAATGTGTTGTGACCGCAAGTGTTTGTTGTTTTTTGTGCTTCTTGAACTAATGTTTGTTCATGTACTGGTACTGCGCGTTTTGTTGACGCACTGAACTCAACGTGGGTTGACGTCGTTATTGAAGCTCTGCAGCAGTCTGGGACATAAAGTTATCAGCAGAAAAAAAAATGTTAAGACTCAAATAATGCATGTTTTCTGTTAATGCCATCAACCTTTATGGCTACCTCTGGCACGTATGCATGATGAATTAAAGTGCTCATATTAATGTGCATTGTCCCCTCCTTAATAAATATATATAAAACCTATAATAAGTGCATGTGATGGACCTGATCAGTGAGGGGCAGCGTGCAGTTGATGTCCAGCCGGTCGTCTCCCTCCAGCTTCAGCAGAGAGTTTCCTAACAGCTTCTGTAAGAGAGAAGAGGGGTCAGCAGGTCATGACCTCTACATGATCTCAGATTGGGTCAGCACGGGGATGGGGGGGGCTGCAGGACAGGGTTAGTGTCAGAGGTGGGACCAAGTCACCAGCAGAAAGTGAGTTAATAAGTCATTTCTTGTTTCATATTTCACTCTGAACCGTTGACAGTCGTGACGAAACAGTGAAGAAAGCATTAGTTTCACATCATTCTGAAACATGCCTCTCCCCTTTCTCTAAATATAAGTCATGTGAATGTCATCAAGTTCATAAGGCGGCATATCAGGGCCATTGTAGCGCTGCTTTGTGGCTGCAAAATATAATTTGAGGAGGTCGTCTAATGCAACTGTGGAGGAGGATCCAAAAAATGGTTCATCTTAAAAGTTTAAATTCAACTTCAGAGAATTTAAGGTTATTTATATCTTGCAGATTTATGGTTTTATAATCTCAGAGGATATTATCTGAGATTAAAATCACACGTTTTTAGTTGTCTGTGTTGTGATGAGGATGATAGTAAATGAAGCGATGTCGTTCATTTTGAATAAAAACAACACCAGGTTTTCTAGTAAATGTGTGACTTTAAACTAAGAAGATTTCAGATGAATACTATGTTATAAACTCATAGAATATTCAAGTGTTTTGTCTTTTAGATGCTTGACTTGTTATTGTTTATTTATCACTTAAATCTCAAAGAATATCACAACTTATTTTTCATAAATCTACAAATGTATCTTGTTCATTCTCGTAATTTAGTATTTTTACAACCTGCCTTGATATGCCGTCATATATGTGTGACTTGTGACCCCCAGAAGAATCAGGTGACTTGAGTGTGCAGAGGGGAAGGGGCCGTAACAACACACACAGGTACACCAGCAGGTAAACACCCGGGTCCTCGGAGCAGGATCAACACAAAGATGATGAAACATCTTGGTGAGAAGTCGTGTACTGAGGTCATAAAACACAGAGGAGAGTGAGGAGCAGGTGAGGTGAGCGGGAGGAGGGGTGACACATGCATGACAGCGTGATTCAAGATTCAAGGCTTTTATTGTCATTTGTACATAGCTACAGTGTAGTTATGACAATGAACATCTGTAAAATAGTGCAAGGAGAGTCTATATACAAGTAATTGGAATATGATATATTAGATAAATAATTAGTAAGTTGCAAACAGATGAATGTTATGGATGTTCAGGTGTTTAACAGTCTTATGAAGGTGTGTGTGTGTGTGTATGTATGTATGTATGTATGTATGTATGTATGTATGTATGTATGTGTGCGTGTGCGTGTGTGTGTGGGTGTGTGTGTGTGTGTGTGTGTGTGTGTGTGTGTGTGTGTGTGTGTGTGTGTGTGTGTGTGTGTGTGTGTGTTAGTAAATCGTATCTTCATCTCCGTGTGTTTTACCTGGACCAGAGGAGTCAGAACCATTATTCTTTTGGACATAGCAGCCTATGTGTGCCGATCAAATCAACACGCCCGTATATACCGGACATATAGTGACGCACGATGGAAAAGCAACACACAGCAGAGAGAAGGAGAGAAGGAGAGGAGGAGAGAGAGGAGGGAGGAGGGAGGAGAGAAGGGGAGGAGGAGTGAGAGAGGAGGAGGAGTGAGAGAGGAGGGAGGAAGAGGAGGAGAGAAGAAGGGGACAGTTAACGACATATATTAACGAACTGGGGCTTATCCATTACATCTATAAACCTCCACACACACTCATACAGGGCTGGACGATTTGGGAAAAATAACTTATTGCATTTATACTGAGTGGAGTTCTGCTTTAATACAAATATGTTTTATTTCTGAGTTTTTCCTCAGAAATCAGATTTTTCTTTTCCTAGAATTCAGGTTTTTTCTTTTCAGAATTGTAATTTTCTTTACAGATTTCAGATATTTTTTTCAGAATTCAGATTTGTTTTCCTAAGAAATTTGACTTTTTTCTCAGAATTCTAAAATCTTCGACAGAATTCAGATTTTTTTGCAGAATTTTGACTTTTTCTCAGAAGTCCTAAACATAAATTCACGTTCAGATCAAGACTATAATACCCAGATTTTTTTTTTAATTAGCTTCAAAATAATTGCAATTAGTTATTTCTTCCACATCATCCAGCCCTCATACAGTATCCTCAGCTCAGTAAAGCCTCCACACAGTTAAACAGCCTTAGAACGTTTTATTAGACGGGTTATGTTGGGAAAATACTGAGGCCCTGTCCACACGGAAACGAAAACGAAAGCGAACCGAGGTCGATATCAAAAAAGTCTTCCGTCCACACGGAATCGGCACAAGAAACGTGTCCGTCCACATGAGACCGCTCGACCCGCTGGAGACGCTGTAGTACATATGTTGGGCCTGTAAGTGGCGCTGTACTTCCGCCACAAAATACACCAAAAGCAGCGAATAAGACCCCCCGAGCATGGTTGCCATGGTTGCCTGGTTGCCCTTCTGGTTATTCTCCGCGGTGGATTTAGCAACATGTAGTTCATGTAGTTCATGTCCACTTGTTGCTGATGGTTGTGGTAGAGGAGCTGTAGATGTTGCACTAACATCTGTAGCATGGTCAGTAGCGTCTGGAGCACGAAAGCAACCCTGTGATCCGCCATTGATGTTGTTGTTGGCGAAACGCATCAGCAATGACACGGGTGACGAGGGGGTGAGCAGGAGAGGTGGGGAGAGGCGGGGCTATGATCGTTTAGGGCGTACACACGGTGCCGCAAGCGTTACGTTACTAGACCTTCCCACTTTGGGATGCGTTATCGTTTGAGGGCTCCGTTTCCGTGGTTCCGTTACGGCCTCGTATGGACGGTTCGTCCACACGAGGCCGTAACGGAACCGCGGAAACTATAGCGGATAACACACGTTTCGTCTCCATGTGGATGGGGCCTGAATGTACTCTTCCAATATGAGAGTAACATGATAACAAAGGTATCCCAACTGTAGCTGTGAACATGACAGGATGTCTGATTACCTAGAAGAGCATCAGGACTGTTTGAGGCATATGATAGCTATGTGATTAACATGATGATTCAGCCTCTATGGAGATAGACATATGACAAGCATGCTCATTTCTGACGTGGAGCTAATCTGAAGTAAACATTGAATACTGCTTTCTATTCCTCCATCTTGTGACTGTGTAACTCCCTCTCTTGGATATCAGCATGTGAAGGACACTGTTCAGGAACTAGTTGATGCTCTGTATGTGATGACTACTTCCATTCTGGAGAGGATCACAAATACATGGATCCTGAGATCGAAGCTCAAGCCGGGGACCAGGGAGATTTTTCCAACAGGTTATTTGTCAGCTTCGGAGATACTCACTGCGTCGGCCTCGGCCTTCTCTCGTGATGCTCTTCCTGCAGAAACCACCGACTCCATCACCGCCACCCAGCGCTGCTTATCGGGGAAACTGGGAGCCATGAAGTAGATGGACTGTCCCGGCCAGCAGGGGGGGTGACAGCGAGACTCCAGCTTTAGCACGTAGGAGACGTCTGGACAACAGGAAACACCACTTATTGACACTTGTAGGAGACAAAATGCTGTGGTAGCCTGTGTTTATAGTTATATCCATAGGTGGGAAGTAGTGGAGTACAAATACTTCGTTACTGTACTTACAGTAAGTATATTTTTCTGGTATCAGTACTTTACTCCACTACTTATTTTTCTGACGAGTTTTTACTTTTACTTCTTACATTATGAACCCAAATACCTGTACTTTCTACTTCTTACATTTTGAACACAAATACCTGTACTTTCTACTTCTTACATGTTGAACCCAAATACCTGTACTTTCTACTTCTTACATTATGAACCCAAATACCTGTACTTTCTACTTCTTACATTATGAACCCAAATACCTGTACTTTCTACTTCTTACATGTTGAACCCAAATACCTGTACTTTCTACTTCTTACATGTTGAACACAAATACCTGTACTTTCTACTTCTTACATGTTGAACCCAAATACCTGTACTTTCTACTTCTTACATTATGAACCCAAATACCTGTACTTTCTACTTCTTACATTATGAACCCAAATACCTGTACTTTCTACTTCTTACATGTTGAACCCAAATACCTGTACTTTCTACTTCTTACATGTTGAACACAAATACCTGTACTTTCTACTTCTTACATGTTGAACACAAATACCTGTACTTTCTACTTCTTACATGTTGAACACAAATACCTGTACTTTCTACTTCTTACATGTTGAACACAAATACCTGTACTTTCTACTTCTTACATTATGAACCCAAATACCTGTACTTTCTACTTCTTACATTATGAACCCAAATACCTGTACTTTCTACTTCTTACATTTCCCAAACAGGCTGGTTCCTTTAGTTTGAATGTGTGTTTGGTGGCGTGATCATTATTATTTAGAGTCATTGCGTGCCTATTGATTTGAACACGATCCGTGTATCCATCATTTCCTGGTCTTCTCTAAAGAAGAGGGACCAATGAAAACGTTGTCATGTTGCCGTTGTTCAGCATGGAAACATTCATTAGCTAACAGTGACATTATTGTTCTATTAATATAAAGGGAGGTCAGGTACTCTTTAAAACAGCTGCTAGTTATGGGTACTTTTTACTGAAGTACATTTCAAAGCCCTCTTTACTTTTACTTGAGTAAAGAAGTTTAGTCAGTACTTCTACTTTCACCAGAGTATTTTTAAACACGAGTATCTGTACTTCTATTTGAGTAAAGGATGTGTGTACTTTTGCCCTCTCTGCTTGTACCTGACTTGGAGGTGTTGGGTAGCTCTGAAGCCCCCACAGCTCCATGGACCACCACCTCTCCATCCGTCAGACACAGGTCAAACTCCTCCAGAGGCTTCACTGAATCTGAAGCGCGCACACACACACACACACACACACACACACACACACACACACACACACACACACACACACACACACACACACACACACACACACACACACCACACACACACACACACACACACACACACACACACACACACACACACACACACACACACACACACACACACACACACACACACACACACACACACACACACACACACACACACACACACACACACACACACACACACACACACACACACAACACACACACACACACACACACACACACACACACACACACACACACACACACACACACACACACACACACACACACACACACACACACACACACACACACACATAGCATCTTTCAACACAAGGCAATTCAAAGTGCTTTACAGAAGTGAAGGCATTTTTCAAAGGTAAGGTCACTTTTTTAATTACTGAATATTTTAAAAAGTGATTACTGGGTTTTTTGTTTTAGGTAATATTTTGGCTCATAATCAGTCATCGTTAAAAAGTGTTTTTTGAAAGGTTAGGTTACTCTGATCTTTTTTTAAATATGAGGTCAAAATTCCGATTTTTTATTGAAACGGTCATTTTCTCAAAAGTTAGTCATTCTGAGAAGAGCTATAATTTTTGTCCAGAATGAAAGACATTAAGATCATTAAGAAATAGTGCAGCGGAAACACATTGTAAACATTCAAAAGCAAAGATAATGAAACATGAATAACACAGGTACATGAACAAAAGTTACAGTGCAGTGTGAGATGCGAATACAAAAAGGTAACATCATAATCCACCTTCTCTGGGCTCGATCTCGTAGACGGACACTTTGGTCCCGTCCAGGATCATGTACTTCCTCTCCCAGCCCTGGCCTCGCTTCCCATTCCTGCGAACACACACATTAAGACTTTCTCTCTTTCTCTCATGGTGCAAAACAATGTATATTAAGCAACCAGTCATGCCAACATTAATGACACTGAGTTTTTCAATTGAAATGTATTGTAATATTATATTTTAACTGTACTATGTACTATTTTATTGACCTGTACTTTAATCTTGTTTTATAATTGTTTGTGTGATAGAGATGATGCAATGTGTTTAGTGTGTGTTGATTGTTAGAGCTATTAGCTAACATCTGGCATAAAACATCTCTTCTCTTTTCTGAGAGTTATGTATTTGTATGCATGGTCCTTGTTTAAAATAAATACTTAAACCGCGTTACTGCAAAGCATTGAAGCATAAATCACTGATGGCACGATGAAGAAGCAACAAACAGCGGAGAGAAAGAGAGAGAGGAGAGAAGAAGGGGAATGTTACCAACACATGGAAGTAGACTTTAAAGTTTAAACCAAGGTGATGTGACTAAACATGACTTCATTGGCCCTGATTGAGATGTGTGTTACCTACTAACAAATGATCAGCTTTGTGTTGTCATGTGAGGTTTAAAACTGTAGTATTGTTTTTGTTTGCTTACTTGATAAGGACAGTGCAACTTAGAGAACATAACTGTCAAGTAAGTTATGTAAAAATGCAGTTAGCATAGTTAGCAAAAATGCTAATTTACATCCGTTCAACACAAATACGAATACAAAGTTAAAAAGACAAAATAACCCCTCGTGCATCATTTTGCATCCCAACAGTAAAACTGATATTAATATAAATATGTGTATGTGTGTTTATGGCAGTGGTGTAAAGTAACTAAGTACATTTACTCAAGTACTGTACTTAAGTACAATTTTGACCTTTACCAGCTTTGAGAACACTTTCATGATCAATCATTATAAAACATATCATATATATTATTCTGAAATGGACCAATCTGCACAATGACTACTTTTACTGTCGCTACTTTCACTATATTTTGATGATAATACTTTTATACTTTCACTTGAGGAACATTTTGAATGCAGGACTTTTACTGTAACAGAGTATTCCTACACTCTGGTACTTCTACTTTTACTCAAGTACAAGATCTAAGTACTTCTACTTTTACTCAAGTACAAGATCTGAGTACTCCTACTTTTACTGAAGTACAAGATCTGAGTACTTCTACTTTTACTCAAGTACAAGAACTGAGTACTTCTACTTTTACTCAAGTACAAGATCTGAGTACTTCTACTTTTACTCAAGTACCAGATGTGAGTACTTCTACTTTTACTCAAGTACCAGATGCGAGTACTTCTACTTTTACTCAAGTACCAGATGTGAGTACTTCTCCCACCTCTGGGTTATGGGTTTGTATAAATGAGCTTTTGATTGTGATGTGCTTAATAAGAGCTTTTGAGTGTTTTCATCTGTGTGCTCTGGTATGATCTGTGTGCTCTGGTATGATCTGTGTGCTCTGATCTGTGTGCTCTGATCTGTGTGCTCTGGTATGATCTGTGTGCTCTGATCTGTGTGCTCTGGTATGATCTGTGTGCTCTGATCTGTGTGCTCTGGTATGATCTGCTCTGGTATGATCTGTGTGCTCTGATCTGTGTGCTCTGGTATGATATGTGTGCTCTGGTATGATCTGTGTGCTCTGGTATGATCTGTGTGCTCTTGTATGATCTGTGTGCTCTGGTATGATCTGTGTGCTCTGGTATGATCTGTGTGCTCTGATCTGTGTGCTCTGGTATGATATGTGTGCTCTGGTATGATCTGTGTGCTCTGGTATGATCTGTGTGCTCTTGTATGATCTGTGTGCTCTGGTATGATCTGTGTGCTCTGGTATGATCTGTGTGCTCTGGTATGATCTGTGTGCTCTGGTATGATCTGTGTGCTCTTGTATGATCTGTGTGCTCTTGTATGATCTGTGTGCTCTGGTATGATCTGTGTGCTCTGGTATGATCTGTGTGCTCTGGTATGATCTGTGTGCTCTTGTATGATCTGTGTGCTCTTGTTTACCTTTGTCCTCAACCTGCCTGAGACTGCAGATGTAAACAAGCCTCAAAGCTAAATCTGGCACATTTACATGAAGGAGTAAATGCTAATAACTGTACATTGACCCTTCTTGAATAAATAAATATATAATTAGTATTATTGTGTCGGTACTGACCTGGGCGTCTTCATCCAGCCCTCCAGGTGCATGTGCCCCTCCTTCAGGGCGGGGGAGCTGCCTTTGTCCCGACACAGACCCTCAGTCAGGTGAAGGGAACAGTCACTGGACATCCCACAGGTGGAGGGGAGGCAGGGGGAGCATTTAGGGTGACACAGAGCGTGGCATTCTGCAGGGAGGAAACACAGGTGAGGAAACACAGGTGAGAGGGAGGAAACACAGGTGAGAGAGGGAGGGAGGAAACACAGGTGAGGAAACACAGGTGAGAAAGGGAGGGAGGAAACACAGGTGAGAGAGGGAGGGAGGAAACACAGGTGAGAGAGAGAGGAAACACAGGTGAGAGAGGGAGGGAGGAAACACAGGTGAGGAAACACAGGTGAGAGAGAGAGGAAACACAGGTGAGAGAGAGAGGAAACACAGGTGAGGAAACACAGGTGAGAGAGAGAGGAAACACAGGTGAGGAAACACAGGTGAGAGAGAGAGGAAACACAGGTGAGAGAGAGAGGAAACACAGGTGAGAGAGAGAGGAAACACAGGTGAGAGAGAGAGGAAACACAGGTGAGAGGGAGGAAACACAGGTAAGTGTGTGTACTTTAGTAAAAGTAGAAGTACTCAGATCTTGTACTTGAGTAAAAGTAGAAGTACTCAGATCTTGTACTTGAGTAAAAGTAGAAGTACTCAGATCATATACTTGAGTAAAAGTAGAAGTACTCAGATCTTGTACTTGAGTAAAAGTAGAAGTACCAGAGTGTAGGAATACTCTGTTACAGTAAAAGTCCTGCATTCAAAATGTTCCTCAAGTGAAAGTAGAAAAGTATTCTCATCAAAATATAGTTAAAGTAGCGACAGTAAAAGTAGTCATTGTGCAGATTGGTCCATTTCAGAATAATATATATGATATGTTTTATAATGATTGATCATGAAAGTGTTCTCAAAGCTGGTAAAGGTGCAGCTAGTTTGAATGACTTTGTATACTGCAGGGTAGCTTGTGAATTTACTCCAGGTGGAACTAAAGTCTGATTTAACACTTGATTATAATTCACATCATTCATCCACATCTGTGAAGTAACTAAAGGAATTATTATGGGATGGCTGTTGTTAGTGACAGATTGCTGGTGTCGGACACATTTCTGACGTGATGCAGAATAATGGGAGCGAGTGGGAGGAAACTGCTGCAGCCATCGCCATGGTTACACACATCATGACAATAACACTCACATTTATCATCTGCTTTATGAACTCCCTTATTACAATAGGAAATAAATAACATAAATAAATGTCAGGATGGATCAGATTCACCCTGAATTCTTGAAGTTTGTTTATTGCTCATGCCTCCACAGGATCCACAGACACCCAGAAATATATAGATTTATTGAATTAAATGTCTCTATTTAAAACACTTTGGACGTACAGAGATGGTGCAGCTGGGCCAGCATGAGACGGTTTGTGTAGAAGTGTTTTTAGTCTAGTCATGTGAGACTTAGATTAGACTGCACCAGTTGTTAAACTCTGCAAATATTTACTTTTATTCATCAATACTTTCTCGCTGGAGCATGTGAAAAAAGTTAATTTCACAAGGTATAGAGGTGATCTTTTTAGGGATAAGGGATTTCTGAAAATCCAGTTATTCTTGAGAAGTGAGGGGTAGTGGAGTGAGGTCATTTTTGGAAGATTGTGTCGTTTCTGACAAAAAGTTATTTTTAGTAGTGAGGTCATCTTTCCTTTTTTTGTGTTTACAAGTGAATGTAATGTAATTATTTTTATTGTTTTCATTTAAAAAAAGTATTGACATTTTAGAAAATTGAGGTCGTGTTTCTAATTAAAGTAATTTTGAGTAGTGTTTTAATAAAAAATAAAAAATCTTTCTAGAAAAATAACTTTTGAAAAATAGGTAATTCTTTTAACTGTTAAAAGAAATTGATATCAAATGATAATTTTGGGGGGTAAATGTTCGTTTTACACAACTGTCCACTAATTCAAATCTAGATGTTTCCTTCTGTCTATCTAAAGGCGATTCTTCCCCTGTTGTTTTTACATTTGATTGATTTTGCTAACTGAACTTATGAGGCTGTATACGTCTCCTCTAGGGAGTACCCAGCCCTTCCTATGTTTTTCTGTATGTGGCCCTCGCTGAAAACAGTTTGGACCCCCCTGATTAATATCTAGATGTTACCTCTGTAAAGCCCAATGACTTATTTCCATAAACAGCTTGAAATAGACCCTTCACATTTCCCCTTATTGTAATCAATCTGAGGCTCCTGATGAGCTGCCAACTCAATAAAGTAAACCCTACAGAGAGCTGGGATGTTTCTTAACGCATATTCAAGTATCAAGAATAATGTACCTACATTTGATCGATTTGACTAACTTATAACTGAACTTATGAGACTGTATACCTCTCCTCTAGTGAGTGGACCAGCCCTTCGTATGATTTTCTGCATGTGGCCCTCGGTGAAAACAGTTTGGACACCCCTGGTTAAAATCTAGATGTTACCTTTGTTCTGCTTATCCATAACATTCATCTGTTTGCAACTTACAAATTAATTATCTAATATATCATATTCCAATTACTTGTGTTAAGACTCTCCTTGCACTGTTTCTATTCTATTTTATTTGTATTACTTTCACTATTTTCACTATTGTATCTGTTGTATTGTGTTGCCCTGCTGGAGGAGCCTGTGACCTCATATTTTCATTGATATATCTGTAGCTATGTATACATGACAATAAAAGCCTTGAATCTTGAATCTAAGGGTGATGCTTCCCCAGTGTAACTCACCGAGGCAGGTGGCCGCCTGGCGTCCGAAGTGCACGGTGTCGAGGCACACGGTGCACTTGGCGGCCCTCATGTTGAGCCCCACGGTGAAGCGGTGCGCCGTGTTGTGGTGCAGACGCTCCCTCTGACTGTCCTTCAGGCGCCGGCTGAACTCTGGACACAGCGGGGGGGGGGGGGGGAACAGTGAGGGGGGGGGCATAGAAACACTCCCCATGCCAAAACAACCAAAGAACGGGGGGGGGGGGGGATGTTCAGCAGGATGCGGAAGCAGGTAAACTCTGGAGATGATTTATTGATCTGAGTTTGAGCCCACTCTCTGCTGCAAGATATTATCCAGTCTGTTCACCACCGTGAGTTCAGTTTAACACTTTAATGCCACAGCAAGTTTCATTTAAGAGCAAGTTTAAGCACACTTCTGCCACAATCCAGATTTTTGTTTTAGAATGCTATGTCAGAAAAAAAGATGTATAAAATGCTAATTCCCATAATATTTAAAGACTTTTTAAAGATTGATTCAAGACATTTTAATTTCAAATAAATGCCATATAATTTGGTGAATTAATTCAATGCCTTTTACGATTGAGGATGTGCTGAAACATTTTCCATAAAACATTTATAATTATTATATCATATAAAATTATTGTTGTTTTTATTTCACATTAAATCAATTAGTTAGTAACCATTATTAGGTGTTTTTATGTAATATTAATTATTATTATTATTATTTAGAATCAGAATACTTCATCTGATTATCTGACTTCATCCCAGAAGAAAATGTGGTTTCGTATACAGTTTGCTATAATATCATTATGACACTAAAACTATAATATATTACATAATATTACAATTATTTTTAATGTATTTAAACTCATATCCATTGATGATTCCAATTTAAGATAAGAATTTTCTAGGTTTAACTTTGTTGGTGTCGCGTTGACTGTTTTGTAAATTAAATGACTGAGTAATACCTTAATTGTTTATTACAGAGCGTGGGTTCAAACAGCGCTCAGTGCATGGCAGAGGTAACATCTGTCAGTGTGTGAGAACATCTCAGGTTGGAGTGAAATCTGCAAATCAGATCGGCGTAGCTTCAGCAACCAAGATAAAAAAATGCTTCAGATTTATAAAGCTGTGCACTGAGAGGCTGAATGATCGCTCAGGTTTTATACAAAAAAAGTGCAGAGCTTTTCAAATCTGGCCTTTCAAAGGGATGTGGATGAGGCAACGAGGAGACGAGAGGTAAAGACCAAACTGCAGAGAGCCCAGTTTGGACCACTTACTTTCAAAAGTGACCCTCCTTCTCTCTGAAAGATGTGTGAAGGAGAAAGGATAGAAAGAGTCTCATAAGTGATCCGGAGGGAGAGATATCACAGGTGTGTTTTCTAACGTGTGCAGGTGAGGGCCAAGGTGTGTCGATCCCTGCTCTCACATTTTGTCTGAATGAGCCTCACCGCTCAGTCTGATGGCCTTAGAGCGGGAAAGACAATCTCCTTACGGCGGTAAAACTCTCACACTCACCGACAGCAACCTTTAACATTCGATCTGCTCCAAAAAAATCAGCTTTTCTGTCTTTGTTATGAAAACCAATTTAAAGAGGCCCTAATCTGCTCTTTTTCAGGTGTATATCAGTATGTAGTGTCTCTACTTTAAAGAGTCCTCTCCTGCTGATGTTCAGGTGTATATCAGTATGTAGTGTCTCTACTTTAAAGAGTCCTCTCCTGCTGATGTTCAGGTGTATATCAGTATGTAGTGTCTCTACTTTAAAGAGTCCTCTCCTGCTGATGTTCAGGTGTATATCAGTATGTAGTGTCTCTACATGAAAGAGTCCTCTCCTGCTGATGTTCAGGTGTATATCAGTATGTAGTGTCTCTACTTTAAAGAGTTCTCTCCTGCTGATGTTCAGGTGTATATCAGTATGTAGTGTCTCTACTTTAAAGAGTCCTCTCCTGCTGATGTTCAGGTGTATATCAGTATGTAGTGTCTCTACTTTAAAGAGTCCTCTCCTGCTGATGTTCAGGTGTATATCAGTATGTAGTGTCTCTACTTTAAAGAGTCCTCTCCTGCTGATGTTCAGGTGTATATCAGTATGTAGTGTCTCTACTTTAAAGAGTCCTCTCCTGCTGATGTTCAGGTGTATATCAGTATGTAGTGTCTCTACTTTAAAGAGTCCTCTCCTGCTGATGTTCAGGTGTATATCAGTATGTAGTGTCTCTACTTTAAAGAGTCCTCTCCTGCTGATGTTCAGGTGTATATCAGTATGTAGTGTCTCTACTTTAAAGAGTCCTCTCCTGCTGATGTTCAGGTGTATATCAGTATGTAGTGTCTCTACTTTAAAGAGTCCTCTCCTGCTGATGTTCAGGTGTATATCAGTATGTAGTGTCTCTACTTTAAAGAGTCCTCTCCTGCTGATGTTCAGGTGTATATCAGTATGTAGTGTCTCTACTTTAAAGAGTCCTCTCCTGCTGATGTTCAGGTGTATATCAGTATGTAGTGTCTCTACTTTAAAGAGTCCTCTCCTGCTGATGTTCAGGTGTATATCAGTATGTAGTGTCTCTACTTTAAAGAGTCCTCTCCTGCTGATGTTCAGGTGTATATCAGTATGTAGTGTCTCTACTTTAAAGAGTCCTCTCCTGCTGATGTTCAGGTGTATATCAGTATGTAGTGTCTCTACATGTCTCCAAGCTTTAATGTTCAAAAAGCTCTTTATTTTTCTCATACTGCCTGTGCTGCAGCACCTCTTTTCACCCTCTGTCTGAAACCAGAGCCCAGTCTGCTCTGATTGGTTAGCTGGCTGACTCTGTTGTGATTTGTCAACCCCTTAGAGATGTCCCGCCTCCTTAGCCTATCATGTACAATGTGTTGGAGCGCTAGCCAATAGGAGTGTGAATGTTCCATAGTGATGTCACTATGTTCCTGAAGTAAACAAAGGAGTGTTTGTTATGAAAACCAAGCTTCTCTTCCAGTTTCTAAAGGGACATCATCTGCGATTTTCTTGAAATATTTGTAACTCCAAGCGCTTCGAGCAGCCACATAAACACGTTTTCTCTCTACTCATTTGAATCAATTTAGAGGGGGAGTGTAAGGGAGAGAAACCCCCTCTGCAGGAAACAGGGATTGTATCCTTTGCAGACCATTTACATGCATTAAAACCTGTATAACACACTAAGGGAAGGGAGACCCCCAACAAGCCTCTCTAAAAAGGCGCTTTGTGGACACAGAGAGAAAAGGCTGGTCTTCAGTAAACCTCCCCCCTTCTCTTTCTCACCCTCGGGTGTGGCGGTGTTCTTCCTGCGCTCAGAGTTGGAGGGGATCAGGGCGGGGGGGCCCTGCTGGTGCTCAGGAGACTTCACCATGGCCGACAGGATCATCTGCTGCCGAGCGGAGGCCGGGGGCCCAGAGCTCCCGTGATCCTTATACTGCAGCGCTGGAGACAAGGTTCTTTATTGTCAATCTGACATAGCTACAGAGTAATTATGTAGTTGAAAATCTTATGTCACAGGCTTCTCCAACAATGCAACATAATAACATAATAACAATAAGAGCATGAGCAATACAAAAAGAATAATAGTTATAAAATAAAATAAAGTGATGATGTGGAATAGTGCAGTACGAGTCTATATACAAGTTATTGGAATGATATATATATATTAGGTATTAGATACATACTACTGAGTAGCAGATGAATGTTTGAAGTCGTTTCAACAGTTCAATTTTTTAACAGTCTCACTGCCCGCGGGAAGAAACTGTCTCCGGAGCATTCATTCATCACTTCATTATGAGTCGGATACTTCATCATGCTGAGTGTACTGTCTGCTATGGAAGCCCTGAGACACAAGTTATAACATTAAGTTCAGTTTTCTGACGTCCAGCGCTCCGTCTTTTAACATCTTTCTCTCTCTTGATCCTCCTTAGTCATTATAGTGCTTCACAGCGGTCTGTCCTACTGTCGTATTGACCTCTGAGATGTCCGAATGGACCAATCAGAATCAAGTATTCAACTAAGCCACGTTTTTAAAAAGGGAAATTGTTGCGCTTCATCTTCCTGTGGCCGACATGAGTATTACAACTTTGAAAGATTATCCTGGCAACACGTTTTCTAGGTGTTCGTCAGCCATAAACACAGGGGGAAGAAACTATTTGGATCAGATTTAGAAAATGGATACCCATAGTTTTTTTTTCTTTACCCCACTCACCTTCAGGGCTTCCGTAGTTATCTATATTTCAAAGGCGAGTAACTCACCCTTACAGAGTGACAGAGGGAAACAAGACTGCAAGAGACAGGAAGTCCTGCAGGACCTCGGAAGGATATATAATATGCTTTTGCAGACCACGTATAAGGCTTATGAGTCTGCTATTAAATAGTTTTGTTGTCTTTTCTTGTGTTTTATATTGTTTATACATTGTGTATGAGAGTTTTTCAGTCTGTGGCTATAAGTATGGTTTTATTGTCTTGTGTTTTAAAAGAATAGTTTTGTCCTATCGGTTTTGTCTAAATGCATTTATGCTGCTTTTTATATATGTATTGATGTACAGCACTTTGGTCAACTCTGCTGTTTTTAAATGTGCTATATAAATAAAGTTGGATTGGATGAGTGTCCTATATTTCAAAGAGAGCAACTCACCCTCCTCCCTCAGGGAGCGCAGCTCTCCTCTCATCTTCTGCATCGCCTCCTCCAGCTCCGTGCTGCGACTCCTCTCCTTGTCCAGAGCCAGCTTGATGTCGCTGTACTGCAGAGGCACCGGCTGGATGGAGGGCAGCGGGGACACCGGACCCTGACCCTGACCTTGACCCTGACCTTGACCCTGACCCTGACTCTGATTCTGACTCTGATTCTGAGCCTGATTCTGATTCTGAGCCTGAGCAGCCATGGCAGCCAGAAGGTCTTCCCGACGACGGCCAAACAGACCCTGAGAGGAACAGGAACAATATGTATTCACATGCTTTGAACGATTAATATGCTCCTTCATTTCCACATGAGTTCTGAGTGTATTTCAGTTTCTATGTGGTGATGATCTACAACTATCTCTGAACGGCATCGGGTGTCCTGAATTTAAACTTTATTATAAATTCATTTTCAAACTTAAATTACGTCAATTTCTATTTTGGAAAGTAATTTTCAAAAATATAGCTTTTATTATATTTATTTGTCTATTATTATTATTATTATTATTATTATTATTATTATTATTATTATTATTATTATTATTATTATTATTATTATTATTATTATTATTATTATTATTTATTTTACATTTTTAAGCTCTCATCCTTTTATCATTTCATGTGCCATATTTAAAAAAAAAAGAAATAATAATAATAATTTACAAGCCACTGTTAAATATATATTTGCACATAACACATAAAGACCAGAAAGTCTCATCCTGAGGTCAAAATGCAACTCTGAAAACTCTACAAAGCAATGGCATAGTTGGACAAATCTTGCTGCAATGATTTATTTACAAATTGCTAAACTTAAAAAGATTTACAGTAAGAGAAAATATTGAACAAAAAAAACCAAATAATCTGTTTTTTTAAAATACATAAATACTGGAACAAAACAATCTCGATGCAACCTCTGTCACCTCCTAAAATAAAAATTAAAAACATGGTGCTGACCTTCTTCTTCTTGGAGCCTCCGTGCGCCTGGGCCTGCAGGAAGTCGATGAGCTTGGTCTGCTGCGTGATGGTTCCCTCCATCTTCACCTTCTCATGGGAGTACACCGCCTGCAGGTGGAGCTAAGTGAACATCACTACTGCCATGAATGTCGTCTCGAGGACTTCACTTCACACACAGAGGGGGAGGGGGGGGGGGGTACAGCAGGGTGCTGGGGGGTAAGACAAAGTGTGGGGGAGGGGGTGTCTGTGTTTATGTGTCTGTTATTATTAAAACAAAGTGACAGGGGGAAACATGACTGCAAGAGACAGGAAGTCCTGCGGGAGCTCATCATGACATCTGAGTGTGTGTTTCCTGTACATACAGTACTATCACTATCATTACAACATATAACACTGTGTATAAATGTGTGTGTGTGTGTGTGTGTGTGTGTGTGTGTGTGTGTGTGTGTGTGCAGCACCTGGACGTTCTCCAGCTGGTACTCCAGGTCGGTCCTCTCGGTCTTCAGCAGGTCGGCCTGGTCCAGAGCGTCCTGCAGACCCTGGGTCAGCCGGAAGATGTGCGTCTTCTGAGCGTCCGTCTGCTGCTGCAGCTTCTCCTGCTGCGGGGGGACAGATGTTGTTGTGTTACCTTTCACATCTGGACGCTGAGACGCTGAACAACTGATGCTGATATTCAGAGGTGGGAAGTAGTGGAGTACAAATACTTTGTTACTGTACTTAAGTACATGTTTCTGGTATCAGTACTTTACTCCACTACTTATTTTTCTGACGACTTTTTACTTTGACTTCTTACATGTTGAACACAAATACCTGTACTTTCTACTTCTCACATGTTGAACACAAATACCTGTACTTTCTACTTCTTACATGTTGAACTCAAATACCTGTACTTTCTACTTCTTACATGTTGAACTCAAATACCTGTACTTTCTACTTCTTACATGTTGAACACAAATACCTGTACTTTCTACTTCTTACATGTTGAACACAAATACCTGTACTTTCTACTTCTTACATGTTGAACACAAATACCTGTACTTTCTACTTCTTACATGTTGAACCCAAATACCTGTACTTTCTACTTCTTACATGTTGAACACAAATACCTGTACTTTCTACTTCTTACATGTTGAACTCAAATACCTGTACTTTCTACTTCTTACATGTTGAACACAAATACCTGTACTTTCTACTTCTTACATGTTGAACTCAAATACCTGTACTTTCTACTTCTTACATGTTGAACTCAAATACCTGTACTTTCTACTTCTTACATTTTGAACACAAATACCTGTACTTTCTACTTCTAACATGTTGAACTCAAATACCTGTACTTTCTACTTCTTACATTTCCCAAACAGGCTGGTTCCTTTAGTCTGAATGTGTGTTTGGTGGCGTGATCATTATTATTTAGAGTCATTGCGTGCCTATTGATTTGAACACGATCCGTGTATCCATCATTTCCTGGTCTTCTCTAAAGAAGAGGGACCAATGAAAACGTTGTCATGTTGCCGTTGTTCAGCATGGAAACATTCATTAGCTAACAATGACATTATTGTTCTATTAATATAAAGGGAGGTCAGGTACTCTTTAAAACAGCTGCTAGTTATGGGTACTTTTTACTGAAGTACATTTCAAAGCCCTCTTTACTTTTACTTGAGTAAAGAAGTTTAGTCAGTACTTCTACTTTTACCAGAGTATTTTTAAACACGAGTATCTGTACTTCTACTTGAGTAAAGGATGTGTGTACTTTTGCCCTCTCTGCTGATAGAGAAGCACGGTTTAAATCCAGCAGACGAATTAGAAGGCAGATCCAAAAAATCACTCAAAACCCACCTGTTCAACACTGCATTCAACCTCTGACCAGTGATCGTGCTGTCATGTTAAATGTTTGTTGTTTGTTTTTCATGTGTTGTGTCTTGATGTCTGTCTGTTGATGTGACACATGGAGCTGCTGTGATGCAAGGAGCATTTATTTCAGACTTGATCTGACCATTCAAGGATTATCAGATCGTATACATATTTTTTTCATGAACCCTCATTTATTTTTTAAAGTTTTTAAATCAGAGACTAAATATATTTCTTGAGGATAATTCAATAAATACATGTCTGTTAAGTCCCTTTAACTTCTTGTGATTTTATAAATATATTTATTTTATCTTTTTAGCGTACATTGTTACTTTAACTTCTTTATATTGATATAAATATTTCCAATTAACTGTCATGAACCCACATGTCAGGTATTCAGATGACTCACATCCTCGTACCGTCTCCTCTCCTACAGCTTCATTCCTCTCCTCTCCATACAGCTTGATTCCTCTCCCTAAGGCTCGATTCCTCTCCCTAACGGAGCGTCCACACAGCAGCGTTAAAAAAATCTTGGAGGTGGGCGTATCTGAAGCTTGGGGATTTTTTGCGAGCAAGGCACCAACAACCAATCACATGAATCTCCCGCCCCCCACATACGAAGCAAAAAAGTTTGAAGTAAACTGGATATAAACTCCCCAAACAGGCGAAAACCTACCACTGTCTCTGCCACCTCCCTCCATGCCTGGCTCCTCCGGTTTATATCCCGGTAGGTAAATAGGGACTGGTCATAAAGCACCGGGTGATTCCCTACCGCTAATTTCTCCTCCATGTTTTGGAATATGAGGAAATGACCTGCGGTATGTCTCTCCCAGCATACACGCCGTCTGATTGGCTAGCGCTTGAACTGTCAGATTTGCATACACAGGATTTGATTGGCTGACGCTTCCACCTCAGCTTCAAAAGTTGAACATTGCTCAACTTTTAAATCCTGAAAATCCTGAAAATCTCCGCTCTGCTTCCCACAATGCAGTTCGGCGAAAAGTGAGGCAAAGTGACGTCACCCCATTCAAAGTGAATGGGCAGAAGCGTTGGAAGATTTTTTTAACGCTGCTGTGTGGACGCTCCGTAAGGCTTGATTCCTCTCCTCTCCATACAGCTCGATTCCTCTCCCTAAGGCTTGATTCCTCTCCTCGCCCTACAGCTCGATTCCTTTCCTTACAGCTCGATTCCTCTCCTCTCCATACAGCTCGATTCCTCTCCGTTTTTCATGTATTGTGTCTGTTGATGTTACACATGGAGCTGCTGTGATGCAAGTCACATTTCAGACTTGATCTGACCATTACAATATTATCGTATCGCATCGTATCTATAATATGCATCCCTACTTTAAAAATCTAATATTTGTACATGATGCATAGGATAAAAACGTATAAGCCCATGGCAGTAATGTGGGATGGTGCACCTCCTCCAGCAGCCTCTGCTTCAGATCCCTCTCTCCCTCCAGCTTCTGCTGCAGACTGTGGGCGTTCATCTCCAGCATGGCGTGCTTCTTCTCCAGATCGTTCATCTGAGAGCAGGAAGAAAGAAACTCTTCACATATATATATACAGAGGTGGGAAGTAGTGGAGTACAAATACTTTGTTACGTTACTTAAGTACATGTTTCTGGTATCAGTACTTTACTCCACGACTTTTTACTTTGACTTCTTACATTTTTAACACAAATACCTGTACTTTCTACTTCTTACATTTTGAACACAAATACCTGTACTTTCTACTTCTTACATTATGAACCCAAATACCTGTACTTTCTACTTCTTACATTTCCCAAACAGGCTGGTTCCTTTAGTTTGAATGTGTGTTTGGTGGCGTGATCATTATTATTTAGAGTCATTGCATGCCTATTGATTTGAACACGATCCGTGTATCCATCATTTCCTGGTCTTCTCTAAAGAAGAGGGACCAATGAAAACGTTGTCATGTTGCCGTTGTTCAGCATGGAAACATTCATTAGCTAACAATGACATTATTGTTCTGTTAATATAAAGGGAGGTCAGGTACTCTTTAAAACAGCTGCTAGTTATGGGTACTTTTTACTGAAGTACATTTCAAAGCCCTCTTTACTTTTACTTCAGTAAAGAAGTTTAGTCAGTACTTCTACTGTCACCAGAGTATTTCTAAACATGAGTATCTGTACTTCTACTTGAGTAAAGGATGTGTGTACTTTTGCCATCTCTGTATATATATATATCTGTCAGAGTGAAAAAGCTTACGGTGTCGGTGAGGCTCTCAGCCTTGATCTTCTGGTCGTTGAGCGCCTGCTGCAGGGCCACGATCTCCGCTTGGTGCTCCTTCACCGCCTGCTCCACCGCCAGACGAGACTCCGAGCTGCGCTGCTCTGAACGAAGCCTGGAGCGTGAAACATAAATACATTGTTTATAAAGTTACTTTAAAGAAGCCTTATTAGGTTTTGGGGGTTTTCCCTTTCCGGTAGTGTGTTATATAGGTGTTATGTAAATGGTCTGCAAATCCCTGTGTTCCCTCCAGAGGTAGTGTATATTTCCCCGAAAACACCTTTATTGGACTCCTTTTTTTACTTCCGGGAACATAATGACATCACTATGGAACACTCGCTACTGGATAGGCTAAGGGACGGGACATATCTAAGCGGTTCACCAATCATGAATTGAGAATAGATCCGACCCGCATCTTCTTTGTTTTACCCAGAACCGAACCCGAAAAAAAATGTTTGAAAAAATACCAAATGCAAATCAGTTTTTTAGCTGGTCACCCGTCGGGTACCCGACCCGATGCAGGACTCTGGTCTGTAGCTGTAAATGCTAATGAGCTGCTGCTGGCCACGCCCCTCTGAGAGATGATTGGTTAAAAATAACACAATGGTGCTCTAGGAGGAGATTGGCTAATGGTTACACAAGCCAAAAAATTGTTATGACATCATAAAGTGGCCAAAATCTGAATAGGCTCATTTTCAGACAGGTTTTTATATAAATGGATCAGGACAAAAGGAGAGGGGGTCTTTGTTCCTGATACTTTCAGAATCTCTTTACACAGAGGGGACATGTTTATGTATAAAAGACATGACAAACTGGATTTTGCATTATAGGTGACCTTTAAAATAGTCACAAAACCCAATTTCCCCCTCTAAGTATTCTGCAGTCTTTCCTGGTATTTCTGCAACTTCTCCTTCGTTTTAGTCTAAAAACCTTATTAATATGCTTTTCGTGTACACAGTTCTCATCACACGCCTTCTGCCAACACCAACTCAGAAAATAATTTCATATATTTCCCAGAATACCTTTTGAGAAAGCTTGGAGAATATTGCCAAACTTGTTGCATTCAGTGTGTGGGCGGAGGGAGCTGATCCAACACTGATAGCAACAGAAACATCCACAGCAAAGAAATTAAGATATTTCTCCGGCCTATAAAAATAAAATCATAACCCTTTCTCAAATGTCTTAAGGTTTAAATTATATCATGGATTACTGTACTATATGTGCTCTGAAGTCGATTAATCTTTCAGTTTGACTAAACTCTGCCCCGTTTGAAATGATTTATTTACTTCTTAAATTATTTTCAAGTGTTTTTTTTATGGTGTTCATGATGCCAATGTGCTGTCATGGATGTTTGTTGATGTTGTTTGTTCTTTTGTTCTCTCTGTACAAAGCAAGATCACCTTGGGAAAATACAAGTTCAATTCATTCATACATCTCCCACGTGGCAGCAAAACTTCATGTTTTAGTTTTGTCCAGTAAATCTCAGTGAAAAGAAAACTCAACACCAAATGGACTTACTAACCAACCAACAAACCATCCAACCAACTTGCCTAACTACTTACTTACTTCCATCCATCCGACATCCAAACCACCAAACAACCATCCATACATCAACCCAACCGACATAACCTTCGATTAAATCTACCTACATACTCCCATCTGTCCGTCTATTCCATCCATCCATCCATCCATCCATCTATCCATCCATCAAACAAAACCAAACAAACAAACAACCAACCATTTATCCATCCATCTATCCATGAATCCATCTAACCATCCCTACATCCAATAAGCCAACTATCCATCTATCCAACCAACCGACTGACCGACCGACCAACCAACAAACAAATCAACAGACAAACCTACCAACCGACCACCAACCAACCATCCATATATTCATCCATGCAGTTAACCAACCAACCAACCAACCAACCAACCAACCAACCAACCAACCAACCAACCAACCAACCAACCAACCAACCAACCAACCAACCAACCAACCAACCAACCAACCAACCAACCATCCATCCATCCCTCTGTCTCCAACCTACTGTACATACCTTCTTACTTATTTTCATACGTTAAATTAAATGTAGTCTATAAATGTCATTAATAGTGGACGTGAGTAACCTGTTCTGTTTTTCAGTGTCCAGCAGTCTCTGGATGTCTCTGGTTCTCCTCTCCGCCTGGTTCTTCTCGTCCTCCAGAGTCGACCTCCAGGCTTCCCACTGCCTCTCCTTCTCCAGCAGCTCGTCGTTCAGGGTCTCCAGCTCCAGCACCTGCTCCTCCAGCATCGTGCAGGTGGTCTTCAGGGTCACCAGGTTCTGAGGCAGAAATAAGAAATACCTTTTATACCTAAAATGTACCAAGTAAATATATCAAGTCAGTCATTGACAGCAATAAACACAGCTTTATAAAGGAGAGAAAGGATGTAATATATATTCATGGGACAAACATCCCTCTAATATTAAAAGATGCTCAACATGTTAAGCACAATATATTGCTAAGAAATATAAATAAATAAGAGTACAAAAATACCATACTTATAAAATGGACTGACCAATTGACTTAGCAGTGACAATATTAAAGGAAAAAAAGTAGACCTAAGGAAATTACATTGAGTGAAGATAATATTAATGAATACATAAATAAAACCAATACAAAAATACATATAACATAAAACTAAATAATACAATAAATAAATAAATATAAATTATTAATAAAATATAAAGTGGAAACACACCAGGCCCCTGAATTTCCATTATATTCCTTTCAGACATTTTATTAAATATAAGTTCATGAATAAAAAGTGTTTTATGTGCAAATTATCTGGGGGATAAACCCTTGACTTGACCCTTGATTATTTGTTTGGTCTTTTCTCAGCACATGTTAAGCGGGGGGCTTAACATGTGCTGAGAAAAGACCAAAGAAATAATCTATTTTCAAATATTTGCTTTAAGGAATTTTGGTATCACAGCCTCAAATAATCCATCCATCCATCCATCCATCCATCCATCCATCCATCCATCCATCCACCCATCCATCCATCCATCCATCCGTCCGTCCATATAGATATCATTACAAATATATCATAAATAAAGCCAACAGGGATTTTGAGTAATATTCTAATTAGGATATTTACCTTAGTTTTAAACAACAACTCCTAAACTGTAATTATAAAACCAGCCCTGGTGCTCCTGTGGATTTATTTACATGCATATTTGGGCACAGCGCATTTTGTTATGCACATGCCTACACAAAGTGTTTTACAACGCCGCGCTTTAGACAGAGCGTTGGGGATAAATATAGCACAGCGGCCTCTGAAGTCCAACGCTTCACAGCTGACACGACCTGGGAGTGATGGGGATGACACATCCCTCCCACACATCCCTCATCTATGACTTCCATCGCTGGTTACACAACCAGCAGGACACCCACACACAGATCCTCCCACAGGGCAGCACACACACACACACACACACACACACACACACACACACACACACACACACACACACACACACACACACACACACACACACACACACACACACACACACACACACACACACACACACACACACACACACACACACACACACACACACACACACAGCCTCCTCTCTGTGTTTCTCTCTGCAGCCAGCATACAGCTCGTAGCATTACTGCCATGTTCCCAGGGTTTCTGCTGCCTGATTTGCACTTAAGACTGTCTGGAGGGAGGTGTGCAGGTCAGCTGCCAGAGGTAGAGCGGAGATATCACATAATGTGGGGAAGTGGAAACCTGGTGTCTGACGGGCGGTGAGTGGGAGGCAGGGGGAACGAACGGGAACTAGAGGAAGGAGTACAGCTGTCTCAGAAAACTGTGGCTTCTTTTTTTTCAAATTTGTATTGTATCTTTCATATAGAACAGGGAAATAATTGTTGTCACACTGCATTAAAAAAAAACACTTCCCCAGGGTCCTGGCAAAGACATTATAAGGCATGGTTTGCATAACAAAACAGTACATCAGTACTACTGATTTTGGGCTAACTTTGAAATGACACAAAGTCTATTTTGTGTGTCCAGAAACGTTCCCAACGAGTATCGTCATCATTTCCATCGCCTTCCATCATAGTAAGCATAGCCTCGTGGGACGCAGTCTCAAACATTGCATTGCCGACCAATTCCTTCAAATCCGGAGACTTGTCTGTTTTCCAACATCTCAAGATAATTCTAGAAGCGGTCATCAAACCAATCATGATAACAGAAAATGCACTATTTGAAATATGTGTATTTATTCTTCAACATATTCAACCTCAACCTCATTCAAAAATGTAACCATAGCCTATAGTGATTGGTTCAGAGCTAAGCTGTGAACTGTGATAAACAAACTGGTTTAAAAATAAGCATTTTGATTTCCCCCACAATTTATTAGAACATGTAACGTTTGAAAAGTTGCAAAAAAACAGAAAAGCAATTTAACAGCCTTTCCTTCAACTGGTTGTTCACAGCAGCGTCAGAAGTAGGTACTAGACAACTATACGCAAGGCTTTAATTGTAAAGTAAACAAAGGGTAAGAAAAAAACTGCGTATTGGAAACAAAACAAGCTGGCGTGCTCCTAAAACATCCTAGACATTGTCTGTCTGGACAATATAAATATATATCTGCGCTAACAGCTGGCTTCGTCAGAATTGATTCAATGAAGGCGTTTTTCTGCATCCTATTTAGCTCATTAACAAACATTTCGACTAAGGCTGTATCCATAGGTAAAAAGCAGAGGGGTGTTTGCATTAGCATTCAGATCCAAGACACATTTTTACAGCTTCTTCCGTGGCCTATGCTTCACCAGTTCATTACGTTTCATGAAAATTAATATGTGTGTTACCAACAAATGCAAATCAATTCATCCTTCATGCCAAATATGAAGAAGAGATATCATGTTCATCAAAATGGGATGGATGGACTCTTAACATAGTGCTCTAAGCGGCAGAGGCACCATTTAACAAACTACGTGTTGTACATACATACACGCACGCACGCACGCACGCACGCACCACACACACACACACACACACACACACACACACACACACACACACACACACACACACACACACACACACACACACACACACACACACACACACACACACACACACACACACACACACACACACACACACAGCCCCCGTACCTGTTTCTGGTTGTTGAGGTGCATCTCGCGGTCGGCCACCTCCCTCCTCAGCCGGTCCACGTCCTGGCCGAGGTGCAGCCGGTCCTCCCGCTCGTCTGAAGCCTCGTCCAGCTGCTTGGAGAGGTAGAAGTTCTGCCGGTTCAGCTCGGCGTTATCCTGCGTCAGCGCCGTCAGCTGCTCCTCCAGATCTGTGATCACCTGCAGGACGGAGCACATTATCTCAGGATCAAATCAAGTCAAAGTCAACTTTATTGTCAACTTTCAGTTTGTGTGTACAGACAGAGAGATCGAAATACCGTTTCACACAATCCCGAATACAAATATTTATAACAATATGTATAAAATCACAAACAAATGGGAAACTGAACAGTGAACGAGGTAACACAGAGTATCACAACAATCAGACGAAGCCCGAAACATACTGCACGGATCATTTAAGTTAACGCAATGTTTTTGAATAAATTGACGGCAGTGAAATTGACCCCACTGCAACCAAAATATATCACTTAAAAACCAACATTAAAACAATAATCAGGATTCTCTTAATGAAATTCAACCCTTTAATATTGATTTCTTTATGTTTGAATTATTTAGCTTTTATTTACCATTTGGTGAGACAGTCTTAAATACTTACTGTAATGCATACAAGAGATAAATACCCTGTTCCCCTTCTATATAAAGTACATGTTTGTCACAGACGACACATAGACTGTGCAAAAGGGTCTGGGAAAGGGTTCTCTAACCTCTATGTTAATGTGCATTCCTTTTTTACAATTTGCAGGCTTAATAAAAAGAGCCTCATGCACTGAATGTGTGCAACAATCATTTCAATAGGCTGCTTCAGGAAAGGTTCTTGCTTCAAGGTTGTTGTTTCTTTCAGTGCAACAACCCTGCCCTGCAGAAGGTCTCTGACTGAAAGCTTGTGATAATTATTTCCCCGCTTGCAGATACATCTTTTCATTAGATAGATCTAAGGTGAACCCTAACCCTCTGACCCCAGGGGAGAGGGGTTATTTACACACAGATAAAGGTCTCTCTTTTCATTCTGCGTATTGTTTCTCATCCTCACAAGTTGACCACTCCACTGCTGCATGATATATCTGGGTTAGAGATATAATGTAATCATCCCAGTGTAATATCTCCAGCCGAGCAGCCAGCCAATCATTTCATCAGTCTGTTCCTCCAATCAGCCCTCAGACTCCTGTGCACTCTAATCATAATCATAATAGATTACATTTGTATTGCGCCTTTCAAGGGACCCAAGGCCGCTTTACACGGTGTGAACAAACAAACAAACAAGAAGGGCAAATAATAAAGTAACATTTAAATAAATAGCAGGGAGACCAGGGTTAAAGACTCCCCATCCTCTCGTGGGAAACATGTGTAAGGCAAGGCAAGTTTATTTATACAGCACCTTTCAACACAAGGCAATTCAAAGTGCTTTACAAAAAGACATCAAGATCAATAAGAAACATATTGTAAAATGGCATTTAAAAACACTCATTTAAAAGCAAAGATAATAAAACAAGAATAACTGTTGGAGCCATTTTTTGTGTTGATAATAAATGTATTATTTTCTAATTAATTTAGATCTTAAAGGTGGGGTAGGTAATTTTGGAGAAACCAGCTCGAGTGCGCTAGAATTTGAAAATACACAGCCGGAGAAAATCTGCCCCTTCCTTCAGACTTCCTTACAGAGCCCCTCCTCCAACACACACGAACGCGCACATGACCAATGAGGGCACGAGATAAATTTGTGCACAGATGGAAGGCTGACAGGCAGGTAGGCCATCCAGTTATTTTAGCCGGGCCGGCTCAGATGATTGGTCGTGCTTTTTACAGTACTACGGCTTCCACAGATGACATTTATGTATATATTTATTGTCAAAGCATTTCATATATTAATTGCTAAATAAATTACATACCCCACCTTTAATATATTGTTTCAATTTAGGAATTAGTATTGAATTAAAGGGGACCTATCATGCAAAATACACTTTTGTACGTCTTTTATACATGAATATGTGTCCCCGGTGTTCCAGGGAACTCACCAAGTGTCAGAAAACACAACCCTCTCTATTTTCCTCCATACCCAAATCTCTAAAAAAGGGGCTGCAACGGATCTGATAAAAACTGATCCAGATTTGAACACTGTCCTGACGTCAGGACGGTGGCACTACGGCTATTGGGCCAACTCCACCAATCAGGAGGAGACAGCCACGGCCATTGCCGTTCGAAAGCGCTGGAGACGCTGTAGTACATATGCCAGGCCTGTAGATGGTGCTGTTGCTCACAGAATCAGCCTTTGCAAAAACAGGGGTAAAAAAGCGAAATGAGGCATGGCTAAAATGCATGATCTGTTTGGTATTTTGAAAAAAAAAGAGTATAAATATGCCTTATATAGGTATGGTCCTACACTATATTATTCAAATATAGCATGATAGGTCCACTTTAAATATTCTGAGAATAGTTTAGATTTGTTGTGATCAATCAGCTGTTATCTAAGGAAGGACTGAGCCTCGGTCTTTGACCTCACTGATCATTTTTGTTTATTTGTTTGTTTAATTTTATGGAAGAAGTAAATATATATAATGAATCCGCCAAAGGAAGGCAAAGGAATCAGCGCCTACAGAGTTTTATTTGGACTGTTTTTAACGTGTGAGTCAAGAAGCGGAGCCGTGTTAATGTGGCACACTTTTAAATATCCTACAAGAATGAGCCACGACAATAACAAAGGAACATGAATCAAAGTTACAGAGCAGTGTGAGATACGAATAGTTCAATTAATAGCAGCGGCAAAAAGAAAAGTCTCCAGCCTGGATTTAAAAGTAGTCACAGTTGCAGCGGACCTGCAGGTTTCTGGGAGCTTGTTCCAGATATTTGGAGCATAAGAACTGAACTTCTCCGTGCACAACTTCCATGTGGCGTGGGGGGGAAGAGGCAAAGCTTTTAAGCCCGTGAATGAGCTGTCTGCAGCTAAATACTGAAGGCGGGGCGAGGAAGTGATGCTCCGGGAAAATGTCTGTCATTTGAATCTGAAAATCACATCCGGGGCGTTGCATCCTGCTCAATACAAACTGCTCAATGGATGAAAGAGAAGGATGAAAGAGAAGGATGAAAGGAATATAAAAGGTTAGAAAAGTGACAAAAGAACTATAATTTCACGGGAAGACTCGGGGTCGAGGGACGTGAGGATCTGGTGAGGGATGTTTCCACATATCTGGAACAAACTCCCAGAAACCTGCAGGTCCGCTGCAACTCTTACTACTTCTAAATCCAGCCTGAAAACGTTTCTTTTTGCCGCTGCTTTTAATTGAACTATTCACATCTTACACTGCACTGTAACTTCTATTCATGTTTTATTATCTCTGCTTTTTAATGTTTCTAATGTGTTTCATGCTCTTAATGTCTTTCATTTTTGTAAAGCACTTTGAGTTGCCTTGTGTTGAAAAGTGCTACATGAATAAACGTGCCTTGCCTCAATACTCTCTGTGAGGGTGTGGAGCAAATAAAGAGTGCAGCTGAAGAGGCGGTGAATCAGTTCCCTGGCTTTAATGAGCCGAGCTTTGACTGTTCACTGATGGTACAGAGGAACATCTGCTCTCTCTGTGAACCACACAAGACGTTGGATTACTCACCAAGTTTTAAATGCTATCACTTTTTATTTTAATGCTACTGAGATATGGGGGATTGATGTGGATAATATGCTGCATGTATTTAATATTTCTCTCTTAATCCAGTCTAAAACACTTACTGTAATGCATACAAGTAACAACAACTTCTAACTCTTTAAAGTGGAGACACTACATACTGATATACACCTGAACATCAGCAGGAGAGAACTCTTTAAAGTAGAGACACTACATACTGATATACACCTGAACATCAGCAGGAGAGAACTCTTTAAAGTAGAGACACTACATACTGATATACACCTGGACATCAGCAGGAGAGGACTCTTTAAAGTAGAGACACTACATACTGATATACACCTGAACATCAGCAGGAGAGGACTCTTTAAAGTAGAGACACTACATACTGATATACACCTGAACATCAGCAGGGGAGGACTCTTTAAAGTAGAGACACTACATACTGATATACACCTGGACATCAGCAGGAGAGGACTCTTTAAAGTAGAGACACTACATACTGATATACACCTGAACATCAGCAGGAGAGGACTCTTTAAAGTAGAGACACTACATACTGATATACACCTGAACATCAGCAGGAGAGGACTCTTTAAAGTAGAGACACTACATACTGATATACACCTGAACATCAGCAGGAGAGGACTCTTTAAAGTAGAGACACTACATACTGATATACACCTGAACATCAGCAGGAGAGGACTCTTTAAAGTAGAGACACTACATACTGATATACACTTGAACATCAGCAGGAGAGGACTCTTTAAAGTAGAGACACTACATACTGATACACTTGAACATCAGCAGGAGAGGACTCTTTAAAGTAGAGACACTACATACTGATATACACCTGAACGTCAGCAGGAGAGGACTCTTTAAAGTAGAGACACTACATACTGATATACACCTGAACATCAGCAGGAGAGGACTCTTTAAAGTAGAGACACTACATACTGATATACACCTGAACATCAGCAGGAGAGGACTCTTTAAAGTAGAGACACTACATACTGATATACACCTGTACATCAGCAGGAGAGGACTCTTTAAAGTAGAGACACTACATACTGATACACTTGAACATCAGCAGGAGAGGACTCTTTAAAGTAGAGACACTACATAATGATATACACCTGAACATCAGCAGGAGAGGACTCTTTAAAGTAGAGACACTACATACTGATATACACCAGAACATCAGCAGGAGAGGACTCTTTAAAGTAGAGACACTACATAATGATATACACCTGAACATCAACAGGAGAGGACTCTTTAAAGTAGAGACACTACATGTTGATATACACCTGGACATTAGCTTAATAGGGCCCCTTTGATAACATATTTGAATGCCTGTAATGACACTTTGGCCCTGACTGCAGACCGGCTGTCTTTCTGTCAACAGACAGACTAACGGATACACCAACACAGCAACATCTTTGCAGCAGGGCAGAAATAGAAAGAGTCATTTCTATCTGTGCAGATTTGAGAGATGGTTGGCCAGCTGAATGCATGGACAGAGCTTTCTGAACAGTTTGTGAGTGGGAGGATCTCAGAAGTAGGACACTGGCAGAAATGAAGACCATAATGATGTCTATTCAAGGTAAATGAGTTTGAAGGAACTCAAATTCCTTTAACGTGACAACATCATCTCCTCAAGGTTAGTGGGGCACTAATAATAATATGATAATAGTAACAGTATAAATAGTCTAGGGTCTGAGAAAACTGTACACATGTCAGTGTGCTTGAACCTTACCTGTGCAACTAGCAACAAAAGTTACTTAGAAAACCATTTGGGATTAAAACATACTTAAACACAGCTCTCATTGCAAAAATAAACACATTTGAAGGGCTATTGAACGACACATTTACTTTTAACTGTTTAATAAACTGTATTTTATTGGACTTGATGGACTGTGAGATGCTTTGCTGTCTAATTAAAAACAGTTAAAGTTGAGTACAAGACAACAAAAAGCACGTCAACAAATCCTGTCACTTCCTGTCACTGATCCTCCTGGGCTTCTGTTGGCAAGGAAAGCTCACATAGTTAATTTGCACAAATGGTGTTGTGAAAACAAAGCAATTCAATTGGGAATTGAAGTACTACTTGGGTAAAAAAAAAAGAGTCTATTGGGAACAGTATTTCTCACCCAGCTCGACTGGATTCGCAATCATTGCTTTATTAAGAAAGGTTATAGATAGTACCTGTTATATTTTTAGCACCAATTCATCTGAGGTTCCAACAAACTGAGAAAAGAACTGTGAAAATACTGAGGAAATAAAAACACCGGTGACACAAAATCATCATCAGCGCGCTTTGGAACATCCCGGAAAAAATGAATTGCTTTAATTTGCAAACTACAATCCATTGCCATCACTTTTTACACTTAAAGAACATTTTAAAAGCAAATAGCAGCTAGCAAAAGTGTGTCGTATACCACGTGATCGAGCGCAGTGTTGGTTACGCACAGCCAGCCACTGATCACCTTCATCAGATCTGATAGACAGCTACAGTCTAAACTCTGCACACATCATCGCGGGTATTACTTCAGATTCTGCTTTTATCATGAAGGAGACGTCCTGACACCATGGTGCGTCATAGTCTCTTTCCGACATGGAAAAGTTACGTTTTGGGCACAGCTGTAGTGCCAATAGATGTGTGTGTATATTGACTAGGAGCACGTACAATATGCAGCATGTGCACGGCCGCTTACGTGAACTGCAAATAATAATAATTTCCTAAGAAAAAAAAGTCCAGGAGTTTCTCTTCCAGCACGACACACTGAAATGCAGTAATCTGAACTCATGATACTATCAAATATATCTTTACTAGAGAAGTACCAACCACATTTTAGCTACGCTCTGTTGCCTCTAAGTGTGCAATTTAAATGGTGATGTTTAAAAGTCAAAACACATAATCATAATTACATGCATGCCCTGGACCACATACTGTAATTCTCAAGAACAAACACAGATTGCCAATCCGCCCCTGATCCATGGTCCTACTTATTACACTATAACCACACAGAGAACCAAAGGAAAATCTAAAAATGTCACATTCAATCACTTCATTTCCCCCATTCATGATATTCTTTACGAAAAACCAATATCTAATATAGGCTCTACAGTTTAGAATATAATACTGTGCTTATCTTTGACTACAAATGATCCTTGGATGAAAAGGAATAAGAAGTCTAAAATCACAGGAAGTCATTATTATGATTATACATATTGTCCTAATGAAGCCTGATTTACCCAGGAGTGACAGACACACATATGGACGGAGTTATTACAGCAGCTTTAGGTTGGGATGTGTGACGATGTGTGAAGAAAGTGAAGCTGTGTGTTAGTGGAAGGAGAGAGAGAGCAGCTTACCGCACAGCTGTCTCTCAAGACGTCAAACTTGCGTTGAATCTCGTCTCTGTGAGCCTGGAGGAAACGACAAGAGAGAAGAAGAGTTAACAGCCGAGGAGACGTCTCCTTCACTCAGAGAGAAGATCTCACATCTCACATATCTTATATAATTATCATATAATATCAGTTTGTTTATATGTATGTATTTGTGTCTAGATGTTGCAACTATACAGAGCTTTAGCAATACTGTATGTAACTATGGGCATGGCAATAAAGCTATAGAAGTGAAATTGAATTGAGAAGACGGTATTTGATCGGGAAAATGTCAGACAAATTGAAGTCTCTGCAGTCATAATGTCCCTCAATCAAGTCATTCAGATGACTTTACTGTCCATTAAGTTGATAGAGAATGGAAATGGGTCTTTAAATGACATCTTAAAGTCCTAAAGTGACTGATAATAAAGGTGCTGAGTGGATTGTTCTTCCACTGGCGTGTGGTCCATTCAAATCTGACGTCAGAGAATGAAACTAGTATTAGAAATCAATAATGAAAAAGTGTATTAAAGATAGGCTGTATAAAATGTCTTAAGGGACCCAAAGGTAGAAACAGGCTGTATAGAACTGCTGAACAGACTTACAAGAGTGCTTGATTAAAAGGCAGAGGCACCTTAATTCAATTCAATCAGGAGAGACTTCATTTTGTTTAAAGAACATGTATTGACACATGTCATATGATAAATGTTAAGTCTTTGGGGATTAGACCCCGATCCTGAATTCATATATCTGAAGGGGGAAATGCAGCCGTGAGCATATAGGGAACCCCCCCCCCCCCCCCCTGATCTGGATTTGATGAGGAGATGGGATGAAGAGGGGATGTGATGAGGTCTTTGGATTAGCTCTCCTGGCACTGGATGTGATGAAAGGAGGTGGATGGGGAGGAGGTGGATGGGGAGGAGGTGGATGGGGAGGAGGTGGATGGGGAGGAGGTGGATGGGGAGGAGGTGGATGGGGAGGAGGTGGATGGGGAGGAGGTGGATGGGGAGGAGGCGGGCGGCAGCTTGAACACCTGGAATCACAGCTGACTGCAGGAGAGAGGAGAACCATCTTAAAGTGTGGCTGCAGCACGCTGATTGGCTGCTGGAGAATGAGGTGAATGTAATGGGTTATAGACAACGCCCGTGATGAGCTGATTATATGCAGCTGCGGAGTGAATGTATATACCCAGTCTTCCTAAAAGAACTTGCGCTGAGCTTCATTTATCATCATCCAGACAAGCCTAGGATTTTGGCTTGTTTTTACATATGTCTTACTCTGTTTTATACAGTATAAAGAATATGTCCTCAAATTGAGGGATATCTTTTGTGTTTAGAGTAACAGCGTAGTCTTGTGTAATATTTATTTAGTTTTGTTGCGTTATGCACAAGTCTTTTAACATTTATTATTTCTTATAGTTCTTTATTTTCAATGTTTTGTATTGTTCTTGGGTGAATCAGTCCTATCCTGTGTTTCACCCTTATTGCTGTTTCTGCTAAGACACCTGAGTTTCCCTACGGGGTTAATATAGGTGTACAGTATCTATCCATCCATCTTTTCTTATCTTAAATCTATTGAGGGGACTTGTTTTATTTTATTAGAAATATCCTACTTTTCTTTAAAAAAAAATATATTATTATTAGTCAATTTATTGAACATGTTAGAAACAAAAAAAACAATAATTATAATAATAATAACAAAGAGAAGCAAAATAAAAATGATTCCCAAATAGTTTCCATCATGTTCAAAAGGGGCAAGAAGAAGCTTAATAAAACATGAATCTAAAAGCCAACCCTTCTCTTGCGTTCGGTCATACCCCCCTTCCCATACTATTTCCGGTCAAAATGTACCGGTGTGTCATATCTCTGGAACCCCTTATCCAATTGTGATGGTTGACATCTCATTTGAACAGTCAAAGCAAGTAGAATCAAGGGGTGACAGACAGAATGACACCAGGGGTGAATTTCATTTTATAATTGTGCAGTAAGTTCAAAGATAGTGCTTACTGTACATTACTGTATATTATATAAATGCTTGCCATGTAGGCTGTGTTCACTGGAGATGGAAATGCGTTAGTTGGTGTTGTAGCTGAGATTCTTCCCGTTCCAATGATGTATGGGGTGTATTGATTTGATACAAGCAAGTCAGTGTTTCATTGTGTACTTTCAACTAAAGTATATGGTCCGGACCCACAATTCGTCTGACACAATAAAATCTTGAAACCCTGCTTCAGTACTCCTCTTCCTCTTCCTCTTCCCCCCCCCCTCCTCTTCCTCACCCTGAGCACAGTGATCTCCTCCTCTGCCTCAGCGGTCGTGTCCTCCAGTTCAGACCTGGCCTGCTGCAGCTGGTTCTCCAGAGCCAGCCGAGCCGCCTGCAGGTTGCTGATCTGAGACTCTCGCTCCTGCAGAGACAGACTCAGATCTGACGCCTGGCGCTTTATCTCC